AGATTTTAATTATGAAATAATCAACTATGGCTGCGGGATATTTAAGAAACTGTGGGATAGAGTAAAAAGAGGGGCGAGTAAAGTTTGGGAAACATTGAAGAAGGGGCAAATTGGATATTTAAGAATAAAGAAGCAATTAGTGACGTTGCTGAATCAATAACGCCAAAAGCGCCCCAATAAGAGAAATTTTAAATAAAGGAGAAAAAGTTTATCAAAGACTACAACCGATACTAAGATAAAAATAATTTTAAAATAATTTATTTTTCCACTATCTACCTCCTATTTTATTAAGTATTCCTTCAGCTATTCCACCAACGGCGTTACTGCTTGTGCTCCATCGCCGGATTACCTGCTTTAGTACCTAATACTCCACCTATGATAGTTCCTGCCGTTTTCGCTACTGGTGTAAAAAGTTTGCAACGGGTTAAATAATCTTTTTATAAACCAACCCGCAGCTTTCTTAATTCCATCCCATAATTTTTTAAAGATCCTGCCGCCATTTCTGATTTAATATTAGTTAAAAAAATATATTTCATCACTTATATTCTAATTTTTATTTAATGATAAATGAAACCGATTTTAAAAATAAATGAAACAGAGGAGGAAGAAATAAATGAAAGTGAAAATGTTCAACAAAAAATAAACGTTGTTAAACCAATTACTGAAATAAAAATTTTTTCATCTGTTGAAGAATTTAATGACTATTATGCTAATAATAAAAAATTATTTGAAGAATTGACAACGTGTAAATTGAATAAAATGTTTAAAGTTGATGGATTCAAAATTTCAAAAAAATAAAAGGAGTGGTTAGTTTGAAATCTATTCCTCAATCAAGAATCACCTCATTAATGGTGATAAATTGATGATTTACAAAAAAGAATAGAAGAGATTGAAGAAAGAATGAATCAAATAATTGATTTCATAAATTCAAATAATCATTAGTTTCTTAAAGTTCAATGTTGAACTCATCAAATTCATCTTCATCATTACCATTACCTTTAGCGAGTTTATTTACTCTTTCAACTTTATCTTTTGATAGTCTTTCGTTTAATTTTTCTTGAAGTTTTTCGTTACCAAGTTCTAAAATTTTACATGGATGATATTTAAACCCGTTAAATTCTTTTTCCTCGGTTTTAATCATTAATCTACAAAGAACTTTAGTGAGGTGGTTTTTGTTGTTTAAACCATTTATCCTTAATATTTGTATAAATTCAATATCCGGAATTAAGGATACCCTTACATTGCGTAGTTAGAAAGAGAATATGATATTGTCATGATTGCTAAAGTTTTAGGCTCCAGAAATGAATATACATCAAACTGAAACAATTGATAAATTGAATGAACTTTTGAGAGGTTTCTCAAATAAAAAAAATTATCTAATTTTTTACAATATTACTATTATTTTATCCACATTGTATATATAGTAATTTGAGAAAACTTTTAGGAAAAAATAAGTTTAATAAAAATCTGAATTTTACTTGTTGTGGGATTGTTTTAATTGACACTCCAGGCGTATTACTAATAGTTATGCGTATGCAATTAAAGTATTTCTGATGGACAAATGTGAGATTTATATCAGATAATTCATTTCTACTATTAAGTTATTCATTTATGAGTTTGCACTTATTCGCACTAATAAAATAACTATTAAAAATTGTTTTAATTAATTGACACCATATAATAGAGTGAATTTTGTTTGATCAAACAACAATAGATGATAGATATAAAGCCAAGAAACTTGCTATTAATATGCTCTACTTGCTATTTCAATGTAAGTATGATATTTTCTAAATGTTTCGTTCAGATAACTTAGATATATTAGTCAAAATTTGAAATTTTAATAGCACATATATTAAAAATAATTATTATTCATAAAGATTAATGAAATAGTAAAAAAATCAATAAAATTATAAAAATACAACATTTAGAAGAATTCTTATTATCCTTCAAAAAGTCAGTATTTCTGCTGTAATTTTCTACAAACATTGTAGTTATTGCACTTTGTCTATGGATTTGTATATATGTTATATATAAATTATATATCTAAACTGCCCATAAGTGCAATTTTTATATAATTGTTTATTTCTTTAACAATTTCATATGAAATATGCTTTTTTAAGCGTATCAAAGCTGTGTTCTTAATGTGCATGGATATATCAAGAAAAATGTCGAAAAAAATGTGAATTCACAAATTCACTGAATTTTCGCCGTTTTTTGAATTTTGCTACAGCACTAATATTAAATAATACTAAAATCTTCTGTCTTTGTAAAGAATAAATTCTGACAAAAAGTGCTCGTTTAAATTTAATGATCATCTGTATGACTAAGTGGTAAAAAGTGTTTATGACCAAAAAAGGGTTACATGCTTAGTCTATTTTTCTGACAGGATACTCTAGATTTACATGATCTCTATTTCATATCTCCGTTTTTAGATTCTTCGACAGATTTTATGATAGAAAACCAAGATTAACAAATTTCCGGCATGTTAATGAAGAAATCTGCAGATACCCTCAATATTATTTCAATAATCAGTATCGTTTCTCTTACAATTTATTTTTTCTCAATAATTTAACAAGAAATAACAATACACACTTGGTTTTACGTATAAAAGCTAAGTGTCGAACTTAATCAACTTTACTTACTTAGCAAATGAATATTTTTGTGGTTGCGAGTTCTGAATGCTGAAGTTTTAGATTTCTCTATAAATGATATCATTGCACTTACAATGTTGTTCCAGCCTATCGCATAAATCATAGAAAATCCAAAAAAAAAATAATATAAAGAAAATTCATGTCATGAAGTTCAAAAAATACCGTGTAACATTAAAATTTGTTATGCATAATACATTTTAGCTATTATTGTTTTTTTAATTTTCGAGAAATTGAATGGTGAGTCCGATAGAGAAATTTTTAAAAATCCTAGTGCCTCATAGAAGTAATTTCCCTCGTCTCCCATACTTCCAAATATATGCATATGACATAAACTTTTATGCATTACACAAGTGGCCAATAATATCTATAGAGTAAAAAATTAGAAATTTAATTTTTTTATATGATAGTTATATTTCAGATTTGCGAGCGTAACTTTTTTCTCCATGGCATACTTGTTTTAAGAGCAAATGATCAAAATCGTCCTTCAATTATTGAAGGAGCTGATATCTTTTGAAAATTGAATTGAAAGGGTATTCAATTTTCAAATTTCCTCTCAATTTTGGAACATATCAACTCTATGAATTAACAATTATGTGCCTTCACAGTTTATCAGTCATATAAGGTGCTTATAAAGAAAAAAGTTACGCTCGCAAAATATGTTTTTATATAGATTTACAATAAAATAATTATGTAATTTCTAAAAAGAATATTTTTGTTCTTGAATATTAAAGTGTATTGTAGTTTAAAAAGTTTTAAATATGTTGCTAAAATTTCAGGTTTATAGCTCATGTCTAGCATGACTTCTTCGTATGCGCAAAAAATCTGACACGTAAGGGTATCCTTAATTCCCAAATTTTTGAATTTTCGATTAATTTACCATCAAATGCAAAAGCAATAGGTTTAATATTAAACTTACCTTTATAAAATAAACTTTGTATGTAATCATCAAAATAAACGTCTACTTGTTTAACCTGAGTGAGAATTAGTGAAAGTTTATCCATTAATTGATTCACAGTCACGAATTTTGTTCCGTTCATTTCTTACGAATTAAAAAAATAAATTATTCAAAAATGTAAGACATTAATTTTTAAAGTTTATTTTTTTAAAATTTTTTTATTTTTTATTTCATTATGGTAGTGAATCTTTCATTCATGAAAATAATTATTTCTAATTTCTTTTATTCTCTCGTACATACTAGATTTGAAGAATTCGGAACTTTTACCATAATCTCCTAAATGTTTTCTTATCCCTAACGTGTGCCAGTTATTATATGAAACTGAATAAACTTTATCTTTATCTTTACACCTTTCATTACTTCCAATATATTTATATCTCAGTTTTGATTTAGCATTTTCATATCATTAGCGTTTAATAATTCACAGTCTTCCTTTTTAAATTGATGTTTAAGATATTCAGGATTTAATACTCTACGTTTATATGCTCCTAACTTAGTTCTAAAGGTTTTTCTACAAAATTTAGGAATTCCATCCTCTTTAATGTCATCAATGATTTCCATTTCATTATTTTCAATTTCTTCTTCTCGTTTATGAGGTCTTTGATTATGACTCCATTGATTCCATGAAATTAAATATTCTTTATCATTATATTTATACCTCATTAGCTTATTTTGGCTTTCATATTCATTTAATAATTCACAATCTTCATTTTTAAATTGAAGTTTAACCCATTCAGGATTTAAACAATGTTTAATTAATCGCGGAATATCTGACATCATCTATATATAGCTTCTTTTATAAAAGATAAAAAAATAAATTATTTTAAAATTAATGTTAATTTTTTAATGATTTATAAATAAATATATTTTAATGCATCGTCTATATATAGATGTAACAAAAAAAGTCACTAAACCCGTCATATCCTACTACTTTTATATCAAGTTTTTATTCATAAATTTTTATAATGTTGTATAAATTTCATTAAAATTTACGTACATATTAAGGTACTTATCTTAATAATGAAGATTTTATTTTGCAATAATATAAACGAAATTTTTTACCTTATGAACTTTTGATGGAAATATGCAAATTTAAAATAATAAAGAAAGCCGCGAGCGAAGCGATCGGCTTAGTTCGAAGATTTTGATTCAAATCTTTGCTGATCTGTAATTCGCGGAAGCCGCGAGCGAATCGAGCGGCTTAGGTCTAAGATTTTGATTCAAATCTTTGCTTATATTCCTTAAATTCTTTATGAAACTCGCAACAGTTCCATAAAAAATTTTAAATTCTAAACTGTCGAAATTACCGATCGGTAATCACACCCTTCATGGGTGTGTCACTTTTTACGGGTGTGTCACTTTTAGCTAAAATTACCCCTACTCAAATCAAATTCAATGATCTTAAAAGCGAAGGATAAACCTCAAAATTTACGAATATAATGAGTGGGAATATAATGCTTATCTATCATAAAACCATATGAAATATCAATTTTTGCTTTACGCCTAATTTTTGACGACAATTAGCAAAAAATGTTAAATGTTAACACTCAGTCCATTTGAATATGAAAAATAAAATTGACTTTGATTAAATGTTTTTTATTATCATGCAATTCTTCTTGCGACCAAAGATTTGAATAAATTTCAAAAAATAAGATAGCTTAAAAATAATATACGGTAGTGTTTACTAATAGATGAATAGTATATAAATTCTATTAAAATGGATTTGATCCAAAAAAATATATAAAATTTGATCATAAATAAAATCGTTTTAAATTACTTCTTCATTTAAATTATAACAATTATTTTTGGTTTTATATTTTTTTGGATCAAATCCATTTTAATAGAATTTATATACTATTCATCTATTAGTAAACACTACCGTATATTATTTTTTAAGCTATCTTATTTTTTGAAATTTTATTCAAATCTTTGGTCGCAAGAAGAATTGCATGATAAATAAAAACATTTAATCAAAGTCAATTTTATTTTTCATATTCAAATGGACTGAGTGTTAACATTTAACATTTTTTGCTAATTGTCGTCAAAAATTAGGCGTAAAGCAAAAATTGATATTTCATATGGTTTTATGATAGATAAGCATTATATTCCCACTCATTATATTCGTAAATTTTGAGGTTTATCCTTCGCTTTTAAGATCATTGAATTTGATTTTTATATGAAAATAGTTTATATATTAGAAAATAATATGAGTTTATGTGATATTATTTTTCAGAAGATTTTGTGTTCTTCTTCAAAATTTTATTTTTTTATTAAAAAGAATCTTTACAAAATATACATTTACTTTAAATAATATTTAAAAACGTGCTCTATCAAAAGTTCCAAAAATTCAATATTTTAGCTTTTCTGAGGTGTCACTTTTGATGAATTTCTGTTTACAACATTATAATAATGGCAATTTATTTTCAATGAAATATTTCTCTCAATTTTGTAATAACTCAAATTTTGAATAGATCAGAAAATAAAAGTATTTTAAAAATAGAAATTGGAAAGTATTCATTTAAATGGTATTGTTTTCAAAATTGGTTAGGGTTGCCTATTCAAAATTGAGTCTACAACAGTCATTTTTCGCCATAAATTCCCAATTCACACTGAATTTTTACTCGGTGAGCAAAACCGAGAAAACAAAAATTGAAATACATGCAAATTTATCTACTAAAATCCATTTGCGTGAGTTACGTCAGCTAAATAATCAATGGAATATATACGTGTGAAAAAAACTCTAAGATAACAAATGTAGATGTAATATACATTAAAAAATTATGCATCATGTCCTAAATAATACTTAATCAATCTCTGTAATCTTCTAAGTTTCTATACCAGTTCTAAAAGTAACAATGTTCATTTCAGCGAAAGAAAATGCAAGAGTCCCACCTTCGGGGAGTATTCAATATTTTTTATTATTCCGGCTGAGCGAAATCAGTTAGAAATGTACTTATTCTGTAAGAATTCATTATTATTTATTAGTTTTTCACATCTTAACAAAGAAACAACGATCAATTTTTATTCATAATTAAACATTCTATTTTGAATAAAACAAGCATATATATATATGATCAATTAGTGAGATCAAATTGTTTATGAAAAAAGTGACAATTTTCATGTCCGAGCAAGACAATAATTCAAATGAATACAACAAATTGCGAAGTATCTATAAATACTACATTGATTCATATATTGCGTTGTACCAACTAAAAACCGACAAAGAAGAAGAATTAAACTTAATTTACAAAATGATCAAAACAGAATTGATTGATTCAAAGAAACACATCGCGAAAAATATTATAAGAGACAGTTTCAAAATCATTCCATATAATAATCGCTATATAAAGTCATATTTATATCTTACTAAACTCATATTTGATGAAAATCATGTCAACGAGGTCAACAGTATCTATAGTATTTCTAACTTCCTAGTTTACAAAGAGTACGGAATTAAATTAGACAAATCCGGTGATTTCGAAGAAATTAGTTCAGACAAACTCAATATACATATAGAAAATACTATTTACAGAGCAATTATGTATAATGACTTAGAAAGATTCGTTTACTTAATTGAAAGAGATGGATTTGATGAAGATCAAAAACTTGAATGCGATTTATATCCTTATTCTGATAATGGGTATTCATTACTTGAATTGTGTTGCTACCACGGTGCAGTTGATTGTTTCAAGTTATTAAGAACAAAATTTGACTCAAAAATAACTAAAACATGTCTAGAATTATCATTTTTAGGAAGAAACAAAGAGATTATGAGTGAGTGTTTAAAATATCAAGAACCGGATGAAGAATGCATGTTTTATGCAATTATTTCACACAGCCTTGATTTTGTTACATTTTTGATCAATGAGTACAACTTAGAGATCAATTTAAATTATTGCGGAGAATATAAGAACCTCGAATCATTTTTGGTTTATTTTGATCAAACTAATGATAGTTGTAAATGCTTTATTAATTCCGCGATATTCAATATTCCATCTCTTTGCGAATATTTCCTATCAAATGGTGCAAATATTGAAGATAAAGATGAAAATGGATATACAGCTCTTCAATATGCAGCAGATTATAATAGCAAAGAAATAGTCGAAGTTCTCATCTTACATGGTGCAAATGTCAACGAAAAAGATGAAGATGGATACACAGCTCTTCATTATGCAGCAATAAATAATAGTCTAGAAACGGCTGAAGTTCTAATTTCACATGGTGTAAATATCGATGAAAAAAATAAATATGAAAAGACTGCTCTTCAATGTGCAGCGCGCAAAAATTATAAAGAAATAGTTGAAATTCTTATTTCGCATGGTGCAAACATCGATGAAAAAGATAATGAAGGAAAAACAGCTCTTCATATTGCAGATAGTATGAACTATAAAGAAATAGTAGAAATTCTTATTTCACATGGTGCAAAAAAATAATATTCCTAATGTTTTTCTATGATTTTGATAAATTATTGACCAATTTGATATCCAATGCAACCTATAAAATATTGGTTACTAAGACTTTACTTCTGCAGTGAACCAATATGAGCTATCCAGATACTTGATTGTTCACTTTCGATATAATTGAAAATATTAAGACCATCAAACTATAATGACAGCACATCCTTGAAATCTTAATTGAATGTTATACGATGTTCATTTATTACGCTTAAACTTGCTCAGAGCATATTCCGGTAATCCAATGTGTTGATGATATAAATCATCTTTTGACACATAGATATTGAGTAACACAAGTTAGATAGCATAGAACAAAGATTAAAATAATAATTTGTTGAACATGTGTTCAATCTTTGGTTTAGAAGGAACGGAAAAGATGCAAAGAAAGTGCTCGAAATATTTTTTTTGTCACTTTTCTTCATTAATAAATGAAAAACAGAAAACAGATAGTATTCAAGATTCAAAGTCCAATTATGAGTGACCACGACTTCAGACAGATGCTTGAGGGTGTAATGGTGCATCGTGAAAATCTAATTAAATACGGAACACCATATCCTCCAGAAGCTCCTGACTCTGAGAAGATGAAACAGAGAAAGGCCGAACTAGATGCAACAATAGCTGAATATCAAGCGAAAATTCAAGAACTTGATGATACAAAAGAAAGATACAACCAATTACTCAGAACAATTTACGAAGAAGAGTCACGCATCAAAGACGAACAAAAGAAGTGCCTACTTAATAGATCAGAAACACCAAGTAATTATTTGCAAGGCAAAAATTAGAATTCATTTTCAAATTTATTTCAACTTAACGATATTTGAATATGATACAAGCTATGTTTATTCGATGTTAAAGCTAAGAAATCGGTTTTACTATTTAAATTTGTTAATTTTGGTCGAAATAATTTTATATTATCTGAAAACTGAAATTAGACTCAGGTATGTTTTGCAATATCAATTTTGTAACTGAATTTTTAATTACAGGATTTTCTTTTATGCGAAAATAAGAATGAATGTTTAATTTCAAGAAATTATCATTCTGAAATAAAAATACATTTGTTGTTATTTATTAATTGATGCATCTTTTTAGAAAATAATTAATGTTAAGGGTGCACATGAGAGGATCATGTAAACTTCAGAATTTAGAACCTTATTTTTAGGCATTATCTTGGCTACCTATTTAGGCTCGAAAAGCAAAAAATATCAAAAAATACAACTTGAGTCCATTATGACCCTTTCATGGAGGTAGTTTTTATCCGCTAGTATTTTCCCTTTGAATCTCTTTACAATTCGAAATCAAATTCAAAACTCAGTAGAAGAAAGGAAGAATCGACTTACTACGGTTGTAATACGAATAAATACATATATTTAATTATTTTTATTTACATAATAATTGTTTGAAGCTCATATTCCATCAAATTTTTAAATAAAAACATTAAAATGTTGAAAATGTTCATATATTTTAATAGGGTTTTGGCACTTTATTGAGGAATTACTACATACATAGTCGAACTGAACTTGATATTTTGAAATTTAAATTATTTAGTCATATTTTGCATAATTCTAAGTAGATTTTGTAAAAAATCAAGAAAGAAAATTTTTAACGTGCTTTATTTTTTCTTTTTTATAATAATACATATTATTATATAATTAACATATTCATAATGTTTCACCCTTTCAAAAATATAATCCTCCTCTCAAATAAACGTACATACGGGTGGCCTCTTTTTTCAAAAAATTAAAATTTGAAATTTTGGGCTCAAATATTAGAAATTTTTTCAACCTTCAACGATATATGTTGTCTATATCAGACCTCCTTTCTTTTTGATACTTAACATTGTTCCTAAATCCTAGCCGTTAAGGCTGTTCTGAAAATATTTTTTTTCGAAAAAATTCGAAAAAAATTCTTAAAATTCAAAAATCCCTTAATTCCTGAGGATTTTGGGAAAAAGTTTTTACATGAACATGTGTATATTATATGAAGTATATTGATAAGGTAAAAATCAAATTTTATTGCATATTCATCGAGAAAATAAACTAACGAATCCCTCAAAATTGAGAGGGTAATCCTCCTCCTCTCAAATAAACGTACATACGGGTGCACCCTTAATTATAGTGTTCTCAAAATTGAAAAGGTTCTCAATTTATCAGGAACTTTGAACGCTTATTGTTTGTTATCCGATGCGTTTTTTTCAAAATAGCCTATAGCGGAATGTACCTATATAGAATCATGAATCTAATGAGGGCATTTGCAATGAACATGAACTTTTATTTTAAAGAATTCAAGTGTGCATTAAGCCATAATGTTGAATTTAATTTATTTAATATGATCAGCATCTTCTGACAATTAGTGGCCGGTTGCTCACTCAATTTTATTTTTTGCCAGATCAAATTTTTAAATGAGAAATCTCTTTCCAAGCGAAAGCAAGGAATTCCACAATCAAACATCACTCAGCACTGTAACCGATGAAGAACTTATTGATAACTCCGCATTAATAAACAAACCAAAAGGCTTTGCCAAATTTGTAATTTTTATTTTATTCATTTTATCATTTGGAATCTTACGCCTTATTGGTCTTGTTCTTGCATTGTTAGTATATATCTTGTTCATGATGCCAGTAATTCCATTCCTAGGAACAAGATTTGTTAAACACTTCACAAAGTACGGTATTTTTATTACTCAATGCTATATCCGTGTATTTGCCTTTTGCTGCGGAATGTTCTATATCAAAGTTGAAGGACAATTCGAGCCAGACACAAGAATGTTTTGCTTTAATCACCAAACTCTCTTTGATGGTCCACTAATCTATATCTACAAGGTATTTACTGTCATTTCTATGGCTGAAATGCTCAAAGTTCCATTGTTTGGCCAAATTTTGGCAGCTGTTGATACAGTTTTCATCGATAGAACAAAGGCAGCAGGAGCCTCAACATACATAACAGAAGCAATTGAGCAGGAAAATCGTTATCCAGTTGCTTTGGCCCCAGAAGGAAAGACCACACAAGGAAAATTCTTATTAAAGTTCCATTCTGGCGGTTTCCTTACAACAAAGCCATTCCAAACAGTCACTATCAGATATACAACATACGGAACATTCGGTCTTGTCGGTTACAATTGGAATGTTGGCGGATTTGGATCATTTATTTACAGAACCCTTTCAATTCCATTTGCTACAGTCACAATTTCGATTTCCAAGCAACATACAACAGAAGAAATCAAGGACATGAAGCCAGAAGAAAGAGCACTGTTAGCCAACCTCGAAATCGCCAATAAACTGGGACTGAAGGCTTCTGATCGTACAAATACTGAAGCTGTTAACTTGTTAAATGAATACTTAGGAAAGAAAGTGAAAAAAGATTAATCTTATTTTTAATAAAACTATCTAATTTAATGTTATATGATTTATTTTATAAAGCTGTTTATAAACTAGAAAATTTTTGTATTATTTTGCTCAATAAATTCAATATAAAAATCTTTTTATTTAGAAATAGATTTGGTCTTGTAAACTGTTTGAATACAGAACCATCACTTAATTCTCATGAATTTTTAAAATGCATTTATCTAACTATCTATAGATTAATGAATTTTCTAAATATCTTTTTATCTAGAAATAGATTTGATCTAGCAAACCGTTTGGGCACAGAACCATTACTTAATTCTAATAAATTTTTCTTATGCATTTATTAGACCAAAAAAAATGGTATGAAACTAACGAAAAAGAGTTAGATCACAATACATATCACCTCGAAAATAATAACATGATATGGAATTTAATGCTTTTTCAACAAAAATTTGAATCTTTAGAAGAAATTAAGTAGTGGAAGTTTGAATTCCATCAAAAGACACTCTATACCTTTTTGTATGATGAAATATATAAGCAAACCAAATTTTTTCTGTAGATTACTTCTTCTTATTTGATTTAAATTTTAAAAGGGTGTTATATCTATTGTATTTAAATAAAGTTTACAAAATAACTTAGTAATATGTATGAAATATGTTAACAGTTTATAATTCATCATCGTCATAATCGTAATCATCATCATTTCTCTTAGGTTTTTCAACAAAAGGAGTTTCCTTTGGGAAGAATATTCCTTCAGAAACCTTCCAAACAGCATCTGAAGAGAGAGGTGTGCATCTAACTGCGAATTTATTTGTTTGCTCTGGGATTTTATCTGCCAAATTTGAGGATAAGTAGCATTTGTATTTTACATTCTGGAATAAGACTTCTTCTCCTTCATTCCAAACAGTTGCGTTATTTTTACACTCTAAAATCCATTGGTCTGCTGGTTCTGTTTTATGAGTAACAGCCGATGCAATTGATACGCCTGATTTGACTTTTGTTGATAAGTATAATTCTGTTGAAGGTGAAGAAAGAACAATAGTAGCTCCGCATGGAACTGGATTGCGAGCAAGACTGACATTTTCTTCATCTGGCTCAACTGTCCAGAACCAGCCGTGATCATATGGTGGTCTTGATGTATAAACTAGAGGAGGTTCATTATTGTACATATTTTTTTGAATGACAACTCCAAGTCGATTCTTTGTATATATTCCTTTAAGCTGAACTGATGAAGTATATGTAACTATAGAACTTGAAGAAAATGCTGCAAAAATAAACATCCTAATTAAATTTAAATAAAAAAGTGACATTTTCTTTTTAGAAACTCCGAAAATGCAATCATATTTATGGTGTGATATAAGGGAGTACTTCATCGACAACAAAGATATCTCCCAGAACTGTGTCCATTATACTCAGCATTAATGTGTTAATATGGTTAATTAACATTAAATTATTAATATGGGATGTTTAATTAACAATACCGCCATTACTGAAAAAACAGAGTCACCTAAAATTGGAAAACTGAACAAGAAAATTTAACCTGGCTGCCTATAAGGTTGCACTTACCATTTTTTGACATTCCCTCTATTTTTTGACACTCAAAGTTTCATGAGCCAGTTTTCATATCTAAAAAGTTAATATTTTTCGTCGGATGAGCCAGATACCATCAATGACCTGTGAGAGTGCGTATGAGAGCTTGAGGCCGATGCATTTGATGACTGCATCTTGGACAAATGACTAAACCATGACAAGAATGAAGAAACACCAAGGGTGGTGAGCTCAAAGCGGATACCTTCATTGTGGTCCTTGCCTTGGAGCTTGTAAAGATCTGTTCTGACTTAACTTGAGCAATCGTTGTTGAAATCAACATATCCCATCCAACGATGGATGTGGAGAACTGGCTTTGGCATTGACTTGAATGAATGGAACATTTGGAACAATTACTCATGAACAGCAATGCATGTTAGAACGACGCTAACGATGATGAAGATGCAGCCGCAGATAATAACAAGTTTGTTGGTACTAGGCAACATTGAAGCCACCAATGAAGTTAGAGAAAACTTGATCAAAGCCAATCATGGTTGTAACGATGGAGTTGGAAAGAAATTGTGATAATCTATAATTAATCATAGAATGATTTCCGTTTAATTTCAATATATACTATGAACTTTTAAAATATTTATACTTTACTTGCTAATATAGAAAAATTGAACCAAAAAGATTGCTTAACTTTTCAATTCCTCTGGAATGGTTACTTAAAACAGTATTTTCTGACATGTTATAAAACAAGGATGTTTACAAACAATAGTATTTATTCATTCATACAAACAGACATATTTAAGAAAAAAAAAGACAATCAGTTGTCTAATCTAATCTTTGCTACAATTAGATTGATTGACGTCGTTTTGTCTTTTAATGATTTAGCAATTTCCCGCATTTCAGCAATACGGCTATTTGAAATTTCTAATTTTGGTGGTCCTGACTTTGTAATGTATTTGTTATCTTCTAAAAACTTTCTAAGATCATCAGATTCGTTTTTAAAATCTTCTTCGACTTTTTTATCTGCCATATTCGATTTTTTTATACCACTTTTTTCGTTCTTTATTAGCGGATCATTTTCTTTTAGATGATGGATATACTTTTCTTTTGCATCTTTGATTTGCTCATCGCTTAAACCAAAAGGATTTCTCTGAGTCATAAAAATTAAATTCAAAAATAATTTTTGCCGACCAAATAGTTTGTATCGTCAATGTTTTTAAATCATAAATCCTGAGAAATATGCAGTAATGGAAGTTCAAAAATATGTTCAAAATGTTGAGATGACTCTCTGATGAATCAATGATGTTATCAATAAGGCCTAATACAAAATTTCCGAAAGATCATAATACATATTATTTGTTTGTGCAACAAGAAAAAAAAAATTATTCTAATGTTGATGGAAAAATGTAGTAATTATACAGTAAAGAATCATAAGATCTGAATATAGAACATCCTCTTTCGAATTAAGAGCATTAACTTGCTGAATAATTTTTTCGAGAATAATTTGCATTGATTTTACAGAATCATCAGGAGCTAAACGAGTTTCATATATGCAAGCTGTAAATATCCAAATTAAATCATTTTTAGTGTAATCTATTTCATATTTGGAGAAATAAGCAAAAAGATCGCAAATGTCATCGCATCCAGAAATTTCACTAATCTGGGGTGGTTCTCCATTTTCTATTCTTTGAATTAATTTATCAATATTTGTTTCTTCTGTAGTTTTACTTAATACTGATATGTAAATTCTCATATATGAGAACCACATAGAGAATTTCTTGAGCCATTCTTGATCAGGTATGAATTTGTCCAGAAGTTTTAACTTCTCATCGACGGGTTGAATATATTTAAATGAAAGTGTAGATTGATCGAGATCTTTATCAATATCGTTTTCATTTTTAGAGGCTTCTTTGATTTCTTCAGCTTGAGTTGGATTTTTTTTCTTTCCAGTCATTAATTCCCAAACTGATGTTTTCATTTCAATATTAATGAAAAAAAAATTCAATGTTTATGATTAGCTATCGTGATACCACTTATTACATATATTCCAGTTTAATTTTCAAGCGAAAAAGTATATTTTTATTCAAATTTAAGGGTGCCCTATAACGATAATGTAAACATCACAAAATTAACCTTATTAGAACTCGAATGAATGGATTATCCAGATTCTAGTTCTCAATATAATAGCCTTAAAAGTGCTTTTCTGAGGGTGGTCTATCGTCTATAGGGCACCCTTAAAAAAAATGGTTGTTAACGTTCCTGACATCTTTTATTGACTGGTTTATAAATTTTTGTATGCATCATTTTAAAAGATTGTATTTTTTTACATTTTCCTCTCAATTTGTCCGATAGAGTCTCTACCTTTGACTACCGACTTCACTTTGTGGGGGAGTTGTGTAAAGGCAGGGGCGGCAAACATGTAAAGTATTTCAATATTATTTATTTAGATGTGTAGCATTTTCTTCATTAAAAAAAATATTTTACACGACACAAAAGTATTCAAAATTATTTCCAACGTATGCTAATAATTCAATTTATTAATACATATCATGGAATGATTTGATTAAAAGTGTCCAAAATGTGTTATTTTCTATTCAATTGCGTTTACCAATTTGTCAATAATTGAAATCATTTCAATTGTATAGTAATTTCATTCTTCTAAATGAAGTTTCTTTGTGCATTCATCAACAGAGGCGCTGACAATGAGATTAAAATAGATCTCTCTGCAAAGCCAAAGCGAACATCACCTTCAATTACATACGTTATACCAATGATTACACTGTGCAATGCCACGATAGATTTATCATTGGAGTTCGATGAGTTCAAAGAATTCAATGAATTCCCTCATGATTTCCATTTCATCCCAAGCGATTGTTAATTTTGTTTTTTTATTTGTTATTAGTAAATGATTATGTTTTATTATCAAATTATTACCAAATCTCTTTATCAGATCTCAATTTGATGTGATTAACGTTAAATATGAAACGATATAAGATTTGACTGATTAATTTCAATTCAGAGAAAAAAAAATTAATAAGTATATGATTAGAGCATATTAAACATTATACTTTAAAAACACAACAATACAAAACAAAAAAATACCAACCGTTAATACAAAGGCATTGGCTGTGGAACAGTTTTACGAGGTTTTGGAGGAACTACAGATGTTAAAAATCTTGAAGACTCCTCACACTTTTCTTGATGTCTGACTTCATGTAAATAAAAGTCTGGCATTGTATAATGTTTTACTGGTTTTTTCATTTCTTCTAAGTGCAAAGCAACTTCAAAATCTCGTATTTTTTGGAGATCTTGTGTTAATTTTTCTCGTTCTTTATCACATCGGTATTTTTTAATTGCTTGACGTGTAAATTTTTTTGCAAGTTCTTTATCTTTTTGAATTCTCTGTGCTGCTACTTCGTCTTCTCGTTTCCTCTGTCTAATATAATCATCAGTTGCATTATCATTTTGTTTGTGTCGAGAATAGTACTTTGCCATAGATTGAGACATTGCTTTCGCTTTCTTTGGTGATTCGGGTGGAGGAATTCGAGGATCTATTAATGGCGGCCGCTCCTTTTTAACCTCTTTGGTCGAATAATTAATATGCTTTTGTTGATTTGAGTTTGAAGAATTCGATTTGTTGTCATCAGATTGATTGTTGTTTTTATTTCTAAATTTTTTTAAGATATTTTCTTTATTTTTTTGAGAGAAGTTTGAATCTGGATCTGAAACCATATCTAGGTAAATCTGATGAGCAGCTTCTAGCCTTTCTTTAGATAAAGGAGGAGATCTTCGGTTGCTCATTCCTTTTTAACGTACAGTAAAATTTATAATTCAACCTTATTTGACTCAAAATCAACTTTCGAACAAAATAAATCTAGATAAAGTAAATAATTTTAGTCCATTAATATGTTGTCACCAAAATCTCTAAAAGGTAAAGGAAACTGAAATAAATCATACATTAGAGTTTGAGTTAACATCTCCATGAGATATGAGAATATCTGCTATTTCTTTATAATTCTTATTTACTGCATAATCAAGAGCAGATTTTTTTTCATAATTTCTAATATTAACATCCGCTCCATGTGAAATAAGCAATTTTACCATATCTATTTTATTTTCTTTTGCTGCAATATGGAGGGCAGTTTCATTAAGGTAGTTTGTCTTATTAATATCGGCGCCATGCGAAAGAAGAACTTCAGCTGCATTAGAATTACATATGTATATTGCCATATGAAGAGGACTATATCCATCAGCTGTTATTGCATTGACATCTGCTCCATTAGCGATAAGGATTTCTAATGCTTCGGTATTTTTATTATTGAGGGTCTCATGAATAGGAGTAATATTTTGATTGTTTTTTGCATTAACAACTGCCCCATTATCAATAAGAAGTTGAACTATTTCTTTATTTCCATTTTTTGCTGCATAATGAAGAGGTGTATGGTTATATCTCTCTTTGATATTTACATCTACGCCGTTAGAAATAAAGAGTTCAACTAATTCTTTTCGACCATTTATTGCTGCTAAATGAAGTGCAGACTCTTCAACATCATTCATTATATTTACATCTACACCGTGAGAAATAAGAATTTCAGCAATGTCATATCTATTTTCATTTATAACATTTTCAAAAGCTCGTCTTCCATAAAAGTTACCTTTTTTAGTTATATCAGGACAATGGTCGAGTATATATTTATAAAATGCAGGAAGATGGAAATATGGACGATGAAGAAAACATGAGTTGAAATCATTTGTTTGCTCTAAACCAATTAAATATGTTTGGAGATTGTTGAAATCATTGCAACAATTTATATAAATTGGTATGTTATGTTCATTCATCAAATACGTGACAAAATCAATATTGTGAGAAATTATTGCATAGCTGATGCAATCTCTGCATGGTTTTTCGTATTTCAAGCATTCATTTAATATTTCTGGATTTCCACTCAAAAAAGAAAAATGAAGGCATTTATGAGTGATTTTTGAGTTGAATTTTGATCTTAATAACTTAAAGCAATCAACAGCTCCATGATAACAACATAACTCAATCAAAGTATAAGAAGTAGATTGCCTTGGATAGAAATTGCTAGAGTATTTTTGATCCTTATCAAAACCATCCATTTCTGTGAATATTATAAATGATTTTATATCATTTTTCATAATCGCTTTATATATTGAGTTTTCTTCATGAACATCTATTGAATAATTTTTCGCTTCAAATTGGTTGAAATATTTCTTATTTGTCTCATTAAAAACAATTCCATATTCTTTATAAAAGAAATAGTCAAAAAGCGGCGTAATTCTCTCGATTACTTTTGGTTGATAATCTTCAAATATTCTTTTGGCTATTGTCCAAAACGATTTAAAATAGCGATTATTGAATACAGCGACATCTTGTATTTCACGAATGAGTTCTCCTGGTTTATAGAGTTTTGTATCAAGTAAATTTGTCTTGAGAAATTTGTAAAATGCGTCTATCTCTTCTTCATCATTTGCTTTTAGTTGATAAAGAGCGTTAATTGTATCAATATAATCTTTGGCAAAGCTCATGACTTCATCGTATACACCTGATTTCATGGTTGATTTTAAAATTTGACAAATAAATTAGATCAGATTGTAAAGTGTCAAATTTAACAACCAAATGTCACCTTTCTTTTAAGTGGCCACTTAATTATGAGTGATAATCAGCCATTCGAGTTGAGTTATGTTCCAGTTGATAAAAACAATGTTGGACTTCTTCGAAGAATTCATCGTGAAACACTTCCTGTCCATTATGGTCGCCGTATTTATAAAATGTTCGAAGAAGGAAAGATTGCACATGGATTGCTTGTTTATTTGAACAATGATCTCCCAATTGGTGAAATTTGCTGGCGTATCGAAGAAGACGAAAAGGATCCAAAGATACATAAATTATATTTAATGACAATCGGAGTTTTACACACATATCAACGTCGTGGAATCGCACGTAAGCTTTTGCAACATATTATTGACGAAAATAAAGATGTTGATGAAATTTACCTTCATGTTTTATACAGCAATGAAGTTGCTATGAAATTCTACGAAAACTTTGGTTTTACAAAGAAAGAATTCCTTCCAGGATATTACAAAGCCTTGGAAATCGGAGATGCTTACATTTATTCCATGCCAGGCTCAAAAACCACTCAATAACTTGTATACTAGATGTTTTTAATTACTTGTAAATAAAAATAAAATAAAATACTCTCATTATAATAAAATTCTTAATTTTTTCCTATTTCTGTTCTTAAAATAACTTTGATTTTGCCAACCCCCGATATCTCCTTTAGTAAAACCAACTATTTTGACAAAATAATATTATATTTTTAAATCTATTGCTGATGTATCAGTCATCTACTTAGGAATAGAATCAATCAGTTTATGTTTGTCATTGATTTACTATAAATATGCTTTAGATGATTTTGTTCATCGAAAGATATTTAGTTTTAGGTCAATAGTTAAATATTTTGATGTAAAAAGATTTTTTATGAATCTTTAGTTCTAATTTTTCTAGTTTTGTTCCAAAATCTTCAATGAGCAAATATAGTCACTTTTTTCAAAAAAATGGAGAGTGATACCACAAGTATTTCATTTCAGCCGCTTTCTGGAGCCCAATCAACCACTCCATTTGCTTATCTTCTCCATGTTGATGAATTCACATTTTTATTGGACTGTGGTTGGACAGAAGATTTCAGATTAGAAGATATTCAAACACAAATAGAAATTTGTTCTCATGTTAATGCAGTTTTGCTTTCACATGCCTCTATAGAGCATATTGGAGCGCTTCCTTATCTTTGCAGCCATGGTTTATCCGCTCCAATTTTTGCAACTATGCCAATTCCAGCTCTTGGATCACTTCTTATTTACGATTCATATTTAAACATACGCGATGAAGAAGAATTTAAAGAATTTAATGCAAATGACATCGATCAAGCTTTTCAAAAAATTAATCGTATGACATATCAGCAATCAGAACAACTTGATGGCAAAAACATTACAATTACACCATATAACGCAGGAAATACGCTTGGTGGAACCGTCTGGAGGATCGTAAAAGGCCAAAATGAAGTTATTTACTCAGTTTCAGTTGGCGACCACAGTAAATACCTCAGCAGCTTCAGCCTTGAATCCGGATTGCATCCAACCCTCTGGATTCTCGATGCGCGAGGCCCAGAGAGCCATCGCGACGGAAAAGAAGATGAGTTCTGGAGACAAATATTTGGTAAGCTAAACGGCGGCAAAACGATTATTTTCCCTACAGACGGCGTTTCCGGTTCTTTGGAAGTAATTTCGAGATTAAAAGAACAATGGAAGAAAGTCAATTGGAAATGGAAGATATACTTTTTATCACACAGTTCTCCAGCTGTTTTGAAGAACGCGCAGTCATTATCTAACTATTTATCATTAGATATTCAAGAAAAGATTAATTCAGGCGAATATCCATTCGAATTCAACGACCCTGATCTCAGTTACTTCTCGTGTGTTACCAGTATCAAGGATATCGACTTTAGCCAAGGCTGTGTCGTTATTTCCTCAACAGATACTTTAGAACGCGGTTTCTCAAGAAAATTATTCCTTGACAAGGCCAACTCGGACAATCTGATCATATTTACCCAGAGAGAACCCCCTTATTCGTTGGCCGAAGCCTTAAGAACGAATAATGCCCACAGAACCTTCCGTTTTATCATCAAGCACAGGGAGCCATTGACAGGAGAAGAGTTGGTTAAGTTCATGGAGAAGCAAAGTGCTCTCCAAGAGAAGGCAAACGAAATTGAAGGAGATATCAGCGACGAAAGTGATGAAGTGAGCCAAGAAAACATCGAGAACTCCAGCCAAATCGCACAGTCTCTGAAAAAGCACTTCTTCCAGTTCAAAAGAAAGGAAACTTCAGATTTATCAGATTATGGAGCGAACATTGTAGTCGAAAACTATCTAAAAGGTGCTAACCCGATGGCTCCTTCCAAGATGGATACGTCAAAGATGATAGATTCCTCTCTTACCCAACAAAATTTCATCCAAGAGCTAGTATACAAGCCATCCAAGTTTATGATCACTCAATATGACTACAATTTCGTTGGTACAGCCGTTTTCTGGAATCTCGAAAGAACTTCCGATTATTCTACAATTGCTTACAATGTAACAAGCTTCAATCCGACCGATATCATTATAATTGGCGCTAAGAAGGAGAACTGTGAAGAATTGATGAAGATTTTGAAGGGAAAATCCCCTCAAAATACAAGAATTTATATTCCGGCCATTGGAGAAAAAGTGTCTCTTCAAAGGGATCTGACCACACGTAAAATTAGCCTTTCCCGTGCTTTATTGAGTGGAATTGACTTTGTAAACTGCGGAGTCAACGATATCGCGTACATTGAAGCAACTCTTAAAGCGGATGAGCACCAGCAGTTCGTACAAGCAAGACCTGTCGAAAGCAGTGCAGGACATCAAGCAACTTTCGTTGGAACAATTGATATGAGCCAACTTTCAAGTAAACTGGATTCCCTTGGAATCAATAATGACTTCAAGGCTGGAGGTGTCTTGGAATGCGGTAGAAGAAGAGTTAAAGTAAGATTAGTTAATGAAAAATCAATTACAGTCGAAGGAATGATTTGCCCTGATTATATTAAGGTTAGAAATGCTATACAAGACTTACTTAAGATGATTTAGAGTTTTATATTTTATATTTATTTTTATTTTTGTTTTATCAAGATAATAAAAGAAATGTGTATAATAATATTTCTTATGTCGATCCCACAACCGCTGGAATTTCGGATGGAAGTTACAAAAGTAGCTTTTTTTTCTAAATTGTACTTTTCAATCAGACTATCGGTGATTTTGAATGGGTTTTCTAACTTTGAGTGGCCATATTGAATTTTTGAAGTCGATGTTTTTGGCTTATTTTAATATAATATTTATGATCATTCAATCATGGCGCTTTTAGATAAGTATGATGATGGTTAAATTATATGAAAATAATAAATACTTCTATTAATCAAATTTGGTCTTTAATCTATATTTAATTATTTCAATTAAATAATATATGTATCTGGAAGGAAAAAAATATTGCCTTCGACTTTTTGTTGTTACTGCTTCATTTGAAATATATGAACTTGAGCAAAATCCATAAATTATATCCGAAATCTTTGTGACCATAGTTTTCCAGATCTATAACATTACATTTTTCTTCTAATGATGTTAAAGGATTTTCTGTATGGTAATATGCAATCTTATAACTTTTAAATTTTTTATGTCTGATAAAGACATTCATCCAAATAAATTCAGTGAATTTCGAAGTATCTTCAAATCCTACATTGATTCATACAATGCAATTTATCAGCTAAAAACCCAAAATGAAGAAGAATTAAATCAAATTTACAAAATGATCAAAACAGAATTGCTTGATTCAAAGAAATATCTACCCACATATGTTATAAGAGACATTTTAAATATTGTCATAAGACGAAATGGTGGAAGTGAGGTGAAGTCAAAAAGTGACATATATTTGGCCGGCTAAATTCCCCTATAGTTTACATGTCAAAATTACAATAAATTAATTATTTTGCTTAGCAATTAGCTATGTATTAAAACTAAAATTATTACTATTCAATTCTTTACATTCAAATATTAAACAATTCAAATTTAATAACAAAGATATTACAATAAATAAAAAAATGATTAAAAATGTCCCTGAAAATTTTCTGAAAGCTATCTCGTGTTTAGGTCTCAATTTTTTTTAGAAATAGAAAAAGATTGGATTTAACTTTCAAACATTATATATAGTTTTGTATATGGAAGCCTTTAAATACAAGTTAATGATATGGAGTTGTATTGCGAGGAAGAGGGAATCAAAGAAATTGACGAAGTTCCAGAATTTTATTCAACAATTCTTAATCAATTAACAAAAACTATACCGAAACTTATCTTACCATCCAAATCAAATCACATTACATACGGAATAAACATTTAATCTTTTACCATTAAAATTATATTTATACGTTATTTAATTTTTTACGTCTAAGTTGAATAGGATAATAGCCGAAGATATAAAGTAACTATAGTTTACAAGCTAAGGAACAAATCAGCATTGAAACTAAAAAATGCTGAAATATTATAATAAATTGAAGAAATACTGTGATAGAATACCTAGTTATACTAGATACTATTATAATATGAATTCATTTGTATTGAATATCGATAATAAAAAATCGATGAAATATTAAAATGAGAATAAATTAATAATGAGATTATAAATTAGAATTATTTCTCTTTTATTTAAAATAAAAACTTAGTTCTATTTAAATTCGATAAAGAAGTAAAAAGTTGTATTATACGTATGATGTTGCCCGATGTTTGGTAACACTATTGTAGAATATAAGCATATATGATAGAAAAGCAATATGCTTAATATCGAGTAATTCTAATTTTTTACGAAATTATTCAAATACGTTATTTTTTAAAATGAAAAGATAAGCATACCATTATGCAGTAGTTTGCGCACATATACTATGCTGATGAAAGTTGGTCTCTAATTCGAAACTTGAGTCTGTCAAATTGACGTTCAAGTATTAAAAAGTTGTATTATACGTATGATGTTGCCCGATGTTTGGTAACACTATTGTAGAATATAAGCATATATGATAGAAAAGCAATATGCTTAATATCGAGTAATTCTAATTTTTTACGAAATTATTCAAATACGTTATTTTTTAAAATGAAAAGATAAGCATACCATTATGCAGTAGTTTGCGCACATATACTATGCTGATGAAAGTTGGTCTCTAATTCGAAACTTGAGTCTGTCAAATTGACGTTCAAGTATTAAAAAGTTGTATTATACGTATGATGTTGCCCGATGTTTGGTAACACTATTGTAGAATATAAGCATATATGATAGAAAAGCAATATGCTTAATATCGAGTAATTCTAATTTTTTACGAAATTATTCAAATACGTTATTTTTTAGTTTCAATGCTGATTTGTTCCTTAGCTTGTAAACTATAGTTACTTTATATCTTCGGCTATTATCCTATTCAACTTAGACGTAAAAAAATTAAATAACGTATAAATATAATTTTAATGGTAAAAGATTAAATGTTTATTCCGTATGTAATGTGATTTGATTTGGATGGTAAGATAAGTTTCGGTATAGTTTTTGTTAATTGATTAAGAATTGTTGAATAAAATTCTGGAACTTCGTCAATTTCTTTGATTCCTTCTTGAAGCGTTGAAATTTCCTATTGACTCTCTTTTTATAACTTTTGAAAGAAACCGTAAAAATTGTGAAACATGCTTTTTAATAAAAAACAATTTTGATGAAAACCATAAATTAATTTAAAATTGAAATAAATTTTTGAAATCTATGACATTGAATAAAAAAATTTATAGTGTAGATATTGATATAGATATAGATGTTAATTTTAATATGATATTTGATAAAATTTTTTTATCAAAACATACTGATAATAGGTTGACATGTAATATGATATTTTGCCTTGTAAATATATTTGGTCGGCAAAATAACCTAATTACTCTTATTTTGAGTTCACTTCCACCATTTCGTCTTATGATAATATGATTCCATATAATAATCGTTATACAAAGTCATATTTATCTCTTGCCAAACTCATATCTGATGATTATCATGTCAAAGAGGTCAATGATGTCAAAATTATTTCAAACTTCCTATTTTTCAAAGATTATGGAATTAAATTAGACAAATCTACTGATTTCGGAAAATTTTATATTAAAAACTTCAATATTCTTACAGAAGATACAATTTACAGAGCAATTATGTATAATAACCTAGAAGCATTTATCTCATTCACTGAAAGAGAAGGGTTTAATAAAGATCAAACACTTAAAAACGAATTATATCCATATCATTTTATTGTTGAAGAATATTCACTACTTGAATTATGTTGTTACTATGGAGCAGTTGATTGTTTCAAATTTTTAAGAACAAAATTTGACTCAAAAATAACTCAAACATGTCTAGAATTTTCATTTTTAGGAGGAAATCCAGAGATCATGAGTGAATGTTTGAAATATCAAAAACCAAATAAAGATTGCATGGAATATGCAATTATTTCACATAACATTGATTTTGTTACATTCTTGATGAATGAATACAATATAGAGATCGATTTGGACTATTGTGTACTGTATAATAATCTTGAATCCTTTTTGGTTCATTTCGATCAAACTAATGATATTGACGAATGCTTTCTTTATTCAGCGACATTTAATTTTCCATCCCTTTTGGAATATTTCATTTCACATGGTGCTAATATCAATACAAAAAATAAGAACGGAAGCACAGCACTTCATATTGCAGCATGGAATAATAGAAAAGAAATGGCTGAAATTCTTATTTCACATGGTGCAAATATCAATGAAAAAGATGGAGATGGAGAAACTGCCCTTCATAATGTAATAGCACGGAATTATAAAGAAATGGCTGAATTTCTTATTTCACATGGTGCGAATATCAATGAAAAAAATAAAAATGGAGACACGACACTTCATATTGTAGCACGTGAAAATCGTAAAAAAATGACTGAATTTCTTATTTCACATGGTGCGAATATCAATGAAAAAGATGGAGATGGAGAAACTGCACTTCATATTGCAGCATGGAATAATAGAAAAGAAATGACTGAATTTCTTATTTCGCATGGTGCGAATATCAATGAAAAAAATAAAAATGGAGAAACCGTACTTGATCTTGCAGCATGGAATAATAGTAAAGAAATTGTTGAAGTTCTTATTTCACATGGTGTGAATATCAATGAAAAAAATAAAAATGGAAAAACCGCACTTGATCTTGCAGCAGCACGGAATTATAAAGAAATGACTGAATTTCTTATTTTACATGGTGCAAACATCAATATAAAAAATAAAAATGGAAGCACAGCACTTCATGTTGCAGCACGTAATAATAGTAAAGAAACGGCTGAAATTCTTATTTCACATGGTGCGAATGTCAATGAAAAAGATGGAGATGGAGAAACTGCACTTCATATCGTAGCACGGAAAAATAGTGAAGAAATTGTTGAAATTCTTATTTCACATGGTGCGAATATCAATGAAAAAGACGGAGATGGAGAAACTGCACTTCATATTACAGCAGCACGGAATTATAAAGAAATGACTGAATTTCTTATTTCGCATGGTGCGAATATCAATGAAAAAAATAAAAATGGAAAAACCGCACTTGATCTTGCAGCAGCATGGAATTATAAAGAAACAGCTAATGTTCTTATTTCGCATGGTGCAAAAGAATAATGAGCTTACATAAGTTACTATTCTTTCTTTTTCTGATATTGAATCTAAATTTCAATTTAAATTTCTAAAGTTATTTCGATAATTTTTTAAAAAATATTTTTTCAGGGTGCACTTACGCCCCTATGACAAGGCCTTCAACTCGGTTGTTTAAGGTTAAATTTCAATCATACTTCACGCCAATTGTCAAAAATTTGAATTAAAGTCAGATGGGCGTAAGTGCAGCCTTTAAAAAATACTTTTCTTCTACTGGCTATCTTGTTTCAATTTAATAAATAAATTTTTGAAATTAAAAGTAGCGACCAATATTTACAAACATATATTTAGTAAGTTCTAACTAGCTTATGCAAAGGAGTATGCTCTCGGGGACAACAATTATACGTATCTTTTGATGAACGCTATATAGGAACATGATCGGAGGATTTGATCGTTCAAGATTAGCTAAGCCCTTGTTAATATTATATACAATATGCTATTACATAATTTCCTAATTTGAGTCTCAGAATTTGAAAAAAAAATCAAGTTGGTACTTTTTTGAAATTTTGGATTCAATTCGTTGAAAATTTTAAATTAATAATTAAAAATGTATTTTACTTGTTATGAGCGTGCTAAATTAATGTCTGGCAAATTTAGTTTTCTTATGGGATTTATTTGGTTTTTTAAAATACAACCCCATGAAAGAAGACCAAATAGATATCTTGTTAAATTTTCCCTAGTTATTCTATGTTTCGTTGTTTACTTCTTTAATTCTGATCTACAGCAGAAAGGATCAATCCAACGAATCGGAAAAATATTCTTTGGCGTTATCACAGTACCAAATTCGAATCGCAGAGATGTCCCTTGGAAATATTGGCTTCGAAATTTACTCGATGAAGGATATCATGGAGCAAAATTTATTTCTCCTCCTCAATCTGACTATCCTGATCATTATTACGAACCCGATCCTATGTTTTCAAGATTCCTTTATGGAAAAGTAAATTTTAAGTCAGATCGAGATCGGGCCATCAAAAGAGTCGCAGGCGCAATGTATCTAAGTCAAAATCCGCAATACGACTGGTATTGGTCACTCACTGATGACGTATATCTTGATTTTGAACAAGTTACGAATTATATTCAGGAGTTAGAGAGAACATACGAACCAAGAACCCAACCAGTTCTTAAAGGGCAGTGCTTATGTGCTCATAATTCTAGATATTTGCAAGGTGGTGCTGGTTACATTTTTAGTAAATATGCAGCTAAAGTCTTTGACAACTTTTCATTCAATTGGATAGGAAGTATGAGGCAATATGATGATGCCCATCTTATTGAAGTTATCAAATTATACAATTTTACTTTTGATGACATAAGAGCTTACAATATCTATGGATATGAAGCAAGGAAGCTTGATTCCTATCCGAAACTTCCAATTTGCCCTGCAAAGGTAAGTAAAACATGCTGCGGGTATGATCGGTTAAATCCAATGACAGACCTAATGGCGCTCCACGAAAATTCAAAGGCAAGACTTATTAAAGTAATAAATTTGATTCAAGAGATAAAGAGGACAAATGAATCAATTTATTATTACTATAAAGATCCTTGGTGGATAGAGCCTTGCAGGCTGAATACAACTAGCCTGAATAGTACTACCACGACAACCAAGTAGTTGTTATAAATTGTTTTTGTTGCTATAAATAAATCATGCGTAAAATTATAAAAAAATTATAAGTTCAGTAATCAAAAATTTTCAAATTTTATTTCTTTTACGATCTAATGCATACTACTTTTACCTGATTATGCTCTTAACAAAATTACAATTCGAAATTTTAATTTGCATGTTTATTAGATATTTTGATGATGTTAATAATAATTTTATAGAAAATATAATTATATCACTGATTTGTTTTCTTTACATTTCAAAAGAATTATATCAAAATATCGATTTGAATATGAAAAATTCCAAAAAAATATGAAAAATCTATTTTTCAATTTCAAAAATGTTAGGTTTCAGATCATTTTCAAGATTTCGAATTTTTTTTGGAAATCTGGCAAAGTCTAAAACTAATCCAGGATCATTGCACAAGACTATGTTTGTCATTTCCTGGTTTATTTCCTCTTTCAACACCTAATATCGAATTTCTAATGAAAAAGCGTCCTTACAGCCTATGCAATTGACATATTATACCAAAAATTGCAAAAACTGTCTTCAAAATAAATCATCTATTTATACACACGATTATAGCAATCCAATTACTTATTTTCTATTAAAATAGCTCAGTAACATTTCAACATTAATAGAGAATATTCAAAAGAAATATGGTTTATTGACTTATTTCTAATTTTTTCCTCTAAAATTCTTGAGATATAAAACAAATTTACCAAAGCCAAAAAAAATTTCAAATTAACCCCACATGATTATCAAAATTATCGAATTTACGTTCTATATCCTCACTTAAACTTTATCATTTAAATTCAGAATTAATTATCTATCAACCAGCTCAAAATTAAAGAGTGCCATTCCATTACATTGATACAAAAATTGAGGCTGTTTCATCTAACATATTCAATTCAAATAATTTGAAGAATATTGAAATTGAATAAAGATGTTTTGTATTATTACTTATACTATTTATTACTTCACATATTGGCGATTGACCTCTTCTACTATGATTCGGATAACACTAATAGATTTGAATCAATTTATGAATATTGATGAACAAAGCCTAATTTTTTTGATTCAAGATAGTTTATTGCCAATAAAAATAAAGCCTTTCAATACAAATATAGATTTCTAGCTAAATGTGATTGCAAATTTTGATGAAATCCCTTTAAATTTCCATTTTGATATAACATCTAACTTATCGAAGTCTTACTGATACTATTTATTTGAAAATCCATTATAGAGAAATCACATGACTAGATTTTTTTTCCTCACTTGAACAAAAAAAATTTTTCAAGATGTATGGATCTTTTACTCGCACTCGAGAAGAGATAGAATTCCGTAAACAAAGAGCGGAAACATACAAAAAACTTGTTAAATTAAATGATAGCACTTGGAAACGCTACTCAAAAAAGCAGGAAGATGATTTCGATGATTTACTAGGTGTAGCCGTTGACGATGGACCACAAATCAACATGAAAGGAATGAGTCCAACTGATGTTATGAAAGCTACTAAGTCATGCTATCAAAGATTGTCAACATTAACAAGAGAAAATAAAGATCAGATCATTAAACAAATTAATTCTGTTAAGCTCAACAAATTCTTAGAGGAAACATGCTCCAATTTACTTTCCGCTAAGTTATCTACTTATGACATTCCTGCATTCGTCGAGGTCATATCAATTCTCCATAGCTACTATAAAGAATTCATTCCTCTTATCGCCCCTCGCATTGTCAAAAACTGCAACAATCAAGACGATGTAGCACGTCGCAGAAACTTCATTTATTTATACATTGATTTACTCATTGTTCATGCAGTTCGCGAGACAGAGCCATTTTCGAGCATATTCCTCGAATCATTACAAAGTGATATCACTTCTCAGAGCTACTCTAACTTCACTTTCATCTGGAGTATCATTAAATACGCCGGTGGTGATATTTTCGGCGTTTCAAGAGGTCAGGATACAATTATCGATGCTATATTCCCAGAAAATCCAATCTGTCCAATGAGAAAAGAAATTTTCGGATATTTCAAATCTTTATTAGATGCAATGAAGCAAAAAATGGATCAAGGCCGCGAAAACTTCGAGCAAGCATACTACTTGATTGCCAGATTAGGCTCAATTAACTCGGGATACATGCAAGATGCGAAAGAAGAACGTAAAGAGTACGAAGAGTACATGGAGAAGGCCAAATGCATCGGATTCCTCGTAAACAAGCCAGTTCCAGATGAATGGGTTGACCAGGAAGAAATGTCCGAGTTGACAACCATCGATGGCGTCATTAAAATTCCTTCTAGGATCATTGCTGAGGTCGCCAAGGAGAAGGAAGATAAACCAGAGACACAAGTGTTCACACCATCGATGAATGACAACTTTTACGATGTTATAGCTGATATGGAAGTTCGTTTGTTGGAACCACTCGGCTACGATGTCATCCAAGTCAGGAAAGAAGCCGATCGCGCTACAGATTCCCAGAGAATTGATACTTTGGCCAGACATTATCATCTTATTGACACTCCAGAAGACAGGAAGAAGCTTATCGAGCTGTTTTCCAACATTAATAAAAATAAAGGTAACCAGGCCAGGTATCTTGCAAGATTTGTTGCAGATATCAGTCAAGTTTTCACAGAAGTTGGCCAAGAGATCTCTGAAAACCTTTTCGATGAGTATAAGAGGTTTATTCTTGCAGCATCCTCCCCAAGAATTGCTTCACAGGTCGCTTCCAAGCTTCATCTCGCAAGATATATCGCAGAACTCGCTCATTTCAAGATTGGCATCGAAGAATACTTCAAATGCATCGACTTTACACTAGATAAATTCCGTCCACGTACAGCAGAAATGCTTTGTACCTTGATAAATATCGCCGGAAAATTCTTCGACTCCTACTGCGACCAAACACATACAAATATTCGTCGCGTTATTGAGGAACTCTCAGCGCGTAAGTCTGAGATCGCAACTCATCAATACGCCCTTATGATGGTCGAACAAACGATAAATTCGATCATTCCTCCAGAAGTAGAAGCAGAACCAGTCTTCTATTCGAATGCCGTTAACGAGTACCAAGCATTCCTCATCTACGTCTTCAAGAACGAGATCGAAACTGAAGCCAAACCGAAAAAGTTGATCAGATACATAGAAAAGCTCCTTATCAAACCAGAGAAGACTAAGATAGACTTGACATTCATCTTCAAGCTTGTTTTAGACTTCAATTCCTTCTCTGCAGCACAACTTACTCAATTAGCAAATTTCGTTGCAGAATTCTCCAAGCTCTACCCTAATTTCGGTATCCAAGTTGCAGATATCGTCAGCGAAAGGATCCACAGATTCCTTGAATGCCCCTCAACAAACTACAAACAGAGATTAGTAATGGAATCACGTTTCCTTGCAGAACTCGCTGTCAAAAACGTAGTTTCGTACGAAGATGTCTTGAAATTCATGAATTTCATTCTTTCCTTCAATGTTCCAAATCCAAGGCATCTCCTGATCAAAGTTGAGAAGCCAAAGAAGTCACAATCGAAGGACAGCACGACAAGAGATTTCCATAGAATATTCGTTGTTATAAGAATGTTGGAAACTTTGATGGGAAGAACTACAAATCCGAAATACAACGACCAGATAGCGAAACTGATCAATCACGTGCAGTTGTATACTATCACAAGATCTCCAATCCCTGCAACAGTAGCTTTCAGAATTTCGGACCTCTTGGATTACATAGCTTTAGAAAAAAAGGATATTAATGCAAAAGTGACAAAAATTGAGACCACTCAACAAGCTCGACTTATAAATGAGGATCCTCGCAGTACATACGAGATACGGTTCTTGAAGAGACCTCTACAGATAGTAACAAACATTCTCAAACTTACTCCGGAGCTATCTGATGAAGACGAAGACGAAGAAGATTTTAATGAGTATGAATTGTACGAAACAAAGTTCAACAGAGAAAGAGCAGAGTTCGTGGACTTACTCGAACAGAATACAAAGGCAAAGAATGCTCAACATGAAAAGATTACAATTCCTCTTGATTTAATGAGCAAACAAGAAGAATTCTTCCCAAGAATTTCATCCCAATCAGGACCAGCAGGACCAATCGACTTTTACACGTCTAATAATAAGTTTATTACTATTGATCCTGCAGATATAATGAAATAAAATAAAAAAATAAGTTTTAGATTATATTTTTCATATAGATATGTTTTTAAAATGCAATATTTATAACATCTATTAACTCAATCAAACTTGGCATATTTTGAATAATTTATGGCATTTGGAGTTAAAACCAATGAAGAAGCTATATATTTCATGTGTAGATTTCAAACATAGAAACATTTAAGGAAATTTTTTCAAACCCAGCGATCATTTTTTAATTTTTATTTTTATCGAAAGTCATATCAATTAATATAATATTATTTCCATATTTCTAGTGCCAATTACGTATTTAGTGTGAAACGCACATTACATCAATCTTACCCATAAAAATATGGTGAATAAACACGAACATGAGGAATTTCTTTCGAAAATGATAATTTGTGGTACATTCTAGACATACATTTCACAGATAGCCCCGAGAAATGATTACGAAATAGAAATGTCGATCAGATGGAAATTTAAATAAAGAACAGAAATATTTTTATTTAAATAAGGTAAGAACACTTGAATTAACTTGGTTGCGGAACGCACTTCTCAAGTTAGAAAGTTGTTTTTTAAGCGTCATATTAATTTTCTCTGCGTTCTGAGATTTCTGCTTCAAATCAGATACCATAGATCTCAGCTTAAGATTTTCTCGTGCTAACTGTGTTGACGGTGGTGGCGGTGGCGCATCATCGTCTGAAGAAGAATTTATCTCTATTTCGGGAAATGGTCCTTGCTTAACATTTCCTTTATTGTCTGCAGGATTTTGCTGCAGAGTTGGGGCTTCGCCGGTATAAGGAGTGAAAGAGCCGATCTCCCACTCATCATAATCTTGGGTCCACTCGTCCTCGTCCATTAATAAAAGTGACTGATTTTCTTATCGTATTTTGAAAACAAAATCTCCGATTATTGTTGGGTGATATATTTTCAGTATGATATGAATAAAAAATTTCGCTGAAGTCCGTACAAAATTGAGAGATACAATCCAATTTTTGATAATAATTATCTAACCTCACATAATATTTATAATTTGTCATAACCGAAATGAGAATAATCCTGAAACAAGACTAAAAAGCGAACGTAAAAAATTGAATGCCGAATTTGGCCTGACTCTGAAATTTTATATTAAATTTAATGAAATATTAATTATCTACCTTATCTCAGTATAAAATAATTTTCTGATAACCTTGAAAAAAGCTAAGAAAATTGAATTGCAAATTTCTTAATCCAAAAATATTGATGTTTCACCGGAATTTATACTCAACATTACTGTGCAAATGTAACAATAGATTGACCACTTCTTTTGACTTATCTTCAAAGAATGTTACATTTTATTTTTTAAAAACATACGGAATTATGGAAATCAGAAATATCAGATTATCATGATACATGGTTTGGACTTTCCTTTCAAAGCAAAAACTTCGTTATAAATTGTAAACTAGTGTCACATTTTATACTTATACCACCCCCAATCTCGAAATACAATCGACTAATCTAAGTCGACAGATTTTAAATCTACCGAACTTCACCATCGTGGTTCTAAGCTCAATTGCAAAACTTTAATTATCTTTTTCAAATGATCGCACACTATTTTTCACTATAAATCTCTCCTTTTAATAAAAAGATGATCGAATTGAATCACACATACCGACAATGCTACAAACTTGATCACTTCTGATCATTCCAGACCAGGTTTACATTTAATATAATTTTCTATCAGCATTTCAAGTTATTTACATATCCTTTGGTAATTTATTTTCGAATTTTCTATTTGTTTGCATTGATATATTTATTTTTCTCATCAATTTCATTCATTTTGAATTGGATTTTAAATTTAATAGCATCCTCCTAAGCTAAATACCTTATATCAGCGTCTATTAAAAGGTGTAAGATGATCCCTATCAAAAATATTGCAATATTTTTTTTTAAATAATTTTATTCGAATGTACATACAAAAATGAGTATACAAAGGGATATAAATTAGAAGGGATATGAGCTTATTTAGGAATTTAACATATGAAAAATAATAAATATAGTGCTCCCAAAATCTCAGTAGTGAGGATCCCTCAAATATAAAATGTAAACCTCTGTGTATTGAATTGGGATTTGTAAACCTCACTACTCGAATTTGATGGCGAATTAAGAAATTCTACTTGACCTTTTAACGCAAATGGAAAAGTATCCATTTTCTACTAGTTCGGGGGTGCTTTTCGGCTTGTTAATTCATTTATACAGCATATCACGAAAATAATAAACGAGCATTTTTTGTTCAGAAAATTGAAATTGCGTTGTTTCATCAGAATTGATGCACAAACTAATATATTAAAAATCATTAAAATATCTTGATTTTGAGTTTCAAAATATTTTTGATCAAAAATGCGACCCAAATCGCAATTTTTTAATAAAACCAAGCAATTTATGAACCATACTGTTATAAATTTATGAGAAAGACAGGACTAACAAAATTAGATGTTTACATTTATTCAATATTAAATTTGTTTGTTTTGGATTATCAATGTAAGTAAATCATATTACATTTCATGCACGTTTTTACTCTCACAAAATTGAATTACTATTCAACTGCGATTTTGAGATGACTATATTTTATTCCTAGAGCATAGTGAGGTAAAAATATTATGAGCATTGATAGTATATTAATGGTCAATTTGATTTTGAATTTTGAGATAAAAATTGATATTTGTCATTACAAAAATAATAGAACCAGATAGTACAAATTGAAAACCCTTCGCCAGCCGGAGCTAATGATATGATATTTGATATTGGGCGTTCATTTTTTTTTGTTTCAAATTTCTTTGTTTTTATTTTGTTCCAATCACATAACGCACTCATCTTTTTAGCATCATTTTTTATCTTCAACTTTCTGATCATTACGTACCCCGTTACAAGATCCAGGCATCAATACATATTATACTCAGTAAATGCTACGAAAGTAAAAGATTTTTGCCCATTTACTATTTTCAAATCATTATTCAAGTTAAGCGAGACTTTTCCAGTTGAAAGAAAGGATACTGCGCTATTCTACGGAGAAAAAATGAACCTTTTTATTCATAATATCATTGAAGGCAGAGAATCTTTCATTGATCAAGCCCATCATTTTCATGGTAACTGGGTTCATGCAAAGAAAATGTACGCTTCATACGAGTATGCCATTTCGGATGGAGTTACAGTATTTGAAGCAGGAGATATGAACAACTTTAGAAACATCTTTAAATATCATCCTGGTCGAGTTGTTGGTGCATATGATAACGTTATAGTCCTTGGCCATGTAGGAGTAGGCCTTTTTGGACATTTTATGAATGAAGTTTTGACACAGACAGTACTTTTCCCAGAAGAAATACAAAGGAAGTCATACATAATAGTAAAAGGAAATCGTTCCATGTGGGAGGGAATCATGGCTGCTCTTGGATTCGAAGGAAGAACAATTGTTCTTCAACCAGAGCAATGGATTTATTGCGAGAACCTCTATACAGTTGTTGAACCAAGACCTCATGGAGGGTATTACGGGCCAGCAATAGATAATCTTCATACTGTACTTAGAAAAGCTTTTAACATTTCTCATATTATTCCGACCAAAATCGGGTTTTTGAATAGGAAAGGACCTCTAAGAGTTGTAGCAAACTACGGAGCATTGATTGAAGCCGCAAAAAAGAAATACCCTGATTCTGATTTCTTTCTTATTCCAGACACATTAGTTGCATATGAAGCCGCTAAGACATTTTCGACTTGTAGAATTATGATGACAACTACGGGCTCTTCCTGTAATAATATTATGTATATGGCTGATAAAACATGTATTATTAAGTTGGTAGGGCCAATAGTTGACGTAAGTAATATTGTTGTGCCAATATCAATTGAAATATATCAAATCAACATATACTATCCAGGTTTGCTTCATTAAAAGCCTACTATAACTCATGTTAACATTAATGAGGCATTGAAAGCCATTGATTTGGCATTTTACGTCACAGAACATCATAAGTGGCCTCAAATTGCCGAATTCAATTACTTTATCTAATATATTTAAAAAATTTGTTTATTTTTTTTGTATATAAATAAAAATCTATCTTTTTCAAACAATCATTTTTAATGTACATTACCTTTATGCAAACTATCCTTATATAATATGAGAAGTGATTGCATTCCATTCATATTATATTTGGGAATGAATGGTTTTATATTCCATCTTCTTAATCTCATCAAGGTTTATAATTCGTACATTTATGAATAATAAGGGGATATCCAACGGGAACATTACGATATCCTTAAGGGTGCCCTATATTGTCGTCCAAAAAGGCAATTATTGATTTCATGCATAACAATTGAATTTATTGTATAAATGAACACTTTAAAAGTTTCAAATACCATATATGTAATATTCTGATTTAATGACAGAGAATATCAAATCATAAAAAATAACAAATTGATAAAATGCGATATTTATTTCAGAATGATAAAGCTATTTCTTGCTATACGAAGAATAGAAATTTAATATAGCTTATTTACAGGATAAAAAGATGCCTTGAAGATATTCATAATATAATATTTGTTATATATCCTTAATAACTATATGATATGTTTATATAAATATAGTTTTTTTAAAATATATATATAATTTAGTTAAAAAGCATTCCAATATATAGACGAAAATAATAATACCCTTTTTTTTTCATTGATATTCTAACCATGAGAAATAAGGACTTCGGTCGTTTCTTTATAATTCCATGCTGCAAGAAGAAGTGCTGCGCCTACATTTTATATATTTTTTTCATTGTGAAATAAGAATTTCAGTCATTTCTTTATAATTCCATGCTTCTGCAAGATCAAGTGCGGTTTTTCCATTATTATTTTTTTCATTGATATTCGCACCATGTGCAATAAGAACTTCAACAGTTTCTTTACTATTATTAATTGCCGCAATATGAAGTGCGGTTTCTCCATTTTTAGTTTTTTCATTGATTTTTGCACCATGCGAAATAAGAAATTCAACCATTTCTTTACTATTATTACGTGCTGCAGTGTGCAGTGCTGTGCTTCCATTTTTAGTTTTTTCATTGATTTTTGCACCATGCGAAATAAGAAATTCAACCATTTCTTTACTATTATTACGTGCTGCAGTGTGCAGTGCTGTGCTTCCATTTTTAGTTTTTTCATTGATTTTTGCACCATGTGAAATAAGAAATTCAGCCATTTCTTTATAATTCCGTGCTGCTGTAATATCAAGTGCGGTTTTTTCAAATTCATTTTTTATATTGATATTTGCACCATGTGAAATAAGAACTTCTGCCATTTCATCATAATTCCATGCTACTACATTATGAAGTGCTGTGTTTCCATTTTTATCTTTTTCATTGATATTTGCACCAAGTGAAATGAAATATTCCAAAAGGGGTGGAAAGTTAAAGTTCACTGAATTAATAAAACATTTGTTAATATCATTAGTTTGATCGAAATAAACTAAAAATGATTCAAGATTATTATAATTTATGCAATAACTTAATCTGATCTCTATATTGTACTCATTCACCAAGAATGTAACAAAATCAATGTTGTGTGAAATAATTGCATATCTCATTGTAATTCCATCTGGTTTTTGATGTTTCATACATTCACTCATGATCTCTTGATTTCCTCCTAAAAATGATAAATTTAGACATGTTTCAGTTATTTCTGAGTTAAATTTCGTTCTTAAAAACTTGAAACAATCAGCTGCTCCATAGTAGCAACATAAATCAAGTAATGTATATTTTTCAAAATAACATTGATATGGAAATAAACTGCTTTCAAGTGTTTGATCTTTATTAAATCCTGCTCTTTCAGTGAATGAGATGAATGCTTCTAGGTTATTATACGTAATTGCTCTGTAAATTGTATCCTCTGTAAGAATATCGAGATTTCTAAATTGAATTTTTTCGAAATCAGTAGATTTGTCTAAGTTAATTCCATATTCTTTGTAAAATAGGAATCTTAAGAAAATTTTGACATCGTTCACCTCTGTGACATGATATTCATCAGATATGAGTTTGGCAAGAGATAAATATGACTTTGTATAACAATTATTATATGGAATCATATTTAAAATGTCTCTGATAACATATTCAGGTAGATATTTCTTTGAATCATTTTGTAAATTTGATTTAATTCTTCTTCATTTTGGATTTTTAGCTGATAAATTGCATTGTATGAATCGATGTAGGATTTGTAAATACTTCGCAGTTCACTGAATTTATTTGGATGAACGTCTTTATTAGACATAAAAAATTTTAAAAGTTATAAAATTGCATTTTACCATATAAGATATCCTTTAAATTCATTAAAAGAAAAAAATCTAATGTTATAGATCTGGCAAACTATGACCACAAAGATTTCCGGTATAATTTATGGATTTTGCTCAAGTTCATATATTTCAAACGAAGCAGTAACAATGAAAAAGTCGAAGGTAATATTATTTTCATCCACATGCTTATATCTTTATATATTTTCTGGCCTCAAATGGCTACATTTGCCCTTCGGGCATACCTGCCACCTTCGGCAAGGTACACATAAATTGAATATAGGAAATGAACTTATTCAAATATATTTGAGTGAGATTGATTAAATTTTCTGAACGAAAACTATCAAAATTAAGTCATAAAAAAAGGTTGTTCAGATCTTTTCTCACAGCTTTTTGAGAGACCAAACTCTGGGTGTCTATTATAAGTACAAATATAAAAATAAGAATTTAATGTATTGAAGATTAATAATCCAAAAAGTAGTTGTTTAAATACTCAGTGTCTTGAATGAGAATTTAATGTATTGAAGAAAAGTAATCCCACTTCGAATTTTTGTAATGCATGAAAATTCGGTTCAATTCATTTTTGACACTTTACATATCGGATATATTATCTAAGAATATATATATAAAATAATAATTTGTGTTTATATGTTTATTTGTATAAATTGATTCAAAAAAATGGAAAGACAAGAAGTGGATCTGCCAAATGAAAATCAGTTTTTGAACTTTGTATAAGGAATTGTTGGCTATGATGTACTGATCATGAATCAGTACATCATAGCCAACAATTCCTTCCCAAACAGCGGGAAACTTTGTCTGAATAGTTTAACATTCAGACAAAGTTTCCCGCTGTCAGAGAGGGGATGGAAGGGTAAGAGGTATATATTCATAATGTATACCTCTTACTCTTCCATTCCCTCAAGAAAGTTCAAAAACTTGGGTGCAATCAGAACTGATTGCACCCAAGTTTTTGAACTTTGTATAAGGAATTGTTGGCTATGATGCACTGATCATGAATCAGTACATCATAGCCAACAATTCCTTCGCAAACAGCGGGAAACTTTGTCTGATTCCACACTAATTTTATTAATTTATCTAAACTTTTATCCTCGTCTACAATTTAATCATCAATAATTATCTCTTGTTCTATTTCACTATTATATATATATATATTTATATGATTTGATTTAAAAAAAATAAATTAATTAATAAATCATTTACTCAAATATATCAAAAGTTTTATTTTTATATATAAAGATAACTGCTTTTAAAAAAATACCCTATATATTTTGCCATGTAAACTATTTTTGTCATGTAAACTTATCACCTTCTGTCAGAAGTGAAGTGAACCGAATTTTCATGCACAACACCCACTTCGAATTTTGATACCAAAAACAGTAAATCTATTCCTAAATGTTTGGTCTCCTACACGAGTACAATCAATATTTGATGTGGGAGCCCTTCTTATTGAAGATTAATAATCCAAAAAGTCAATGATTGAATATTCAGTGCCTTGAATCTATCGGCGCGAAGCACCAATAGAATTAATCGAAAAATCCTCATATAATTTTAGCGGTTTTTGTAAACAATAAATTTGCGATGAATTCTCAAGATGCAAATATTAATCTATGCATTATAAAAAACGATGAAAGTAAGAAGGGTGTTTTAAAGATGCAGCACAATAACGGAAATGTTTCTCTTTCGTTTTTCAAAGAGCTTGAATCAGATAATAAAGGAAATACTCGCCAACAAAAGAGATTTTCACAAATTCCAGATCACGTTCATCAACTTAGTGATTTCACAAAGATAGAAATGGATCAAGACGATCAATTAATCTTAATTTTATCAGGATCTCGCTGTCAATTTAAATTACTCTTCGATAAACAAGCAGGTATTAGCAACTTCTTCGATTACATTTGCCAGAAAGTTTGCTTAAAGCATTCTGATTGCAATCCACGTGTTTTCTTAATAGAATCTTTAGATTCATCAACAACATCGATTGCACCATTTATGGCAACTGTTTTACCAGGTCGTGGCTCAAAGGTCACGCCAAACCGCATTTCATTGGCAAAAATCAAGGAATCTTACCCGATGGTCAATTTCACAATAGATAACGATGTCAAGAAGATGACAGCCGAACAATACCGCGAATTATTCGATGCCGATGGCAAAATTAAGGAAGGGGTTGGTTTTCCAAGCGTATTTTACAATGTTGATGTCGATCCTTCTGTTGCTGGCGATCTTTGGAAGATTATCATCAACAAGGATTCAGAGAAGAAGAATTCTCAAGAAAGAGCCGAAGACGACAAAAAGAATCTCGAAATTTATTCAAAAATCAAACGTCAATGGCTTTTAACATCAAGAAAGCAATGGGATAATCATACCGATTTACGCTCTCTCGTTGATGCCCTTGAAAAAGGCATCAAAGCCCAAGTAGATCTTTTCAAAGGATATGAACACGTAAAAGAGGCCCAAACCATCGCATTCAATGTATTACTTACGATTTCATACTACAACCGGGACCATGCACTCTATTGCGATGGTCTTATCCCATTCCTTATGCCATTCTTGGAACCATTTGTAAAAGATGCCCACGACAACGTCGTTGTTACTCACGATGGCAAGGAAGTACCAGTGGAAGAGGCAGAGAGTAATATCTTCTGGTGTTTCTTCAAATTCTACGATAATAATAAATTATATGACTTAATTAAGCCTTCCAAGACACCAACGATCAAAACTATATTCACCAATGTTGGCAACTTATTATTCGATAATTACAATCCACTTCTTGAGCTTCTTATCCAGAAGCACGCATTTTCATTAGATTTCTTACGCGATGACTGCAACGCAATGTTTTCAACATGCTTGAACCCGTGCGAGCTTAGACGCTTCTGGATGTCATTGCTAACTTATCCTGCTCCCTTCAAATTTTATGAAGTTTTCATTATCTCTTTGTTGTTCTCTCTTTCTCCAAGTTTCGTTGAGATGAATCCACTGAATAGCGAGGAATTCGTGCACAGATTCCACGATTTGAAGAAATCTCTCAACTTGAATATGCTCCTCGATAACTCTTTCCGCTTAATGAATCAATTGTACCCACAGCAACAATAAATAAAATTAAAATATGATTTTTATTTTTTATTTATTTTTTATTTATTTTTTATTTTTTTTAAAGGGTGCACTTACTGTTGCTGTGGGTACAATTGATTCATCATAGAGAAAAAGTACATTTAAGTGCAAAAAATTGAATAGTTGTAAACTAAGACAGTGAGCCCTAAAGGGTGCACTTACACCTAAACCCAATTTCTTACGTAAAGTCTCTCTATAGTTATTCTGTTTCAATATTGAGTGAACCGCAATCAACAGGAGAAAGACTTTACGAAGGAAAAGGAGTTTATCTGACATACTCTTTAAAAAGCAACATATCTTTATTTTAATAGCAAAAAGTATAACAGCCATATGAGGTACAATGTAGTGAATTATAATAACTTTTTTCTGATCAAAAATATTAATTTTTTTATCATAGAAAAATAGGATATAAAGCATAGGTGTCAAAAAATTGAGAAAATGTCAGAAAGTGGTAAGTGCACCCTTAAGAATACACTTACACCTAAACCCAATTTCTTACGTAAAGTCTCTCTATCGTTTTTCTGTTTCAATATTGAGTGAATCGCAATCAACAGGAGAAAGACTTTACGAAGGAAAAGGAGTTTATCTGATATGCTCTTTAAAAATCAACATATCTTTATTTTAATAGCAAAAAAAAGTATAACAGCCATATGAGGTACTATATAGTGAATTATAATAACTTTTTTCCGATCAAAAATATTAATTTTTTTATCATAGAAAAATAGGATATAAAGCATAGGTGTCAAAAAAATTGAGAGAATGTCAGAAAGTGGTAAGTGCACCCTTAAGGATGCGCTTACACATAAACCCAATTTCCTACGTAAAGTCTCTCTATCGTTTTTCTGTTTCAATATTGAGTGAATCTCAATCAACAATTTGAATACGAAACTTTACGAAGGAAAAGTAGTTTATCTGACATGCTCTTTAAAAATCAACATATCTTTATTTAAACAGCATAAATGTATAACAGCCATATTAGGCACTATATAATGATTTACAGTTACTTCTTCCCGACCGAAAATATTAACTTTTACCATCGAAAATTGGGTAATAAAGCTTGAGTGTCAAAAAAAATTGAGGGAATGCCAGAAAGTGGTAAGTGCATCCTTAAATTTTTAAGAAAACTCCATCTAGATAAGTGAACATTTGATTATTTTTATCTCAGGTAATGCAATAAATATAATAATTGCTCAGCCTAGCCACTAAAGCAGACCGAATGCCCAAACATAATCTTTTGATTTTTGAGGTTTTGATACTGATAGCACTTGCGGAATTGGATGGTGCAGCACAAACATCCATATCTGGTATTCTATAAAAATTTCTAGTATTAATAGACTATATGCATATTTCTGGCCATTTTGTGAAATTTATTCAAAATTTTTAAATATTTTTCTTCATTTTCATGAATACTATATGATTTTCAAGCTATATAGTGCAATCATTGGTGAAATATCATATAAAAAGCTATTGTTGTTTTTATTGGCTATGCATTTTCGTTTTATCAGGACTTTTTAATTGTTCCAAATGAATTCATATACTTGTAACTGCTGATTTATTATGTAAGTTGCAATTGACAATAATATAAAAAATTTTGTAAACTATTGAAAAATTCTCATTTATGGCAACACTCGAAGGCAATAAAGCCAAATTCGCGGAGGCCGATGCAGCTTTGGATGTCCTGGAAGGAATGACAGGACAGATGCTTACAAACGCTAATGATATTAACAAAGAATTAAAAGAACAAAATGAAATGATCGACAAAACAAACGATAAAATGGATGTAGCCGATGCAGGCATCGTCGATGCTACTAAGAAAGTCGAAAAAATCGAGGCAGGAAGTATTAGCTGGATTCCAATCATTATCTTAGTCGTAGAAATCATTTTGATCATTGCAATTTTCGTTATTCCTGCTAAGGAGAAAAAGTAAATTATTTGTAAAGTTTTATTTTTATTATTACTATTCATAAAATTTTATTTATAAATCTAAAATTTATTTAATAATTCTGATATTTATCAATTTAAATTTAAGCACTTCAAATAAATGCTTGATATGAACATTCAAACTTCAATATTTGGAATTGTTGTATGAAAATTTCAAAAAATATTATTCAAAAATCGATTAGTATCACTATTTTGAGCGCAAATATTTTCATTTTGAGGTATAAATCCATAAAGAATCAAAATAAAATTAAATCTTTAATTATTTTAATGCAAGCACTTTCTAGTAAGATTCAGTGTTGATGCATGCAAGGTCGGTTCATGATGTTTGAGTTAAAAAACACTAATTTATAAAGATTCATAATAATTTTAGTAAAAATATATTGAAATTGATAAAATAAATAATAATATGCTTTATCTCTATTAATTAATGCTTTGCCTTCTCTTTTTCTTCCTTGGCGGCCTTTTCTTCCAAAGCCCTCTTCATTTGTCTCTTTTTGATCTGTTCCTGCATCTTCATGCCACCAAAGAGGTTCAACTCTGTGTAGTCTAAGACTATATCGATTCTTGGACCAAGTTCTTTCAGTTTAATTGTAGATATCTTCTTATCTTTCTTTGGCTGGTCTTTGTGTATTTCATCGAGGTATTCTGTCATCGAATTATAGTTTTTGAGGTTTGTTGACATGGCTTTGTCAATAGCTTCGTTCATTGCTACTTCTCTAGGGTTTGTTTTCTCAACAAGGTAGTGGCGAATGGAAATATTGCCATCAGCACTCTTGGAGATGTAAACAGCACGCTTCATTAAGCCTAAATCTGCTGTTAATGGATCGAATGAAGGGAATAAACCTTGGAACATCGAAACCATTGTTTGGTCTTCGTTTGAATCACCAAATCCTTCAAGAATTGGGAATGCTTCACCTGGATGAGTCCTGTTTATTGTAGCAGAATCTTTATTTCCAGCGCGAACATCAGCCATTGTTGCAAATTTCTTAATGTTAAAGTGTAATGTTGGTCCATGTGGGAATCTGTTGAGAGATAATACTAATTTATCTTGTTGACAGCGCAAAAGAAACATCATTGTAGCTTCGAGATCACCAGCAGCTTCAACAAAGTCACGAATTTGATTTTTCTTGTTAACACGAAGTTTATCGTATGTATAAGGAGCTAACATAATTCTCATATCGGTTTCAAGGTCTTTTACGAATCTTCCAACTTTTCCAGTATGAACGACGAATGTCATACACTCTGGCGGTGGTCTGATGATCTTGTGCTCCTTAGAAATAATCTTTTGCTTAATAGACATTTTGAAGAGAAAAAAATTGAAAAATTCAAAGACACAAAAAAAATTTTTTGAAATATTTTTTGTGCTTTTATTAAAAATTTGATATCAATGATGAATCATACAGTTATGTAGAGATTTTTTTGTTTATTCTCGTTTAGACCCTGTGGATTGAAAGGTAGTCCAACAAAAATCTAAATAATAATTTGACAGTTTACAAAAATTTACAAAAAGCACTTTTGTTACCTACTCCTTTACAAAAACTTACTACATGAAGAGGCATAGAAAATAAAACCTTAAACAAGAAATTTGAGAGATTAATGAGTAAAAATTTATTCAAAAAAAATAATATTAACTTTATCTTTTGCAACAATGGTTGAGAGATAATAACCAAATATATCAAGAAATTATTTTCTTGCAATTGATAATAAATATTCTCTTACTGCTCCTTTCGAATAATAAAGTGCTGTTTTTCCATCATTATCCTTTGCTTCTTTATTAGCTCCAACTGAGATAAGATATTTAACAACTTCAAGATAACCACTATATGATGCCCGAATGAGTGGAGTATATCCATTATTATCCTTTGCTTCTTTATTAGCTCCAACTGAGATAAGATATTGAACAACTTCAAGTTTACCTTCTCTTAATGCCTTAATGAGTGGAGTAAATCCTTCATTATCCTTTACTTCTTTATTAGCTCCAGCTGAGATAAGATATTGAACAACTTCAAGACGACCACTATATGATGCCTTAATGAGTGGAGTAAATCCTTCATTATCCTTTACTTCTTTATTAGCTCCAGCTGAGATAAGATATTGAACAACTGCAAGTTTACCATCTCTTGATGCCCAATATAGAGCTGTACGACCATATTCGCTCTTGATTTCTTTGTCACAGCCACATTCAATGAGAGATTTAACAAGTCTCAGATTTCCTTGTGAAGATGCATAATGAAGTACATTTCTACCCAAAAAGTCAGAATTTTGTTTTTTCCAAAGTTCTTCGTCACATGCTTTTTGCATCATTTTTTGATTTCCTTTTTCTGAAATTTCTTCAAAGAATTTGTAGATTTGATCGAAATCTTCAGAATTTTTAAGTTCGGAAATTTTCGAAAAAAATTCTTTTGGTAAATCGTTTCCTTCTTTCTCTTTGGGTTGAGAGTGAAGAGTTTGCATCTCTTTCTCAACGTTTTCTTTTTCTTTTTGGATCTGTTTTAAATCTGCTTGAAGTTTTTCGATTTGATTTGTTGTAATGGATTGATCCTTTTGTAATTGTTCTAAACGCCAATAATTCCTTCGAAGATTCGCATATTCATGTACTTTTGAACTGATTTAAGTGTTGAAATGGCATCTTGTAAGTTGCTTATTAAAATATTTGCATTTCGAGTGCAGGCATACAATTTGCGTTCTGAAATGACAGAACGAGATTGCGCAAGAAGAGAATTGAACTCATCAGGTGTTAAATTCGCGAATTTCATGATTGATTCGATATCTTTTACTTCGAATGTACTGAAGAGATTATCCGCTTCAATATAATCTTTGATATGTGAGCCAATATATTCGTGGTTCAGAACACTTCTCCGACTCATTAAAATTTGTAAAGTTTATTATTATTATTATTTTTTATTTTTTTTTGACTTAAGAGTCCACGGTCCGGCCAAGTGAAGGCTATCGTTAATCTTCAAAATTTATATGGCAAGGCCCATATCTAATTATAGATCCTGATTTGACATCATATTTACATACTGTTTTTAATATAATATTTGGATTTCGTTAACCAAGAAGCTCAAAAAATTCTCATTTTAGCATTCAATTTTTGAATAGTATTGAAAATGTACCGTGGACCATTAAGTTAGTCACTTAAGTTTAAACATGGATGATTGGGGAAATTCATAGATAAACGTACAAAAATTTATGAGTTCTCTTCTCCCATTTTGCGAAGCTTTTGAGCAGAATCCAAGCGACAATCTGTCCAAAATGGGATTAGTTTTTCAATATTTCACATCTGTTGAAAGTGAAATCGACGAAATTTCTCATCTTTCAAATGATGTTGAACTAAAAAGGTTTTTATATCATATATTTGCTATCATTGTAGGAGGAAACTTTCCTGCACCATCACACGGTATTGTTGATCCAATTTACACACAAATTTTACAACATTTAACAATTTTAGCTCAATCCAATCCAGATTTATGCGATAAAATAGCAGAAATTGCACCTTTCAATACGCTACCAAAAATATTATTCGGAAATCATATAATAAATGACAGAATTGCTGATCCACAACCATCGCATTTACTTTCGTCAGTTAGATTCGTCGCAGCAATAAGCTGCTCACATAAAATTAGTTTTACATCCACAACATCATTACATATTTTATTTGTTTCGTTATTTAGCATGTTAAGTACTCCACAATTATCATCTTTTGCATGCACAGCAATCAGCGGTCTTGCTCATAATTGCCCAAGTGCAAATGCTTTTCTCAAATCTTTACCTTCATTTATGACACTTCGACAAGAATTAGCATGTTTGCTATCATCTAACGATCACTCTGTAGTACTATCTGCACTTTCATGTTTAACATGTCTATTTCCATGCCGTGAAGATACAGAAACACTAATGAAAGCAGCAATTCATGGAATTGTTTCACCTCCACCATATCAATTAGCATTAACTCTTGCAACATGGTCTGTCAGAGATTTAGCTAACAAAGCTTCGATATCTGCAAGTGCAACAAAGAAAATTGTAAATGCATTATTTAATAACTGTGGTATGAGTGCTTTATCAATTACAATGCTATTAAATGAGTTACTTACAATGGGTTTTGACATTCCCAAATTTTTAGTTGAAGAAAAACTCTTAGTTCCAGTTTTAAATTATTTTGTTCATTCAGCTCATGATTTTGTAACAGCAGCAGGCTGCAACTTCCTTCGTGAAATGTTTTCAATGAATGATTCTTTCTCATTTGGTCCTGTTGATGAAATTTTTGCTTTTGCGTTATCTGTTGTTGCTTCTCCTAATGTTTCTGCCTCTCTTCTACGCCTTGAGTCTTTATTGATAATGCTAAGAATGATGATGAGGCAAGAAAAGCAATCAGAATATATCAAGAAATTATTATTAACAAATGAGGATCCAATATTTGTTGCATTCCAACGCCAAATAGAACGTAGTCATACATTTGCTTCTGCAAATTTCTTTTTGTTCCTTTCTTCATGTTTTGAGATAATTCCTCAATGGAACAAAAACGTAGCAAGATTAGTTGCAGAAACACAATTCACAGCTTTATTAGTTCATGTTCTTACACATTCAGAAACAAGGACAACTGTTGCCGATGCAGTTTACGCAATGAATATGATAATTCAAGGAGTTCCTTCAAATTTTCGCCAAAATGCTTTGGTTGATACTGTTACATCCGGATTCTTATATATGAACAAAAGTACTCAAGAAGAAATCAAAGCAGCAAAAGATTCCCTTGAAACATCAAATCTTTCCATCAAAAAGAAATCTGCTGATTTAGATGAGCTCAAAGATAAATGCAAAGCAGATGTAGAGATAGCCAGAAAGGATCAAGAGACAATGAAGAAAACAATAGCCGAACACGAAGAAACGATTGAAGCACTTCAAAAGCAAATTGGAGGAAGTTCTGCGTTTATGAATGCAAAAGTTATGAAAATCAGTAATTTGAAGAAGAAAATTGAAGAACAATCGAAAGAAAACGCAACACTCCATGAAAGAATCGAAGGTCTGATGGCTGAGATCGCAAGATTGAAAGAAGAGAATGCTAAACACAAAGGAAACATCAAAGAAATGCAAAGTGAAATGTCAAAAATCAAAGAAGAAAATCTCGACAGACAAAGACTTGAAAACGAACTTAAATTGGCAAATCAAGTCAATGAAGAGCAGAGGACAAATATCCTCAAAGTTATGGGAGATATCGATGCTGAGAAAGCACATAGAAGAGAAGCTGAAACTCAATTATACGAAACATCAAAGAAGTTGACAGAAATTACTGCGAAATATCATGAAAATGACAGACAAACAATAGAAGCTATAGACCAGATTAAGAGATTTGAAGCTTTACTTGCAAGGAAGACAGAAAGACTGACGGCAACAGAAGAAATAAATCGTCAATTGAGAGATGAAATTGATAGATTGCAAGAGAAGCTCGAAGAAGCAATGAAATCAGAAAAATCTGCAAAGATTGCAGCTGAAGAAATGCGTTCTCGTGTTGAAGAACTCGAAAATCAACACAGAGAGCATGAAACACTCTATAACTTCATTCATAGAGTTACAGAAAAAGTTGCAGCAGAAGATGTCAGTGAAACTATAATTGGATCTGATTCAGAATCTTTCTCTCTTTCGTTAACTTGATTTTTAGATTTTAGATTGTGCAAAATTTGTAATTATTCGCGAAAACTTTTTTGCACTTTATTTCTTTATAATTCATTCGCGATTTTGTTTATTTGTTCTTTATAAATCTTTGGTTTTTTATACATAAGTATTTGATATTCATATGTTTGATATCTAATTCAATGAATATACTATGAATTGTAATTCGATTTGAGGGAATAGAAATGGATGAAGCAAAATGTAGTGAACAAAGTGATAAGAGTGAACAAGAAAAAGATACCAATTAAGTCATGGACAATAAAATGATACAGAAAATGAAGATCGAAAAAATGCACATCTAAGGAGAATGTCAATATACACTTGAAGTATGTGGAAAACAAGCGAATCATTGTTATTAAAAGCCCTCGTTATGGATTATGAAGACTAGTTTTCCCAATTAAATATATCTATTTCTCGAACCACATATGAAATATTTTCTTCATGAAAAGTGGAAGTGTACTGTTATTGCTGTGTCACTTTTTTTGAAATATTCTGGAGGAAAAGCTCCAATATTTAAAGAGTTATAGGGGATACAAAATTGCAACCTACAATAATACATATTGGGTTCGAATATTCCACCATAACGTTAGAAACGGCGCGCTATTCAGTACAGATAAAACAATACGGCAAAAGCAAGTATCATTTATTAATCAAACAGATCTTTTTAGCGTATTAGGTTCACTCAATGAGAATTTCTATATAAATAACAAATTTAATTTTTTATATTATCAACCTGACGACTTTCCTAACGATTATTTCTTTTTTAGTCAGAAAAACAATCCATTTACATCGAAAAGCACTTTAGAACTAGAATTTAAACCAGTCATAAATAATTGTGATTTAATTAAAACCATTCACGGAAAATTCACAGGTTTAACACTTTCTGATAAAGATCAGACTTTTATTGATGGCAATAGTTATCCAGGGTGGTGGTATTACGCAATTGGTGCTAGTTCTTTTTGGGGCGATAAAGTTATTCCAGGGGCATGTTGTATTGGAAAAGATCTTACCAAATGCAATGAACTTTGGATTCAATATGATAACGTTTACATTTTTGATTGGCTACCAACAAAGAATTATTGCTCAATCTGCAGATGCAATTCATTTGGTTCCGTGTTTTATTCCATCTTTCTTGCTTTGGGTCTTGAATAATTCTATGATAAAATTCACTCAATAAAATTATTTGGAAATTTTATGAAGGGAAAATAGTAGAGGATATATTTAAAAGAAAAATAATTATCTGAAATGTTTATTGTTTTGCAGAAGGTTGACTCTTTGCAGGAGAGATTTCAGAGTAAAGCCAATCTGTTATCGGCTGAACTTTCTCGTAGATTCCAAACTGAGAATTGAACATCCTTGACAAAGAAGAGCTTACTGCCATGTCTAGATTACTCGGGTGCATCTCTGAAGGCCATCTTGTTCCTCCTTGTGATGAAATAGAAGAGATGATTCTTGAGCTCTTTGAAAGTGCTGCTTGTACTTTATGTATTGTCATCATCCACTTGTTTTCTGCATCTTTCAAGTGGATATTGACATTCTCCTTCGATGTAGTGCTGCTTGTTTCTATCTTCATTTTCTGGTTCTTTTTATTCTTCTTGTCTTTATCAGCATCTTTTTCTTGTTCGCCCTTATCACTTTGTTCACCACGTTTCGCTTCATCCATTTCTAATCCGATTCCCGACAATTCATCGCAAATAGTCCTCAATTCATTTGGTTGGCCGGCTAATATGAATGGAACTAAGCTTCCTTTGTTAATACTTGCGTCAACGACGATTCCCATGAAGAAGAAAACATTTCCTCTGAATGATTGACCACCTTTCTTTCTTGAACTTGATTCAGTCGCTGTGTTACTTGCTGTTGTCATCTGAGCAATTGTTCTTGTAGCTGAAGGAATAGAAACATTTGTTCGAGTTGCCATTGTTTGGTTATCGCTTGTCATCGTGTTTTCTGTCTTTGCAACATTGGCGGAGATAAAATACCATTGGCCTGTGATTTCTCCTTGATCTGGCTGTGCTGCGAAATGAGTATCTACCTTGAATGAAGCACATTGTTCTTCGAAACATCTGAAGAAGAATTGAGTTCTTTCTTCTAATATCGTTGTATCGAAAATTGGAAGAAAAAGCTCAATTACATGAGAATAATAAGCAGCAGCCAATCCTCTTAACGTTGTGTCTTTGTTATCATTAAGAAGTTTAACTGGGCAGCTTGCAGGAGGAACAGTATCTGGTGTTGTCTGGATGATTGATTGGATGAATCTTGCAGCAGATCTAACACTCGTTGACATTTTAAGAGTTGCAAATGTTTGTTCTGCTCTTTTTTCATCATCATTTATCAAACCAGTCAATAAACAAAGATCCAAAGAGCATTGGTTACTCATTGGATGAACGACACAATCAGGATTGGATTTGAACAATGTCATCAACAATCCTTGTATTGATTTAACTGTTTCCAATGGATATTTAGACATCGGATCAACAGCTAATGGATTCAATGGTTGGTTCCAAAATTGGATGCATGTTGGATACTGCGACATGAACGATTTCATTTGAACAGCTGCCGAATTTGCGGTTAAAAGGAAGTTCAAGCCGTGATGGATGAAAGGACAATTAGTTTTCATTGTTTCAATTGCATTTTGGATAATTGCAGCTGAATTTCCTGGATTTCCATAATTTGCTTGAACAACAGCTGACAACAACATCAAACGAACAATAAGATGTGTTCCTCTTATGAATTTGTTTGTTGTTGATGACATTCCGAGCTGATCTGTGTAGAACTTCATGACATCATTGCAAATCGAATCAATTAATAAATTCGGTTGCAATTTGTTCCTCAAATTATGTGGTAACTTCGAGGCACAAACTTCTACAAGTTTCTTGTTGAAACAGAACAATGTAGCTAATTGGCCACATGATAAAATATGTTCTCTATAAAAAGCGGTTACTGGTTTTGAAAGAGCAATTTGAGATAACAAAATTGCAGCTGATTCTGTGTCCGCTTTATGTATCATAACTAATGATTTGATGTAAGGAGAACCAAATTGTTCAGCTGTTGCCAAATCATGGATGTTGAAAGCAGCTTTTCCGATAATTGCCGTTGAAAGTGTTGATAAACCAGTCGGCAAATAAAGTGGTCGATCGGAAATTGATTGAGGAATTTGGTTCAGATCCTTTGCGATTTCTTCTATCTGTTGGATGACTTCTTTAGCAGCTTGTATTGCTCCTTCCCATGACCACATCATCAACTTCAAGTTCGCCAGTTCGAATTTCAACTCCGCTTTGATCAAACTTTGCATTGGATTGAATTCTTTGGCGAGTAAATCAGTGATGATTTGGCTGGCAGATTTAACGGTCATCTCGAATGCGTCAATTGCAGGCATCGATGAAGAAGAAGCCGTTGCATCATTATTGTTGTCTTTTCTTGATGCATGGCCTTTCTTGTGGCTTGCTCTTCTTGCGCTTTGGTTCTGCTTGTTGTCTGTTTGCGACAAACTGCTTTCTGGGTCGTTTGTTTCGTAGAAAGCTTGGAGAATACGACTGACGGCAATTGCGTACTGCGCGGAAATTGGCATTCCATGCATTGCCGCAATTTGTTGGATTGTTGTTGAAGAAGATAATTGTCTGACGCATTCTTGATTCGTTGGGGAATAAACGGGCTCTGTTTCGGAGAACTCGAATCTCTTGAGTGTTGTTGGTGTAGGAATGTATTCCTTTGTCCTTCTTGTTGCTCCGAAATTCGTGGCAACATCAGACATGATTTCAATGGCACTTTTTTGCAAACCGAATTCTGCGCAGATGATTGCACTTGTTATTCTTGTTCTTGCGAGCAACTGAGGGTTCCTTGAGATGAATCTGAAGTAGTGGCGAGCAAATGACAATGGTTTGAACATCTCAAAGTGCATTTCGTAGCTCAACAAACTTGACAAATGGTTTGTAATTGCAATTGTCATGTAATCAGCAGGAACAGGTAATAACAACCTCTGATTTGCATCTAAGCTTGAGAATATGTCAATTCCAGGGATGATCTCACTCGGTTCGTAGCAGGCGAAGTCAATTGATTTCGTTGGATTCAATGGACAACCAGCAAAAAGTGACGAAATTGCATGAGAAGCCAATTTGGAGTATAACATTGCTCTGTTTCTATCAGAGTTCATTGCGAGGAGACTGCAAGTTGCGAAGATGGAAAGGCAGCCACTCCACGAATGCTTCTGATAGAACTTCTCTTCTGTGTCTTCTTGTATTATTTGGTCAACTTTTTCGTAAACTCTGATTGTTCTAAAATGACATTCTAAAGCTTCATTTAATCTTGATGTTGCTTGTTCTTTGTCTCCCATTTCGAACAAGATGAAAGCCAATCTTCTAAGCAATGTGCAGGACATTGATAACCTTTGCTTATGTTGTAATCCAATTGCGAGATCTCCAACGGTTTTAATTGCATTGTTTACATCATTTTCATTCAACAATTTCGTCTGTATTTTATCAAGTAAATCAGATGCTTGATAATAAATGTTTTCTGCTGGTTCTCTTCTTTGTATAACTGTCTGTGCATTGGCAAGTTCTTCAGGAAGTTCCTTGCTATTGATCATCCATAAATTGTTTGTGCATTGTGCATTTAATAAACTGGAATCAATCAAATGCTGTGTAACATTGATATTTCCTCTTAACAAGCATAAGAAAAGTTCTCTAACAAGTGTTTGCGAGGTCTGTTCTTCGAGAGGAATGATCTGGATCAATATATGTGTTGCCATGTCCAAGAATGGCTTCTCTCCGCTCAAAGCTCCACATCCTTGATTTAATTTTCTGGCAAAATCTGTCAAAACATTAATTGAGCTTCGAATTACAGTTGTTTCTCCACATCTTTGAGCCAAAACAATTGCTCTTAGAAGCATTGTTATGATCTGTATGGAGTTATCATTGATTTGTTCTTTCGTTTCTTCGTTTTCTTGGTTTTTCTGGTCTTTTTCTTTCTTTGGTTTCGATTTTGATTTCTTTCCTCTTTCTGTTGTTGCTGCTGTTGATGTCGATGTTGTAGATGATTCTTGTTCTATCATACACATGGCATTCAACATGTTTAACGCACATCTATACTTGTTTGCGTCATTAAACTTCTTCAAATTCTTCATTAAATTGTTGTATTTCATCCAGCAACTTTGGATTTTACTTGCAGCAGCAACAGAAGCGACATCTTCACTACTTCCTTGTGTTGAAGCGTTCTTATCCTTTTTCACAGGTTTCTTCGCTTGCTTTGCTTTAGTTTGTTCCTTTGCTTTTCCTTTTTTGTCCTTTTTGTCATCATCTAAAAGAGTTTTCGCATGTTCTAAAGCAGTGTTTGACCATGAAATTCCTTGTGCAAGTAATCCATCATTATGAGCATTTGCAACTAGATAAGCAGCACTGCAAAGATATCCTGGATCTTGTTTGTACTTGGCAAACAAGTCATCATGAGATTTTTCAGCTGATTGCCTGAATAAATCCGCAGCAGCCAATGGCAAAGATGAATCTTGAATTGAGTTTTCAAGCAAATGATATCTGCTTGCAAACATAATGAAGCTTGATCGCATTGGATTTGGAGGCATTTCAATAATGGAGTTCATCACGAAGACACTTAATTGTTTCTCTTGGTACAAGTTGACGAAAGCATTGTCCAAAGCGAAACTTGCACGAGAAATTATGTCCTGATGAACTTGATCTTTTTGTGTTGATTTGTTCGATTTCAATGCAGTAATAATGAACAACAAAGGATGAATAACCCATCTCGCGTGGTATGAGTTAACTAAGATTGGCTGCAAGATTGTGAACATCTCATAACAAATCTGTAATGTTAACTGCTGGTTGCCAAGAACTTGTGATAATTCCAAAGCAATTTTGTGAAAAGCTGTAGCATGCAATGGTTTGTTTGAGAATAAACGAGCGGCCATGATTAATGCAGTTGAAAAGGCCTGCAAAAGAGGAGCAGGAGAATTAAATGTAAATGGTTTCAAGTAGAAGCGATTGAACGGATTTGAATTCTTAAAGAAAAGTGCCTCATCAGAATTTTGAGGGACATCAGAAAAAGTTGTTAACAAAGTTGATAAACTTTGGTCGAAGGAAATGTTATCTTTGAGTTGGAAAGCTGCTGAAGCGATGTATGACCATATGAGTTCTGTAGACAAATGGTGGCATGTCGTGCAAGTGAATATATCCGTAATTGTATCAATAATCTCATCATTTGCGTCGTAAGCAGCGAAACCAAATGTATAAGAATAATTTGGCTTCAAATTTGTAACGATTAATGGTTCAATTTTATCTTGTTTGATACCTGTACCTTGCAAAGCAGTGTTAGCAAGTGTGAGACCAAACGATGTTGCATTATTTGATTCTTTACCATATAATGCAATTGTTTTTGCATTTTGTTGATTTCCTGTGTAAACAAAAGCAGCTTCATTTCTATTGATGTAAACAATTGGACTTGCAAAAGAAATTTCTTGCTTAATGGCATCGTTTAAGCAATTCCTTGCTTTCTCAAGGAAAACACCTGCTTTCGATGGCCTGAAGAAAGACATTTGGATGTATAAAATTGCTTTTGCCATGTTGTTTGATTTAAATCTCTCCAAAAGCTCATTTTCAACTCCTTCTGAATGATTTGGAGGTTTAAATTGTCTTGTGATTGTTTCATCATAATGCTGCTGTTGTTTAAGAGAAAGCTTACCATATAATTCGCGTGTTTTCTCTCTTTCTTTCTTCATTTCTTCGATTTCGTTTGCAAAATCTTGCTTCGCTGTTTCTGATTCCATTTCCAAACCAAAACTCAATTTTGAACGGAAAAGAATCGTCAAAACATCGACATGCAAACATTCCAACCACTTCTCGAAAAGTATAAAGTTGTTATCGAGTGGTTTACATGGGATTTTGTTCGAAGAAATGATTTTTTCGGATTTTCTGATGGCGAAAATGTCTCGAAAATTCTCAATAACAGAAAGAGCGTCTTCTGAAACTTGCATGGCTTGATCGTAATCCTTTTGGCTATCAAAGTACCAGGCAAGCTTCAAGGCAATTAATGAAACTTGCATTGGACAAGGAGATGGAGAATTTACAAAAATTTTCAATGCACCTCTTAAAGGGAGAACATCGGTGATTTCGCCTTTGGAGTACTTGCGCCAGAGTTGAGATGCAAGGGAATTGTAGAAAACAAGGTCTTCTTGGATGTCTGATTTGGTTAATTTGTATAAGATATTTCCGATCTCGGCCCAGTCGTTATTTTTGAGAGCCATGGCTGTATTTATAACTGGATCATCTGGAAATGTTTCTTTGAGACCTTCAATTGAATCAATTTGGGCTTTGGATTTAAGAAATGCAAATAAAATTCTGTGAAGAAGAGCTGGACCAAAATTGCAATCTGGATTCATCCAAGATTGTGGTAATTGTGAGTATTTTGTTGCAAAATCGTTCTTGGAGCCTTTTGATGAATAAGAATTTGAAATTAATTCGACAACTCTTTTGTTTGGTAGAACAATTTGCTGTGGCGGTGTTTCATCTTTACCTTTGCCTTTTTGAGCTTTAGGAGCCTTTTTATCTTGTCTGTGAGTAGAATTTGAATTATCTAAATTAAGATCTTCTGATGCAGTAAAATGAACAGAAATTAACTCAATAATGTTGAAAACTGATGCATAAAGTTGCTCGTATGTCATCGTTTCTCCTGTGCAAACTGTAATTTGTTCAGATAATCCACTGACATTTTGTTCTTCGAGCTGTTTGTATCCGATCATCTCGTTTTTGAATGTAGTGATGAATGTTTCTGCATCTTTTTCGCGCGTTTCTTGAGTATTTGCAAAAGCCAAACAAATTATTGAGAAAAATTTCATTCTAAGAGGAACATATCGAGATGTAATGAAGATTAGATTCGATGAAACTTCTCTGTAAATATTTAACAATAATTCGAGAATATGATCTGAATATCCTGCAAAAATTAAGCGTTCGCATATTGGGAGGACTGTAATGCACATATTATAGATAATCCAATAATTTTGTTCGTCATTATTTAATTCCTTGATGAGATTGAAAATTTGATTCAAGTTTGAAGAGATTCTTTCGAATGTATCAACAAAGAGGAGATTGGGATCGTATTTGAAATCTCTCTGTATTGTTTCATTGATCTCTTTGAGCTTCTGCGTTGCTTCTCCTGATGCAGAAGTCATAGAATAACGGATTTTTTTCGAACGAAAAAAATAAGCATGTCGCAATTGCCAAAAGGTTGTCTATTTTTGAAGAAATATTGGCCACGTGGGAAATAGTGTAAAGTATTGAATTCAGAGGAAAATTACAAAAATACTCATTTTGAAGGAATTTTGGTCATAAGACATGAATTTATTATAGGTATAAATTACTTGGCTTGATGCATATGTTCTATATCTTTACTTAAATCACATAAATCATCTACATTTGTTAATTTCATAATTTGATTTCTCTTCAAATCTGCTTTCAGATTGAACTTTCAGGAATGTTGCATTAATATGAATATAATTATCAGAAAATATATAATCATATTATGCTCACTGAAGTATTGCCCGTGGGCAATAAAATTTGGGCAATAGTACGTTATGAGATTTTTTGGCTTTTTTGAAATGTTTACATTATTGCCCAGCCTTAAACTTTTTTGGGCAATTGGACGTTATTAAGAATTGCCCACCTGCAATAATCGGTGAAACTTCAGAATTGTGTTAACCTTATGTATGAGATCAATAGCCATCGATAATATAATTCATGAACTCTGTAATTTGAATTAGATGTTCGCATAGATAGCATACTTTGGTAGATATGTCAGACACAATGCCAATAAACATATTTGTAAGGGTTATTTTAAAGGCAAACGAGGATTTTCTAAAAATAATATATAATTTCAAGATTTATCATAAGTTTGACTAATTTCGTATACTTTAAGATCAATTTTGTTGATTTTGAGAAAATTTTGCTACAACAATCATCCTCAATATTATGAATTCTTTCATGAGAATTTAAATAATTCTATATCCATCCTTTTTAAAATGCAAATAAAGTTTATTGTAAATGAGTAAATTTGATTTCCAATAAACTTTATATATAAAAGAGAATGCAAAAAAATTGCAATTTTTTTAGGAACAAGAAGAATATATGAGCTCCATAACATGCCTATTTTAGTTTTTGATTGACCGCGAAATTTGAGCCTTCTAGGCTCAATTTTCGAGGAAAATTTTCCAAAAGTATTGCCCAAAATGCAAAAGAATTGCCCAAACCGACATGCTTAATATTATAAATAATAATATTTCATATATATGAAAAATTATGTCAAAATTTTCCATCATGAGCTTCTATTGGTGCATGTAGCAGACTACGTTGAATTTGGATTAGAACATATAATATTTATTGGGTATTGGAAAATCACTCATCATTAATAGAATTTTAGTTTTCCCTTTATTACAGTCCGGTGGTTTCTCGCGTGTTAAGACCTGGCTGGCGTGTTAACTTTTTTGACATAATCGTACTTTGCTATTTTTCCTTATATTATGAACATACATACTAATATAGTACAAATTATTTACAAACTGTTGTTAATTGACGTAACAAAACATTGATTACATGCAATTTAGTCATAAAGAATGGAAATAAATGGGTATTTAGGAAGAATAACACATGATTAGTGTTTATCCCTTGCTTTTTTCACTATGGTTTATCATAACTTATCGAAATAAATGTGATAATTCTATTATCATCTATTTTTCTGAATAACGCTTACATATTATGAGCACATAGATTGAATAAGAATGTGATATTATTTAAATCTTCTAATTTCCAGATCCAAAAAATTGGATAATATTATACCAACAAATTATCAATTAAACGAATTTGAATGTCATTCATTAACGTTTAAGATAATTTGATATAATCCAACAGCCCCAAAACTGTTTTGTCAGATTTTCAATATCTTAATAAAGGGAAAACTAAAATTCTATTAATGATGAGTGATTTTCTAATCCCCAAAAATATTATGTGTTCTAATCCTAATTCAATATAGTCTGCTACATGCACCATTAGATGCTCATGATGGAAAATTTTGACACAATTTTGCAAATTTATGAAATATTATTATTTATAATATTATCAAATATATTTCCAAAAATGATTCCACGAAAATTTTTGCCAAAGTTCTCAATTTTGAATTTATCGTCTTAACACGCCAGCCAGGTCTTAACACGCGAGAAACCACCGGACTGTATTAAGATATTGAAATTCTGACAAAACAGTTTGGTGGATTATATCAAATTATTTTAAACACCAATTAATGACATACAAATTCTTTTAATTGATAATTCATGGGTATAATATTATTCAATTTTTGAATCTGAAAATTAGAAGATTTAAATAATATCATTTGCATGTATTATATAAATGTTCATAATTTGTAAGCGTTATTCAGAAAAATTCAGTTTATTTATATTAACTTTATCTTTTGCAACAATGGTTGAGAGATAATAACCAAATATATCAAGAAATTATTTTCTTGCAATTGATAATAAATATTCTCTTACTGCTCCTCCCGAATAATAAAGTGCTGTTTTTCCATAATTATCCTTTGCTTCTTTATTAGCTCCAACTGAGATAAGATATTGAACAACGTCAAGTTTACCAGTATATGATGCAATAATGAGTGGAGTATATCCATAATTATCCTTTGCTTCTTTATTAGCTCCAACTGAGATAAGATATTGAACAACTTCAAGATGACCTCCTTTTGATGCCCAAATGAGTGGAGTCCATCCATTATTATCCTTTGCTTCTTTATTAGCTCCAACTGAGATAAGATATTGAACAACTTCAAGATAACCATTTAATGATGCACAAATGAGTGGAGTATTTCCATTATTAGACTTTGCTTCTTTATCAGCTCCAGCTGAGATAAGATATTGAACAACTTCAAGTTTATTATATTCTGATGCCTTAATGAGTGGAGTATCTCCATAATTATCCTTTGCTTCTTTATTAGCTCCAACTGAGATAAGATATTGAACAACTTCAAGTTTACCATATCTTGATGCCCAGTATAGAGCTGTACCACCAAATTTGCTGTTGATTTCTTTGTCACAGCCACATTCAATGAGAGATTTAACAAGTCTCAGATTTCCTTGTGAAGATGCATAATGAAGTACATTTCTACCATAACCATCATCTTGTTTTTTCCAAAGTTCTTCGTCACATGCTTTTTGCATCATTTTTTGATTTCCTTTTTCTGAAATTTCTTCAAAGAATTTGTAGATTTGTTTGAAATTTTTGGAATTTTTAAGTTCGGAAATTTTCGAAAGAAATTCTTTTGGTAAATCGTTTCCTTCTTTCTCTTTGGGTTGAGAGTGAAGAGTTTGCATCTCTTTCTCAACGTTTTCTTTTTCTTTTTGGATCTGATTTAAATCTGCTTGAAGTTTTTCGATTTTATTTGTTGTAATGGATTGATCCTTTTGCAATTGTTCTAAAATGCCAATAATTCCTTCGAAGATTCGCATATTCATGTACTTTTGAACTGATTTAAGTGTTGAAATGGCATCTTGTAAGTTGTTTATTGAAATATTTGCATTTCGAGTGCAAGTATACAACTCATGTGCTGAAATGACAGAATGAGATTGCTGAAGAAGAGAATTGAACTCATCAGGTGTTAAATTCGCGAATTTCATGATTGATTCGATATCTTCTACTTCGAATGTACTGAAGAGATTATCCGCTTCAATATAATCTTTGATATGTGAGCCAATATATTCGTAGTTCAGAACAATTTCCTGACTCATTAAAATTTGTAAAGTTTTTTTTTGACTTAAGGGTGTGCTAAAGACCAAACTTCCTCTATCGTTCATCTTTGAATATTGAAAAAGATCATATATTTCCTTTATTTCAATTCTATTTTATTTAATAGAAACATTTTGATCTTATTTACATGTCCCCGATGTAATTTATCTAAACTATATCTTTAATACTTCTTAATCAGGAAAATAGATAAAGATTATAAAATAGATAACGAAATGAAAAATTTACAAACAAAAATAAAAAATAATTAAAACAATCACTTATTAGTACCAGCAGTACTAGGTTTTGATGAGTTTTCTTTAGCACTGGCAGCCTGTTCTGCCTTTTCTCTCTGTAATCTTTGTCTTTCCAACTTTCCTCTAAATGTTTTCTGTATAATAATTGCAGCTTCTTTTTCTACGTTATATGGTTGCTGCAATTCTTGGATCCTTCTTTTCTCTTCATGCTTATGCTGTTTAATTGTATTAATAATAGATTTATATTTTTTAACAATGATCTGATCTTCATCCAAATCCTTACCACCGCCCATTAGCTTATTAAGAACGCTTCTTAACTCATCAAAATCTCTGTGATCATGACATAATCTCAATCTCATCTTTAAAATGAGTAAAATTCGCTCTTGAGCAAGCGCTTGGCTAACTAGTTTAGTATTTTCTCTTATTAATTCTGTCTGCTGATTTTCTTTATTTGAAAATTGAATTCCTCTGAGATTAAGCAAGTCTTTTTCTTCATGATCTTCTTGGCGGAATGTATTAACGTTTTCCTCATACATCTTTAGTCTGTTAGATCGTTCTTGCAATTTATAACTGAATTGGTCAAGTGTACTTTGAAAATCCGAAAATAAGTCTCTTCTTTGTGAAGAACTTGTCATCGCTCCTGTAAGTAATGTATATTCTCGTTTTGTTTTTGCTAGCTTTGCTTCTAATCTTTTAATTTGGTCTTCCATTTCAGCAATTTTATCTTTGGAAGTCATTGTTGTTGATGCGCGTGTTTTTGGTTTCTTATGCAATCCATTCACTGCCTGAGACTTGGGAGTTATGACTCTAGCAGTTCCTTTGAGTAATTTTGTATTCATTTTCTAAAAAAACGAATTTTTAATAGTTTACTCCAACCAAATTGTCTGTATCGTCATACAAGATTCAAATGCAAGGAGATTCTTTGAACAAAACTTTTGGCTAATCATTACAATAAGCATACTCTCCTATTGCTACCAATTATATATATAAAACTTCATTGTGTTAACTTGTACATTTATCTGGTTTTTATTTAATATGTGCCTTGTCGGATCCTCAGATGTCCCACTAGCAATATCCTTACCGTTTGAAGAATCAAATGTGTTAAACAAATGTTCACAAACATCTTGTTTGGTAATAATTTCTCGGGTTAAGATTGCTTTGACATTTTGACTCATAGCAATGAGCTTAAGCTCAAAAAATGAAAAAATCAGTCTTCGAGATTTCAGAAAAAGAAAGAAAATCATACGTAGAAACATTATTTATTTGCTCCATGCGAAGATCACATTTTTTGTGAGTGGGGGTACTTCTTATTTTGCTGCAAAATGGAAGTTGGCAAATCTCTTTCATTGACGTTTGCACCATATGAAAGATGAAAAATTCTGTGATTTCTTTATTATCTGAAAGATTCAAATAAAGATTTGTGATCTATAGTGTGAAGATATAAACTTACCAAGATTCTATAGTCCAAAATCAAATATAAATTTTTTCACCAAAAGATTTTGCTATCCCAAATGATATCCGACAAGGGGGGGACTCATTTTTTAGACCAAAAAAGTGGCACCTGAGTATATTGTTTCTGCTTTATCTGATCATTGAAACGGAATTGAACCACGTTATTAGTATGAAACAATGATATACTAGGGACTAAAGAATATTAATATTACAAAAAACCCAATTATTCGATGTTCTTGCATTAAAGTTGATACCTTTATTTTTTCGAAATATTACAACAGTAGCAACCTTACGTATTACCAATGATAGCCAAAGTACTATTTTGGCATAAAAAATTTAAAACGATATTAAAACAACAGATTGACTACTCATTTTGGTATAGTATCATGCATACTACCAGGTGATAAAATCTCAAATATCTTAGTTTAACTTCCGTTTGATTATGAGATACAGATCTAATGTTGCTTGTTTTGTAGCCACAGCCACTAACTGATAACATTATTATGATAAGAAGACTAGATGTGCGAGTTTAATATACATTTGATTCAGATTTATTATCGAAAATCAAATCACAATATATATCTTGAACTCATCTGTGAATAAAATCATGATATTATTGATTTTTTTCTAGACTTTTACAATATTTTCTAAACATGTGAAGATAATCCTTAATTTGAACCAGAAATAATTTTAAATTACTAACAATGGATGGTTATCTATATATAATAATATATTATTTTTGATAGTAAACTATGGCTGATTTATGGTTTAGGAATATATACTTCTTTTCTATATCTTTGAAAAATAGTTATATGAATTGGCTGTATAATTGATATATTTTAGTAGAAAAATTATAGAATAACAAAAATAAAAAGGTTTTATCGATTTGTAACACAATGAAAATGGTTTATTTCTCTCTAAATTATAAATTTTCAAAAAAATTAACCTCATTTTTCCAAAAAAAAATCGAGAATTGAAAAAAATGTTATCATTTTCTTGAAAATTGCTTAGGCTTTTTCTAAAATGGAAAAAATTTGGAGAAATTCACCAAGGAGAACTTCATTCTAGGTATCCAAAGCAATTGCTATCAGTCAAAAAACCCTCGAAAATTTTAAATATTGATATCGATTTTCATCAATCACTTAAAATCGATTGTTTGCAGTCGATGTTATCACATATTATTAAATTTTAATATATTTGAACATATTACAAATCGTTTTTGAAACTTATCAACATTTCGCGCAATTTAACAATACTCTAACTCTCATACACAGTTACCATTACTACAGTCTCATTTTAAGAAGAAATAATTAATAAAATCTAAGATCGAACGATTTATTTACCCAATTCGAATAATATTTTTAATTATAAATCCTTATTTGTGCATGTTTTATATACGTGTGTAGAAAGAAAAACGAATAAAGTGTTGCTTCAAAAAAATACCTGAAAGCACTCTAATCAATAAACAATTTACTTTTTTACCATCGAATTTTGCTCGTCTTGAGCCATATTTTTCGTTTAATTTTCATAATACGATAAAACATACGGGTTATCAAGTAAGATATGGGTGTTTTAGAAGATCATAATATATCTCGAAATCAAACGAAAGCCATTCTATGAGTCCATACACACTATTACTATACTTCATATGTCAAGCATAATGGGAACAATTTTAGTCGATACCTTTGTTGTCGACGAAGTTCCCCCCTTTATCCGACTAGAGTTGGCAATTTTTTTTTTCCATGTTCGATGGTTTTCAAGATTTAATAAAAAATATATGGTCTGCTGTCAGATCTAATTCAGACACATCCCAATACGAGTACGACATTCAAAAACTTTTCACATCTTTTGTTGTAAATGAAAATTCAAACGTTTCAGCTGAAAAATTTCCAACTGGAGCCATTCCAGATGTCGAGAATATTGTCACATCCACAAATTCTACTAAAAGAATACGTTTATGCTTGATTTTGATACTTTATAAAGTTTATATCGAAATCAAGTCAGAATCCACTTCAAACAAGATATTAAATATTCTTAAAAGAAGCGTGCAAATCTCATTCAAGGAAAACAAAGTTATAAATATTTTTGTTTTAATTTCTACGAAATATTACGAAAATCCTTTGTATTTGGCAAAATACCTAGCATTTATCCAAATGTTAAACCAGTGCTCATTATTTAAGCCCCAATTCCCTAAAGTTCGATCAATAAACGTCAATATTGAGTTTAATGGAGTTATTAAATCAATTTCAATCTTTGATAAATGGGGACCCGATCAAATTAAGCAACTTGCTAAAGATTTGTTCGGAATCAAAGGTGAAGTTAAAATTGATTCAAATTGTCAGATTCAAAAGAACCAAATCATCAAAATTACAGCTACCAGCAATGACGATTTCTCAACCTCACCGAAGATACCAGTTGTTTGCCAGCACAAGGACGAGAAAAGGATTATTTCCACAATTACAGGTACATCGATCAAAACATTGATTTCCATCATCAACCACTCATTCAGCAAAATTATATCATCTCCCTGCCGCTATTACGTTCATGGAAATAAAACTTTTGATATTTCCACGAAATCCGACGTAAATGAGCTATCACTTCAGAGGGGAGATGTCATTGAGATCACAAAACTCATCAATTTCGATGATGATTCCAACATGTACAACTTGTATAAGAAATTATTTGCAATTGCTGATGGAGAAGATCCGAAATTGGCTGCTCTTGCCAAAGATATTTACAAGAAGCTTCCTGTTAACCCGATTTGGAAGTCTCAATTATATGATGTACAATCTTTGACTTTTACTTTCAAAGACAGACCAATTTCGGAGCAAGAATTCATTCTCGAGCAGATTATGAATGAAGAAATGCTCCGAAATAACTTCTGTAATTACAGAGGATACGACCGAGTCGTAGATCTTTACTTACGGAAAGGAAAACTGACAAACCAGATCCGTCAATTTCTTGAATGCGGAAATTTCGTCTACTACAAGCTCCAGGATGTACTTTTCAACTTGTACCAAGAGAAAGAATTTCCGTTAGCCGGAAAACTTCTTAAAATAGCTCACGAGGGCAATGATATCGTTAGACACTACCTTCCTGACCCAGATAGAATCAAAATCATCATAAAGAACCTCGGAAAAAACGAACAATCAAATTTCATTTCAACTTTCTCTGACTACAAGAACGAAATGGCCTATTTCAAAGAGGTATGTGGTGAAAGTCAGAACGATTCCTTCAACGATCAGTTCTTAGCTTCACAATTTCAAGAATTTGTTTCAAGCGAAGACGCAAAGCAGTTTTTCCAAGGTATTATCAGCAAAAAGAGTTATTCCAAGCTCGAAATGCTTTGTTTGGACAACAGAAATGTCGCTTTAACATATATAGATAATATTGTCCTTCCTTTGTTCACAAACAGCGACCAAAAAGCCGTAAATTCCGGTCAAAAGATCTTTTCCAGCTTAGTTGATGGATTACGCGACCAAGATACCATAATTTCCGTATTACAAGGAATATCAAGGTTTATTTCGAACTCAGCTCGCTCAAAACAGAATCTTTACAAGGAAGATCCAAATGCAGAGACCGATTTCTTCTTGAAATTCCCGATTGAAACTATTTTCCGTCATATTTCGGATAAAAAGTTCTTAAACCAGAAAACATATAATGCCTTGATCGATATACTGAGTACCTATCACGAAAACTACCAAAAATTCGATGGGAACAGCTTATCTATTTCTAATTGTTTAATTGAGTTCCCTAAAGAACTAATTTTCCCAGAAGATTTCCACAACGTAGAAGAAGAACCAGAAGAGGAAGAAGAAGACCCTTACGATAGTTTCAATGATGATTCCGATGACGATGACAAGAAATCCGAAGTAAATCTCCTTGACAAAGCAATGATAAGTGTTGCTTATTGTAACAATTACATGAAAGCTTTAATTTCAAGCATCGTTGTCAAGATTCGACGAAATACCAATAAAATCGAGAATTTCAAGAAACTTCATTTCGTAAGGAACGGATTACTTGATGCTGTTCTCCATAATGAAAACAGGAACTTTATTGAACAAGCAGAAATGATTGATGATAAAAGTTTCCAGAAAATTGTTCAAGTCTTCAAAATGGACATTTCTTCTGAAGAAAATCAGAAGAAAGTTTTTGAAATTTGTAGTAAACTCGGTTGTGATTCGAGTATGAGCAAGAATGATCTTCCTTTCCTTATTATTAAGTGTCTTTCAATGAAAGAAAAAGATGATAACAATGATGAATTAATTATCAATGTTTTCAAATCAGTTTTCAACAACATTCCTGTTCCTACAAAATCAAATAATATAAGTGAAGCAGAAATTCTGTGTGTAAATATCGTCAAATCATACATTAATGAATGGTTTGAGTCGAAATCCCTCGAAAACATTGTGATTAAGACTGCATACTTGTACAGATGCATTCATGACCTCCAGAAGAAATGTGTTGAAAGATTTACTGATCAAATCGTCAACTACATCGCAGAAACTATTTTGTCTGACAATACTGAGAACAGAGATCAGACACAGAGATACTTCGAAAGATTCGCACTGACAATTAAACTTTCTTTCGAAATTAAGCAGGAAAACAGACAGAAATACGCACCTTTACTCATGAAAATAAGTGAGCACATAACAAATGAAAGACACAGAGATAATTTCAAAGGAATTTTACCAAAAATTGAGTAAAATATCATTTTTATTATTATTTTGTTTAGTTTTTCATTTTTATTAATATATAGTATCCTTACTATCCTACAGTAATATCATTCCAAAAAATATCAGAAAGGCACGTAGACCCCAAATTCCAAAAAAAAATTAAATGGTACATTTATCACTTATATGAATCTAATGGAAGCTTCAGATATGTCTGAAATTAAGTTTTCTTATACCGTTCTCTCCGACGCTTCCATTAAAATAAGACGATAGCAAATTGATTAGGCGCAAAAGATATGAAAACGAGTTTACCTTAAGCTTTATATTCAACTCTATTGTGATTACTCTCACACATTTGCATATATGTTGATCAGAGGTATAAGTTAAAGCAGCTCCAATGCATATACTTGATTTAATTCATTTGTAGTACATTTTGATGCTTTTCAATCCTTCTTCTTTATAATTCATTGACACTGTTATCTTTTTTTACTGTCTTTGACGATTTGATTATCAAAACTTATGACTCACCCAAAGATGAACGATAGAGGAAGTTTGGTCTTTAGCGCACCCTTAAGGGGGTAAGTTTGAATAGTTTACGTTTTTTGTAAAAAATTCGAGTTTTCTTGATACTGCGGAAATATTTTTGGATTCTGGTAAAGGAAATTTATACGGCCTTAGCCAAGGCACATATCCGAGTTATGGAGAGCTTTATTGCACTTCCAATCTTTAAATAAATACTTTTCTATTTTTTGTATTAAATCTCTATCTAGTCCTTCATTTTTGAGTTTATTGACATAAGACATTCGTATCAGTGATCTATAAGTGAATCATAACCAACGTATCAGAGTACTTTTTTGAATCTCGAGTTAACTGTTAATTATATATTATATAATTTCCCTTATTTTCACAGATATCTGAATAAACACAAATATAATATAATATTCTTTATTGGAAATATAATGGCTAACATATATGTCTTTCTCAAATCATTCTCTCTATTATTCATAAAAATAGCAAACTTGCTAGGAAAACTCTATGTAGTCCTTCAATTTTAGATATAGAGCGATATCCATATAGATTATAATATATCCCGAAAATCTTAACAATCGTATCAGACCAAATTTTTTATATAAGATATTATTGTCGAGATCAATTCAATTTTTTTATCCAGGTTTCAAAGATTTGAGTGGATTGTCAAAAATTTGATCTCTAAATTATTCATTTTAAAGCATATGAGCATTAATTTTTCATTATAAAATAGTATTTTAAATGTATTTCACAGTAGTTAAATAAAATATTAAAATATTCATATAATAAATTATTCCAATTTTATTCACTGTAGATATAATAAGATTTGTATGCGTCCATTGAGTCTACCTATACAAAAAATGTTCGCTGAAAATACATATTTATTTCATTAGAAGGTATTTTTGGCTTTTTGTAAACTATTCAAACTTACCCCCTTAAGTCAAAAAAAAACTTTACAAATTTTAATGAGTCAGGAAATTGTTCTGAACTACGAATATATTGGCTCACATATCAAAGATTATATTGAAGCGGATAATCTCTTCAGTACATTCGAAGTAGAAGATATCGAATCAATCATGAAATTCGCGAAATTAACACCTGATGACTTCAATTCTCTTCTTGTGCAATCTCGTTCTGTCATTTCAGAACGCAAATTGTATGCCTGCACTCGAAATGCAAATATTTCAATAAACAACATACAAGATGCCATTTCAACACTTAAATCAGTTCAAAAGTACATGAATATGCGAATCTTCGAAGGAATTATTGGCATTTTACAACAATTACAAAAGGATCAATCCATTACAACAAATAAAATCGAAAAACTTCAAGCAGATTTAAAACAGATCCAAAAAGAAAAAGAAAACGTTGAGAAAGAGATGCAAACTCTTCACTCTCAACTAAAAGAGAAAGAAGGAAACGATTTACCAAAAGAATTTCTTTCGAAAATTTCCGAACTTAAAAATTCTGAAGATTTCTATCAAATCTACAAATTCTTTGAAGAAATTTCAGAAAAAGGAAATCAAAAAATGATGCAAAAAGCATGTGAAGAAGAACTTTGGAAAAAACAAGATGATGATGGTTATGGTAGAAATGTACTTCATTATGCATCTTCACAAGGAAATCTGAAACTTGTTAAATCTCTCATTGAATGTGGCTGTGACAAAGAAATCGACAGCAAAGATGGTAGTACAGCTCTATACTGGGCATCAAGATATGGTAAACTTGAAGTTGTTCAATATCTTATCTCAGTTGGAGCTAATAAAGAAGCAAAGACTAATGATGGACGTACTCCACTCAGTTGGGCATCAAGAGAAGGTCATCTTGAAGTTGTTCAATATCTTATCTCAGTTGGAGCTGATAAAGAAGCAAAGGATAAATATGGAAATACTCCACTCATTCGGGCATCATATAGTGGTTATCTTGAAGTTGTTCAATATCTTATCTCAGTTGGAGCTAATAAAGAAGCAAAGTCTAATGATGGACGTACTCCACTCATTTGTGCATCATATAGTGGTTATCTTGAAGTTGTTAAATATCTTATCTCAGTTGGAGCTAATAAAGAAGCAAAGGATAATGGTGGACGTACTCCACTCATTTGGGCATCAGAAGAAGGTCATCTTGAAGTTGTTCAATATCTTATCTCAGTTGGAGCTAATAAAGAAGCAAAGGATAATGATGGAGATACTCCACTCATTTATGCATCAAGATATGGTCAACTTGAAGTTGTTCAATATCTTATCTCAGTTGGAGCTAATAAAGAAGCAAAGGATAAATATGGATATACTCCACTCATTTGGGCATCAATTTATGGTTATCTTGAAGTTGTTCAATATCTTATCTCAGTTGGAGCTAATAAAGAAGCAAAGGATAATCATGGATGGACTCCACTCATTTGTGCATCAGAATATAATAAACTTGAAGTTGTTCAATATCTTATCTCAGTTGGAGCTAATAAAGAAGCAAAGGATAATTATGGAAAAACAGCACTTTATTATTCGGGAGGAGCAGTATGAGAATATTTATTATCAATTGCAAGAAAATATAGTGGTCTCAAAAATAGATTTCAGAACCTTTTCAAATAATTTGAGAACTTAATTATAAAAATTTAAAAATAAAAATTCTCTGAAATTTTAGAATCTATATTTATACAATGTCCTTATGTTAATCTACATGTTATTGATAAGCAAATATTGTTTAATAGTTAAATTTGATAAATATCGTTATCTGATGGAATTTGATATATTATTGAGTATATTTTGATGAAATATAATGAATATATCGGTCCACATTAGCTGTAAATAGGATTTGTCTCACACTGATTGAGTAATACCTCTATGATTTGTTAGATAGTGACGATATTAGAATGTATCATTCCTTTCTTGGCACCTGTTTGAAATTTATAAGGTCCACTTTAAGTATTAGCAAATGCCATATAATTGGCTGAATAATACATATGATTTTTTTTGAAAATAAATTAAATTTGAAGAACTCGAATTATTCTTTAGAAATAATAAATTTCATGATGAGTATAAATTAAACACAATGTTTAATTTTAATTTTGAAAAATGCCCGTTTAAAATTTTTATTATTCCCAAGTCATCAGCAAAATGTATTATTAGTTTAAAATCTACTGATAGAACTCAAAAGGTAGAAACTGTAATGCTTGCTGCGCATGCTCCCTGATTTTCCGTTGATTTCTCTCCAAATTATTTCAATAAATTAGCAACAACTTACTAAAACTCATGGAAGAAGCTGGAAATCATTAAAATGTTACTTTTAAAAGTTGGCTTTAACATGAATTGCTATAGCTCCTTATTAAAAAAAATTCAATTTTCTATATAAAAAATTAGAAGAAGAAATTATTAAAACTGTAATAAACAGAAATTCATCAAAAGTGACAGCTCTCAATTTTTTGACATTTGTAAATTCTAAATTGAATGAGAAAAATGAAATAATACTAAGCATAATACAATATTCTAGATTTAATTATAATTAGGAAAAAGTTGGTTTTGAGAGTACTTTTCATAGGCATATAGAATGAAATCTTCTGAAAAATAATATCACATAAACTCATATTATTTTCTAATATATAACTATTTTATATAAAAATCAAATTCAATGATCTTAAAAGCGAAGGATAAACCTCAAAATTTACGAATATAATGAGTGGGAATATAATGCTTATCTATCATAAAACTATATGAAATATTAATTTTTGCTTTACGCCTAATTTTTGACGACAATTAGCAAAAAATGTTAAATGTTAACACTCAGTCCATTTGAATATGAAAAATAAAATTGACTTTGATTAAATGTTTTTATTTATCATGCAATTCTTCTTGCGACCAAAGATTTGAATAAAATTTCAAAAAATAAGATAGCTTAAAAAATAATATACGGTAGTGTTTACTAATAGATGAATAGTATATAAATTCTATTAAAATGGATTTGATCCAAAAAAATATATAAAATTTGATCATAAATAAAATCGTTTTAAATTACTTCTTCATTTAAATTACCCAGATTTTCCTTACTTTTACCACTCCCCATGTAATTTCTGGGGAAAACGATAATTCATTTTTTTTATGGATGAATAGATCGTTTTCCTAGAAAGGACCTCATATCTCTGGCTAAAAAGAGTGTCAGATCCTAAATAGATTATTGATCTAGTGTACAAATCCAATAAAAAGCCTATTTTTTTGGCTTTTTTGGTGCTCATTTTTTCGAAGATCTACATGAATATGGGGAAACCATCGGATTTTTTTTGTTAACCCACATCTTCATGTAGTCTGGACTATCTTTCCTCGAAGGACCTCTTTACGGGTGTAAAAACTCATAAAGTTCTCAAAAGATTCATTCTCGATCTCCATGCTGAAAGAATTTACAATAAAAAAGAGATCTACGCATCAAACTACAGCCATAAATGAACTGAACCCCTAAAGCTCAGCTCTTAGTTTATCAAAAACGTCGAAATCCTTCTCATTGCAATCAAATTTTCTCAATAACTCATAAGAAAAATCGAATTTTGATTAAGCCGATGTTATAGGTATCACAAATACTACAAACTTGAGCAATATCGAAATTGCCAGCAAAAGTTTGAAATTGCATTGCTCATATTTGTTTTGTAAACTAAAAATCTGCTTATATTATTCATTAATTTTTTATATATTATTCATATACTTTAATAAAAACAATACTATTTCACCTTAAAAATGAATTTCATAAGTCAATATTATTTTTTTGAAAATGTATCAATTTTCGATTAAAACAACATGAGAATAAAATTTACGCAAAATTATTTTAAAAAATGGTTTTAAAAATTTACAATTGATTAAGAATAAGATTGCAAGAAGTTTTGAAGTTTAATTTTAAGAAAAAAAATTCGGATATTATTCATGGATCTAAGTAATCTGATATTTGAGTATCGGCACTATGCATAAAACATATATTTATAGTTTTTTGGATTTTTATGATTTTAAATATATTCAAATTTGGCAATCCAATAGATTTTTAAAAAATAGGTAAATAAAAATAGATTACATATGCAGCAGATTTAGAACATGAAACAAATCTTATAGTGACCCAAAAAAAAATTCATGATCCAAAAAAGAAAAAAATTGGCTAAATGGGAATCAAACCTTGGCATAATGAATCATTATGTAGGATGTTTCCACTACACCGGCAGTTCGAAAAATACCCTTGGTGGGTCTATTTAATAGCTACTCCAAACGATAGGCGGTGTCCCCAGCTTTAGAGGGGTGGTAAAAGTAAGGAAAATCTGGGTATAACAATTATTTTTGGTTTTATATTTTTTTGGATCAAATCCATTTTAATAGAATTTATATACTATTCATCTATTAGTAAACACTACCGTATATTATTTTTTAAGCTATCTTATTTTTTGAAATTTTATTCAAATCTTTGGTCGCAAGAAGAATTGCATGATAAATAAAAACATTTAATCAAAGTCAATTTTATTTTTCATATTCAAATGGACTGAGTGTTAACATTTAACATTTTTTGCTAATTGTCGTCAAAAATTAGGCGTAAAGCAAAAATTAATATTTCATATAGTTTTATGATAGATAAGCATTATATTCCCACTCATTATATTCGTAAATTTTGAGGTTTATCCTTCGCTTTTAAGATCATTGAATTTGATTTTTATATAAAATAGTTATATATTAGAAAATAATATGAGTTTATGTGATATTATTTTTCAGAAGATTTTGTGTTCTTCTTCAAAATTTTATTTTTTTTATTAAAAAGAATCATTACAAAATATACATTTACTTTAATTAATATTTAAAAACGTGCTCTATCAAAAGTTCCAAAAATTCAATATTTTAGCTTTTCTGAGCTGTCACTTTTGATGAATTTCTGTTTCCAACAAAACTAGATTCTCATTACAGAATCATTACATAATACTATCTTGGAATTGGATTTTCTATACCTTAAAAGTAAACCATTCAAATATATCTAAACGTATATTTTTTTTCTGAACAGACGTTAAGGAATTGAGAGTCACAAAAATAGGATCGGCGTTTGGTCGGATTTTCAATAGTTTACATCTCCCCCTTAAAAAGCACCCTTTAATTTTTGATGACACTACAGAATTTATTTCCGTGACCATTATAATTTCTTGATATATTTAGTTATTATCTCTCAACCATCTTTGCAAAAGGTAAAGTTATTTTTATTATTATTTTATTTTATTTTAATAAATTTTTACTCATTAATCTCTCAAATTTCTTGTTTAAGGTTTTATTTTCTATGCCTCTTCACGTAGTAAGTTTTTGTAAAGCTATCAATATACAACAATACCTTTGCACCATTATATTAAAATGGATGCATTGTATCTTCCATAAAAAAATATTTTAACTTTACCACTTGTTTGCCTAAACAATTGTGACAATTCAAAAATGACCAAAATTAGGATGTGAAAATAGTAAATTCAGAAAGCTTTTTTACTTCACACATTGGAGTTTTAGAAAATCAACTTTTTAATTATTAACAGTAGGTATTAAGGGTGCACCCGTATGTACGTTTATTTGAGAGGAGGAGGATTACCCTCTCAATTTTGAGGGATTCGTTAGCTTATTTTCTCGATGAATAAAATTTGATTTTTACCTTATCAATATACTTCATATAATATACACATGTTCATGTAAAAACTTTTTCACAAAATCCTCAGGAATTAAGGGATTTTTGAATTTTAAGAATTTTTTTCGAATTTTTTCGAAAAAAAAATATTTTCAGAACAGCCTTAACGGCTAAGATTTAGGAACAATGTTAAGTATCAAAAAGAAAGGAGGTCTGATATAGACAACATATATCGTTGAAGGTTGAAAAAATCTCTAATATTTGAGCCCAAAATTTCAAATTTTAATTTTTTGAAAAAAGAGGCCACCCGTATGTACGTTTATTTGAGAGGAGGAGGATTATATTTTTGAAAGGGGGAAACATTATGAATATGTTAATTATATAATAATATGTATTATTATAAAAAAGAAAAAATAAAGCACGTTAAAATTTTTCTTTCTTGATTTTTTACAAAATCTACTTAGAATTATGCAAAATATGACTAAATAATTATAAATTTCAAGTTAAATTTTAATTTTGATAAATAATTTAAATTTCAAAATATCAAGTTCAGTTCGACTATGTATGTAGTAATTCCTCAATAAACTGCCAAAACCCTATTAAAATATATGAAAATTTTTCAACATTTTAATGTTTTTATTTAAAAATTTGATGGAATATGAGCTTCAAACAATTATTATGTAAATAAAAATAATTAAATATATGTATTTATTCGTATTACAACCGTAGTAAGTCGATTCTTCCTTTCTTCTACTGAGTTTTGAATTTGATTTCGAATTGTAAAGAGATTCAAAGGGAAAATACTAGCGGAGAAAAACTACCTCCATGAAAGGGTCATAATGGACTCAAGTTGTATTTTTTGATATTTTTTGCTTTTCGAGCCTAAATAGGTAGCCAAGATAATGCCTAAAAATAAGGTTCTAAATTCTGAAGTTTACATGATCCTCTCGTGTGCACCCTTAAGGTTTCACTAACATGACAAAAAATATTCAAAATTTTAAAAAAGATGAAAAATATGCTCTACAATATATATTAATACTAGTCTATCATTTTCAGAAAAAGCACGTTATAACTCATGTTAGTGGAAGAAGGCTTTTTTTGGGTGGGTCAATAAAAATTAAAAATAATGATAAATATAGCATTGATATACATCATAGAATATATATCTCAAGAGACTTTAGTTTTTGTCATGTTAGTGAAGCCTTAATCCGAATAAACTATAATTTAGAATATGACACTTTTTTGGAATTGGAATAACTGAGTTTATCCATATTGCCGATATAGGGTCGAAAAGTGACAATAATGGAATAATTGAATTAGAATAGGGTTTGCTAGTAAATTAGGAATTGGAATTTGGGATTTTGAATTAGAATATAATAAAATCACACATGTTTTTCTTAATAATAAGATTGAATATTTACTCGCGAATATGACAAAAAATGATCATAAATTCTAGATATGTACTATATGGTTATATTACTATGATGATTTATATAAGGTATATATAAGGTGTATATAAATTAGAATGCTAATTGTTAATAATATTGTAGTGTGAAATAATTTATGAATGAAAAGTGTGAAAAAATGTCACCATAAATATGACTAATGTCAATTTATACTTAGTAATACATATATTATACACACTACTATAGTAGTATATATTACTATGTTTTGCCTATTCAGAGTTGTTATGGATTCATCTGCATCAATGAATTGGCATGCAAAAATTAACATATTCTCAATATAACTATACACATAACCCTAATATCAATATAAATACTGCATATGATATAACACATTCAAGACATATTATCAATATATCATAGTTTTTCTCTGGTCTGAGATGCCAATCTTTCTAATCTGTGATAAAGTAAAAAAAAAAATTCACGGTCATTCTAAAAAGACAAATTAATGAGATTGCATTACAATGCATATATTAGGAAATTTTGGTGTTAATAAATTGATTAGTTCGAGTTTAGGATTTTGACTTCGCTAAAAAAATTGACTCAAAATACACAAAAAATGAAATAATTTGAAGTTAGAGATTGAATAATATTATGCATGAGGAGCTATTAAATAAAGTTGTGTATGAGAATATTGCACTTAGATTAATAGAAATAGAATTATAATTCAATAATAATGATGCCTGACGAAAATGATAATTTTGTCACTTTTTCGAGGCGAAATTGATAATAAAAAAATCGTTCAGATTTTTCTTTAACACATTATTTTCCACCAGCACACACAACCATATATCTTTTATTTATTTATATCAGCAATATATCTTACATATCTATATCTTCAACAATATTTTCTATGTTGTTGATTCCTATTCCAGAAGCATCAATTTAATTCTGATGACAAGAATTTTTGATTCGGATAAAGTAAACTTTATACGCAATTCCAAATTCAAACCGATTCCTGATTCATGATTAATTCCATTATTGTCACTTTTTTGTCATATTCGCGAGTAAATATTCAATCTTATTATTAAGAAAAACATGTGTGATTTTATTATATTCTAATTCAAAATCCCAAATTCCAATTCCTAATTTACTAGCAAACCCTATTCTAATTCAATTATTCCATTATTGTCACTTTTCGACCCTATATCGGCAATATGGATAAACTCAGTTATTCCAATTCCAAAAAAGTGTCATATTCTAAATTATAGTTTATTCGGATTAATGCCTACTGTTAATAATTAAAAAGTTAAAAATTCTTCGGTTCCAGAGTGGTGCTACACGCCGATATAAGTTAAAAAATCTCAAAAAAAAATCAAAAATCGGATTTTGTCACTTTTCAATGGAGGAAAAGAAGAAGAAAGAAAAGGAAGAAGTTATAGACAACCCATTAATCAAACTATGCTTTAGCAAGAAAGTTTCTGTTACAGTTGGTGATAATCCTTCTATTAAGAGAATTGTGCAAGTAAATGGCGCTTTTATTTCATTTATTAATCCAGCTAAGGATACAGCAAATATTGAAATCTTCATCCCACACTGGAATGCAAATCTAAAGCATATTGGACAACATACGACTCTCTTTTTGCAACCAACAGGTTATATGAAAGCTCAACACATCAAAGTCAAGTCAAAACATAACGAAGTTATGGAAGAACTACTTGGCCATTTCCTTAAAGCCAAAGAAGCATTCACCAACTACTCTTTAGAGATCTATCAAGGAAAATGCAAAGTAACTCTCGATGGAAAGCCAACAGTAGCAAAAATATCATTATCAAATACAGAATTACAGGTATCAGCTCACTCTAAGACTATTATTTCGCATCCACGTGATAAAACTTTAAAAGCAATCATTCAATTCGAAGATTGCACGAAAGTAGATGTTATTGACGATGAAGTACATCATATACTCATGTTTAGCAAATCAGATTCAGCCAGACTTGCTCTTATTTCAATACTTTCGAAACCAATCGTAAAAGAAGAAATAAAACAGGTTACACTTAACGTTACAGACGTTCCTTACATCGGAAATGCCTTTCTTGATGTATTGAACGAGACATCTGATGTTCCTATTGCAGGAAATTCCGATCAAAATCAACAATTAGAATTTAACGAAGAAACTCTTACTCAAATGGTATCTCAATCAGGTAGACTGACTACTGATATCAGGCAAAGTCGTAAATACATGCGTCACCATGAAGATTCCGATTCTTTCTCTACATCTGTTTCAATGAGCCAAACTACGTTGAATAATCCCGAAGCGTATAGGAGAGCCTTGCAAAAGAGAAAGGAAAAACTCGAAGTGAAGGCTCAGTCCAGGAATAAGTTCATGTCAAATGAAACTTTGGAACTTTTGACCGATTTGAATGCACAAAAAAGTGACAACGATAAGTTCCCCGTGATCAACATTGACGGTCTTCAAGAATTCGATCCTTTGTATAAATTTAATGATGAAAAGATCACTAATGTATTTACAAAGGAATCAAGATTTGTTCATCCATCAGATTTGACTTATCTGAACAAAATTGACGTAGAACTCGAATATAATACGCTTAATAACGATGCAGAGATAAAGGCTATGAACATGCCAATACCAAAACCATTGACAAACATGTTTGGTTTATGAAAAGATAAATAATTCGAAGAACAAGCCAAACTTAGCAGCTTTCTTGATAGAAAGTGGAAGAAAATATCCATTCTACCATATCTACATTGCAATCAAAGAGAATTACAGCCAACAAGACTTGATTGCAGATACTCTCAAGAAATATCCATTTTATACAGTCCAAACAGCTGTAGTTTTCTTCAATATTATCATTAAGAATTGTTTGGGTAAGCAATTCTTTACTTTTCTGCATCATCTCATTCCAACTATCTCCTACATGTATTATTCGGATGCTTTCATATTGATTCCAGAGTTCTGTGGTAAGATAGCTCCGTATTTTGATACAAAAGAGGAAGGAAAGTTCGAATTTGATTGGATTGCATCATTTGATACGGCTTTTCTTAGAGTTTATAACAATTCTCAGCAGTTTTGTGAATTCCCTGCTCAGTCCTTCATCGCTAACCCCTCTGCTTCAACTCCCCTCACTTCTCTTTTACTTGCAATATTAGAATTTGTTGTTCCTCATTCCTACGCATCCCAGGATACTCTTATTGAGAGGTTAACTTCATTTACCCTTTCAAAACCCAATAAACAATGCTTAAACCAGGCAAAATCTAAGAAACCATTAAAAACCGCCATTTCCTTTATTTTATCGTTGATTTCTATCGGATCAGCACCAAAATGGATCTTAGATGTTGCAAATATCAAAGGAGTCAAAGGCGACGAACTTACAAAGCATTATGTAGTTGCTGCAGCATTGAAAAGGGTTTATGAAGCATGTACTAAGCAAAACTGGGAAATTTCTAATGATTTGAGGACAACAATTGTTGATCAGTCCCTTTTAGAATTAGATTTCTTGAATCTTGTTCAAACTCCTACTTTAATATAGATTTTCTTGTAAATATTTGTGTTTATATACTATTGTTTTGGTAAATATTTGTTTTAACATGATTACAAAAAGAATGGAAAATAAGCTTATCTCCTCTTTATTTTGGCTAAAACTGTTCTAAAGAGTTGAGTAAAGGCTTCTGAGATGTTTTTACCGCTTTTGGCTGATGTATCAAAGAAAGGCATTCCATTTTTCTTTGCAAAATCAGCAGCTTCTTGCGTAGACACAGCAAGCTTTGAACCATCACATTTATTTCCACAAAGTACTATGCATGATAAATCAGCTCCGTATTTTTTGGCTTCTTCAAGCCATCTTGGCAACTGAGTAAATGTCTCACGTGCAGTCATATCAAAGACCAAGAGAAATCCATCTGTGTCGCCATAAAATTCATTACGAACTTCAAAATATGAATCATCTCCTGACATATCCCAGAAATGAACATAAAAACTAGTATTATCGACTGTAAATTGTCTTGCACCATAATCTATACCAATAGTTGGAATATATTGAGTAACAAATCGATTTCCTTCGCAGAACCTTTTGATTAGGCAGCTTTTTCCGACTCTAGTTTCTCCTAAAGAAACAATTTTGACTTTGGGAATTGGCTGTCCATCAGCAACATCTGATTTAGACATTTTTTATACGAACTGTACGTTAATAAAGCATAACAACGATTATTTTTCATTCAATTTTTTTTTTTGGAAATTCCATCTGATTTTAAAGGTAATACACTTCATTGATGTGCTTAATTCTGAGACTCTAGTTTCTTCAACAAATTACAAGAAGTTTATCAATGATGCATCAGAGTTTATGCGATCTAAATATAATTTTCATTTTTATTATGTTAGATTTGCCCTTGATTTAATAACCCATAAATTGCATGCATAGGAACTAATTCCATATTTGCATTACTGAGTTCAATTCAAAAATTAATATAAATTTTTCAAGTTTAGTTGATAAAATCAGAATAAGAGTTCAATAGAAAAAATATGCTTTAACAAATATAGTATTTATATCCAAAACAAAAATAAAAATTGAATAATTTTCAAAATATTTCTTAAAACAATTCATTCTCTGATAAAAATCAATTAGCTAAATGATCTCCACTGTAAGAGAAGGTCATCAGCCGCTTTCTTCAAAGGATTCTTAAATTGAGATAATTTCTGAATTTCAGGTAGATTAAGTCTATAAGCATCGAGCATTTCTTCGCATCTAGCCTTTCTTTCCTCTAAACTTGCATCAGCTCCATTAGTTCTCATTGTTGCAAACGTAATTTTTCCAAATGTCGTCATTATTGAGTCAATCAGAGTCAACGCAACGTCAGGTTGTGTCTCAAACAGTTTATTGGCGATGATCATGACCGGAGCAGCGCTTTCTAATTTGATAGATTTCGGTCTTCTCAAAATTATTGATGCCATCTCTGGCTGGAGGTCTCCACCGCTTGCGACAGTCTCAATTGTCTGTTCGAGACCACTTTCTTCGATCATATCTCCTAATCTTGCAATTCTTGAACCTCTTTCTGTCATTTGAGTGCAAAATTCAGGTCTCTCGCGTCTGAACTCTGCATATACTTTATTTTCATCACATTTAAATGACGTTGGAGTTGAAGATCTACGAATTGGAGATTTCGAAGGAGAAACGCTTGAAACATCGCTCTTTCTGGCTACAGACTTTTTAGAATAGGGCGAATATGGCTGTAAAGTGTCTAATTTGACTCTATTTAATGAGATGTGGTTGGACATCGCGGAAGCAATGACAATATTGCCTCCTACGATCTGTGTATCATACACTGATCCAAGGGAGTATTTGAATCTATCGTAAACTTGGTTTGGATTGACTCCGACGACATTTAATAAAGATTTTGAAACAGAAAGAGCTGTAGAACCTTTAGGATGCCAGCGAATGGAAGCTATTTCGGCTGTATTCTTTTGTAATACTGGCTCTATTTCTGTAAATGTGTCTAATGAGAAGAAATGAATTGATCTGTCTTTTCCGCCTGATGCTAGAATGTTTTCTGTAGGATGGAATTGTAAGGCTGTAACAGCATCTTGGTGAAGCTCATGATATGCAAGGATTTGGTTTGAGCGAAGATCATAAATGTTCACAACTTTGTCTAAACCGCCTGCAGCGAAGTATCTGCCATCAGGAGATAATGTAATTGTCGTAAGCTCGTCTTGGCTGACGTTAAATATTGAAACTGGTGCGTGACACTTTTGAGCTAAAATTTGAACGCGTCCATCAACGCCACAAGTAGCGATTGTCTCCATATTGGATGAATCGAATGTTAGTCCACCAATTTTGGATGCTGAGACAGCCCAAGAGGCCATTGTTTTCTCAGCAGCAATATCAAACAACATAACTGAACCTCCATTGGTACCACAAGCGATAATCTCTTCTGTATTTTGAAATTCCATTGAAGTTACGTATGAATTTAGGTTTTTGAAGCACGCACATGGTGAATCTTTTCCAATTGCCCACAAATTCAAGATTTTGTCTGCACCAGCTGATGCAAAAACAAGACCAGTGTTTGGACCTACAGTCATAGATGTAATAGCTCCATCATGGGCTTGACAGCTATGAACTGGAAGTAGTTTTGGTGTATCATTCATTTTTTTTTCTTATTTATTAGATAAAAGTGACAATAATTTTAAAGTGTCACTTTTAAATAAGCTAAAAAAATGCAGAATCACTCGAATAAAAAATGTATTTAAGCCAATTGTTTAAAGATTGGAAATTTGTGCATAATTATGCAAGGATAAATTCATTCAATTAGAAACCCAATGATGTCACTTTTATCGATCGTATTATTCAATTAAATCTTTTAGTCTCAATTCCAAAAAGGATAACGAAACATTGTTGCATATTTGGTACTCAATTTGAATTATAACAAAATCAAAATGTAGTTATGTAAAAGTATTCAAAAAGTGGAAATTTTGAGAACGCTCTTTTTTACGTTATAAATATTTAAATATAAATTACACAGATAATTATATATTATCATTTCTTGATTAAAACGTGACAAAATTGAATGGCGCAACAGCAATATAATGGACAGAAGAAAGACATGCCATTTGAGAGGCTTTTTAAGATAGAAAATATTATATTTGCCTCACCTCCCGAAAGAACGCAAAAAATTCTTCAGTCTATTTCTAAAATTGATCCAACATATAAAGATTATATCATCAAAATACTTATTTTTATGACAAAAACACGCCGATTAAAATACAATATAATTGCTGATTATTTCAATGCATTAGGTCTTATATTACCCGAACAATGTGATCCAGATTTTAAACTCTTTTGGGAAAAATACACAGCAGCTAATGGTCAGCCGTTAGATTTCTGTGATGATATATTTCCCATGAATACACCTGGATTTGCAATCGTTCATGATAACGTCGCAATTCTTCAAGCAATTGTTGAGAATTCTAATAAAGAAGAATTAGTGAATACTCCTGTACAATTCATGGATCAGAAGTTATCCCTTCTAAATCTTGCAGCTCACTGTGGAGCTATAAACTGTTTTAATTATCTACTTCAGTATACAACACAGTTAACAGAGGATGTTCTTGATGGAGCCGTTGCAGGCGGTGATCAGGAAATTATCAAGAAAATTCTATCTCTTAGAAGCGATTTTAACTTAAAAAATCATTTACGAACTGCCATCAAATATCATCATAATACAATATGCGGCATGATTTACAAACAGTCGCCAGATGAATTCTTAAAAGTTGACATGCAATTCTGCGTAGTTAACATGAATAGAACAATGTATAATATTATCATCAAAGAAATGATGAAAAAAGAAATACTTAATTCACCAGATGCTAACATGCAACCACCACTTGTCGTAGCTTCAAGATTAGGTGAAATCGACATTGTAGAGTATTTATTAGAATGCAACGCAAATATCGACGCTACAGACTCGATAGGCGAAACCGCCTTGCTTACGGCAGCCACATTTGGCCATTCTCATATCGTTTGCTTCTTAGTTACAAAAGGAGCGAATATTGAGGCTACAGACAAGTACCACTGGACTCCTCTGATGGCTGCTTGTGCAAATGGCCATGAAGAATGTGTTAAAGTGCTTATTAATAACGGCGCAAACATGCTTGCAAAAGATATTCTCGGAAAAAGCTGTTACGATAGAGCGACAGCAAATGTACAATCACTGTTGAACTTTGATGGAAGAGGTCAGTTTTACATGTAATTCTATATACATATATATATTTAATGTTTGAATAATTATTTTTTTTTTTTGTAAATATTCTGCCAAAACTATAGATTAATGAGTAAAAATTTATTCAAAAAAATAATATTAACTTTATCTTTTGCAACAATGGTTGAGAGATAATAACCAAATATATCCTGAAATTATTTTCTTGCAATTGATTCTAAATATTCTCTTACTGCTCCTTTCGAATAATCAAGTGCTGTTTTTCCATCATTATCCTTTGCTTCTTTATTAGCTCCAACTGAGATAAGATATTTAACAACTTCAAGTTTATTATATTCTGATGCACAAATGAGTGGAGTAAATCCTTTACTATCCTTTGCTTCTTTATTAGCTCCAACTGAGATAAGATATTTAACAACTTTAAGATAACCACTTATTGATGACCAGAATAGAGCTGTACGACCACCATTATCCTTTGCTTCTTTATTAGCTCCAACTGAGATAAGATATTGAACAACTTCAAGATAACCATAATATGATGCATTAATGAGTGGAGTAGATCCAGAATTATCCTTTGCTTCTTTATTAGCTCCAACTGAGATAAGATATTGAACAACTGCAAGTTGGCCACTCCATGATGCCCAGTATAGAGCTGTACCACCATTTTTACTGTTGATTTCTTTGTCACAGCCACATTCAATGAGAGATTTAACAAGTCTCAGATTTCCTTTAACAGATGCAAAATGAAGTACATTTCTACCATAACCATCATTTTGTTTTTTCCAAAGTTCTTCGTCACATGCTTTTTGCATCATTTTTTGATTTCCTTTTTCTGAAATTTCTTCAAAGAATTTGTAGATTTGATTGAAATCTTTGGAATTTTTAAGTTCGGAAATTTTCGAAAGAAATTCTTTTGGTAAATCGTTTCCTTCTTTCTCTTTTAGTTGAGAGTGAAGAGTTTGCATCTCTTTCTCAACGTTTTCTTTTTCTTTTTGGATCTGTTTTAAATCTGCTTGAAGTTTTTCGATTTTATTTGTTGTAATGGATTGATCCTTTTGTAATTGTTGTAAAATGCCAATAATTCCTTCGAAGATTCGCATATTCATGTACTTTTGAACTGATTTAAGTGTTGAAATGGCATCTTGTAAGTTGTTTATTGAAATATTTGCATTTCGAGTGCAAGTATACAACTCATGTGCTGAAATGACAGAATGAGATTGCGCAAGAAGAGAATTGAACTCATCAGGTGTTAAATTCGCGAATTTCATGATTGATTCGATATCTTCTACTTCGAATGTACTGAAGAGATTATCCGCTTCAATATAATCTTTGATATGTGAGCCAATATATTCGTAGTTCAGAACAATTTCCTGACTCATTAAAATTTGTAAAGTTTTTTTTTGACTTAAGGGTGTGCTAAAGACCAAACTTCCTCTATCGTTCTTTGAGTTTCAATTTCAGATGATAGCATCATTAGAGGATTATAAGAGAAATGGCTGATATTGTTTTCGATTTTGTCTGCTGGTTTTTGTGTTCTTGAAAACCACATTCAATTTACAAAAAATATTTTTGAAATTTTAAGGGTCAACTCCGGTCAATTTGACATTTTTTTGTTCAAGTTAAGACTCTGAATACTAAATATTAGTTATTATGTTTTATGTGGTAATAATGTTACATTACACACTATATATATTTAAAATTAAACCTGTATTATCAATAATTTTCGAAAGAATAGATATGTGATTTCAACATTATATACCCAATTTCAGTAAACTAAAGATAGTATATTAAAGATATTCAATCATAAATTTAAAAACAATCTTTTATTTGCGAACACAAACCATCTGCAAAATGTTGTAATCCAATTGAGATTTTTACTTTTATCATTCGCGTCCATCAATATCATTACAATATTGATGGATCATTTTCTATATATCAAAAATTAAAAATCATAGAAAATGAATAATATGAATCATCCTCTAATGTTATTTGATATTTTATTCTTAGGGATCAGAACAATAAATTATCCATAAAGTTATCATCTCTTAAAATAATTGAGAGCTATCGTCAAAAATCAATTCAATTTTAGTTATTTTTTGCTAACTCTTTATGAGATGAGTATATAATAATCAGTGAAAATATGAGTATATCGGTATATCTATAATAAGAAATCAAATGACCTAGAAAATATAAGATATCAAATTTCGATAACTTATTGGGAAATAACTAACTTGAATAAATATATATATTTAGTTCACCATCAATTTCAAATATAAATTCAGTGTTCAAATTATAACCAATAGATGTATTAGATGAGATAAATCTTAAATATTATTATTTTTATAAATGGATTATAACATTTTTGAGGTCCTTTAGATTTCATATATACACATATTTATAAAAACCATATGTTCTTGTGTATCTCATTCAAGTTTCATTTTGAGCTGAATACTTATGATTCTTTCTATGGAGCAGATTTTTTTCCAAAAAAGTTATATTTTCACATACAAAAATTCAATTTATTTATTATCTAGACATTATAGAAATGAATCAATTATATAGTAATGATACCATAGAACAATGGCATGTTTTTTGGGATTTCTTTTTATGGTACATGTATGTTCAGGTGGCAAATTGGCCGGAGTTGACCCTTAATAAAAAACTAATTTTTTGTTAATGGATGCTTTTATAACAGGTTTAGATCGAATTGAAATATACAGAATAATCAGATTTTAGGTCTTGTATATAAAAACATATCAAAATTATAGAAGCGCTTTAATATCCTGAAATCAATTGTTGGTGGAGAACGATCTTATGCCAGAATTTTTTGTGACACATTTACATGTCAGATTTAGCATAGTGGAATCCATGTAAATGAACTCCGCACTTTTTTCCTTTTTGTAATTTGATTTGGGTTTTTTACCTATATCAGTTATTTTAACTTGCAGTTAAGTGAAGGAATTATAATTTACTTCTAAATGCAAAGCTATACATATGACTATACAAGTATAAAAGCTAAGATTTTTATGAGAAATAAATTATTGTAAATTTTTAACAAATTAATCTGCCATTTTTGTTTTGTTAGATTCAATAAATGCTATTAATAATAAAAGGAGCATTTTTTTCTACAACCTTTTTCTTCTTTGCCATGTAAAGTTTAACGTACTTTTTTTATTTCTTTCGGATGGCATTCAACAAAACATTCAGGAAACAAAAACGAAATTGATTTGTTATTTCTACTAATATTTCAGTCCTTTTATAAAGAAAAATCCTAAAAATTCGACTTATTCTGTCAATTCCAAATACAATCATTGCCAAGTTCAAGCGAAATCAACTTAATTCAACAATAAAACCAATCCCACGCCACCAAAAATCATATTATCATTCATATTTTCATATTTCATTTGTCAATCATTGAATTGCAAATCAGAACTCAAAATTGTACAGACATATTATCATATCCTTCTAACTACCAAATAACCATTAGTAGATAAATATATATACGAAGTAAGAAACAAAACTGAATTGCCAATTTTTTTATAATATTGTCAAAAGATTGATTTTAATAAAAACATTTATTATATTATATGCTGGAGCATCTTTAATGCAAATGAATTCATAATTCCATTTTTTACTTTAATGCAATCTAATTCTCTTCCTGCATAGAACCTATATTAAAAACCAGAGCTAGATGATAGATTCTGAAGTGATAAATAAATTCTCCGTTTGCGTTCAAAATGTTTATCAAGACACTCCATTTTTTCTCGATCACAGTTCCTAAAGGGTGTCGAAAAAAATTTAAGGTTAAGAGTTTCCATACCTTTCATAAAATATATAAAAATATGAAAATTATAAAATTATGATAATAATACAAACAAACATTTAATCTATAAAAATATGAAAATTATAAAATTATAATTCGAGACGTGAAATTTTGATTTTGATACCACCAACTTCTGCTTCAGGATGGTTAATCTTTTCGCCTGCTGTATATCCCCAAGGGTCGATGTTCTCGTGTGGATCAATAGATTCTTCGAACAAAAATTCGTGAATTGGAACAGATGGATCTCGTTCTTTCATTGGCTCTAGTATTGATCGTTTGACAATTTGCTGCTTGGATTTTCTTATTGGAACTGATAAAATCGGATCACCTGAAAATTTCTTAGTAATTTGTATTGGAGTATGATGATCTTTAAATATATCTCTCGATCCGTGCTCAACTGGAGCTGTGCGACCTCTTAATGGTGTTGGTTGACGAAAAGCTCTATATTCGCTTGGTTTATATCCAACAAGTTCGATATCTTCTACATCTGGCTTTGGTTGAGGTGGTTTCTGACTTGGCGCTCTTGTTTTTTGTTGAGAACGTTGATGTGGAGATCTTTTTGTTGTGCAAGTCGTCATAATTCTATTCCTTTGCTCTTTATAAAGTCGATCAAAGCGACCTAGACCTTCGAGCTTAATACGGCTCATTTCCCAATAGGGCTTTGATCCATCCATTCGAATTGTCAAAAAAACGTATTTCAAATTCAACGAAAACAAATTATTTTCAGAATGATAAAACTTTTTGAAAATAGTTATGTCAACAACAAATAATCATCCTCTTTCGCAAAATAAGGCAAAAAACAAATTAATCCACAATCAATTGAATTTCCAATATGATATATCTTGCATTTACTCTAGGCATTATAATTTACAATGCTTTTTAAATACTAACCCCATTTTGAATGACCTAAAAATTATTTTCTTGTAAAATCTTAATTATTGGATATGTTTGAATAATGAATCTTTGAGTATTCTTTGAGTTTTCATTTTTCTGATGTTAGCAAAACAGAAATAAAAACATTTTTAATTTTAAAACAATACTGGTCTGGACAGATTATACCATGCACAGTGATGAATATTAACTTAAGGACAACATAATTAAATAAAAATTAAACGTTTAAATTAAATAGAAAGAAGATATAATAATTATAATGTTCCTCCTTTAGAAATCAAGAGTTTGAGCATTTTGTTTCCATGTTTATCCAATTCATATGCAAGTGATGTTTTACAACCTTTATCTTTTGCATTTATATCTGCACCGTGAGAAGTAAGTAATTTTGCAACATCAAAACTATTATTGATCACAGCCCGATGCAGAGCAGTTTGTTGATTATTATCCCTTATATTTACATCAGCTCCATGTTTTATAAGAATTCAAGTAGTTTCATATCTATTATAAAATGCTGCTTCATGGGTGGGGGTTCTTCCTTCATTATCTTTAACATTGATTTCGGCTCCATGAAGAATTAAAAGTTCGTTTAATTTATCAATGCTATTTTCTGCAGCGTAATGAAGAGGAGTTATTCCGTTTTTATCCTTAATATTGACATTTGCTCCATTTTTAATAAGAATTTCTGCAAGACTTAATAAATTTTTCTCTGCTGCTTTGTGAAGAGGTGTTTTTCCATGCTCATCAATTGCGTTTATATCTGCTCCATGCGAAACAATAAATTCTGAAATTTCTGGTATCTTGGAATTAAAGATATAATCAAGAATTCCATTAGCTTCATTATCTCTTAAAGTTAAATCTGCTCCATGTTCAACAATGAACTCCGCAAGTTCTTTCCTATTGTAATAAATTGCAAGATGAAGAGCAGTTCTCCCATCCTTATCTTTTAAATTAATATCTATGCCATGCGAAATCAAAAGCTTTGCTACATTGATATTATCAGTACATATGGCTTGATGAAGTGCAGTTCTTCCGTCTTTACCTTGTGAATTAATATCAGCTCCATTTTGTAAAAGAAGTTCTGCAACATCAGTTTCATTACAAAAAGTAGAATAATAGAGGGGAGTTTGTCCAGATTTATCTGTTTCATTTACATTTGCACCATTTGATATCAATGTTTCTGCAAGTTTTGTATAATGATATCTACAAGCAATATGAAGAGGAGTGTAACCTGTTCTAGCATTTTCTCATTGAGTTCAGCACCATGTGAAATTAAAAGCTGTGCCATTGATAATTTATTGTCTTCTGAAACAATATAAAGATATTGCTCCTTATTGATATCTGCGCCTTTTTCTATTATTAATTTTGCCATGTCATTATCATTATCCTTAATTGCTTTATGAAGAACAGTATGTCCACTGCTATTGAATGCATTAATTTCAGCACCATGATCAATTAAAATTCTTACTAATTCTAAATCACTTTTTTCGACTGCTGTAAAAAGAGGGAAATTTCCATCTTTATCTTTGATATTTGCATCTGCATTATGTTCAAGTAATAACTTGACTGTGTCGATAAAATCTTGACTTACAGCTAAATGCAACGGTGTTATTCCATTTGAATCTGTTGCATCAATTTTTGCACCATAAGCGAGAAGTAATTCTGCAGATTCATCAGAAGCAAATTCAGCTGCATCGTGAAGTGGAGTTCTTCTATTTTGATCTAATGCACAGATATTTGCTTTATGCTGAATTAAGGCTTCACTAACATGACAAAAACTAAAGTCTCTTGAGATATATATTCTATGATGTATATCAATGCTATATTTATCATTATTTTTAATTTTTATTGACCCACCCAAAAAAGCCTTCTTCCACTAACATGAGTTATAACGTGCTTTTTCTGAAAATGATAGACTAGTATTAATATATATTGTAGAGCATATTTTTCATCTTTTTTAAAATTTTGAATATTTTTTGTCATGTTGGTGAAGCCTTAAAAGCTCAATTACTTCAGGAAAATCACTTTCTGCAGCATAATGAAGAGCAGTTTTCCCTTCGTTATCAGATGCATTGATATTTGCACCATTTGCAATAAGAAATTCAACAGTTTCTAGACAACCTTCATCGGCAGCTAAAATAAGGGGTATTTTACATGCATTTCCTTTTTCATTGACATTAACATTGTTATCAAGAAGGATTTTTATAAATTCTTTACCATTGTATTCTGCCGCGAAATGTATTGGTGCACCATCCATATAACTACAATAATTAACACTCTCTCCAATAGAAATAAGATATTCTAAAGCATCTACTGCATTTGTCAATGCAGCATAATGAGCAGGTGATAATTTCTCTTCTCGTGAACCTATTTTGGCTCCATTAGACAGTAAATATTTGCAAAGAAATGGAATGTTGAAACCTGGCGAATGTGCATAACATTTATTGTAATCATGTGTTTGATCTAAATATGCCAAAAATGCCTGAATATTATTAAACCTTGCGCAGCTGCATAAATCAATATCTATTTTATATTCGTTCATTAAGAATGCAACGAAGTCCATGTTGTGTGTAAAAACAGCATATTTCATTGCCCAAAAATCTGGTTTCTTTACTTTCAAGCATTCGAACATTATATCTGGATTTCCACTCAAAAATGATAATGAAACAGTATCTTCTGCGATATCGAAGCCGAACTTTGTTCCAAAAAATTTGAAACATTTAACAGATCCGTGAAAACAACACAAGTCAAGATATGAATATCCGCATTCTAAATATGGATATAAATCATTGTTTTTCATGATAAAGTTTTCATCAAATCCAGATCTTTCTGTAAATGATATAAATGATTCAACATCATCATCCATTATTGCTCTGAGGATTGTGTTTTCTTCATGAACTTCAAGTGAATAATTTTTGGATTCCAATTTTTTAAACGAATTTTTAATTGCTTCATCAATAACAATCCCATATTCTTTATAAAGAAAGTAATGCAAGATTCTAGGTACATTAATTATGCGTTTTGGTTGGAATTCTTCGTAAATTTTCTTAAAAAGTAATAAATATCCGCGTAAATAGTGATTTTTGTAAGAAAAAAGAACTCCTATAGAACTTAATAAGTTTTGAGCAGTAATCAATTCTGGTTTTGACATGTTAGATTTGATCAAGTTGAAAAGATTTTCGATTTCTTGTGGATCGTTTGAATTAAGCTTGTACAAAGCATCATATGTATCATGATGAGCTTTGAAAATCTCCATTAGATTATTAAAACTATGTTTGATTTTGGAACTACTTTTCATCAATTTTTTTTTGTCAGTTTACTCCTCTTGGTCTTCCATGAGAGTTTTACACAACAGAAATGTAATATCTGTATTGCTTAATTATGGCGCGTGTATAGATATAATTTTCGTTAATGGCCTAGGAACGTAGAATAACTCGAATGAGGCAAAGTTCTTCTGAAGTCTCTCATTCCGTTCGAGGCCTTGGAAAAGTCTTACCATTGATCGAATTAACTTTGCTCTGATTGCAAACAATTCGGGGTTAGTCATAGTGCTTCAGTGATGGATTTGATGTATTAGAAGCGGTTGTTGATAAAAATCGCCTCCGTGACATCAAATCACTCGCTGAATCAAAGAAATTTGGAGTTAATTGGATAAACTTTCACAATTCTTGCAATTTCAAAGTCACTAATGCTTGTCATAAATTTGGTTTCGATCAAAATAGGTTTGAGTTGTGTGTTAGGATCACATTTTTATTCTTAATGTATTGATTAGCTAAATCTGTTTAAAAATATCAATTGTCAATAAGGATATCGATTTTTGGTGATATAAATAATTTAATTTCTTAATTAGTATATAAAATTGTTTAAATTTATAAAATAAAAAAAATTATTCGTTATTATTTCTACGAGAGGCCTCTGTTTTTTCATGCAGAAGGAGTTCCATTTTGCGTGTACCCATTTTTGCGTATTCAGTTAATTCGAGTGGTGTCAATTCATAATCATTTTTAATAGTACAATCAGCTCCATGCTCCAAAAGTGTTTCGATTACATCATACGCACTTGACAAAACAGCCATGTGAAGAGGAGTGTTATTTTTAATACCTTCTTTCTCGTTAATTTTTGCTCCATTTTCGAGGAGGAGATTAATTAAATCCTTGTTGTTTTTAGTGGCTGCATAATGGAGTGGAGTAAATTTAATATCATTCTTTGCATTGACATCTGCATGATTTTCAATGAGAAGCTTTGTGATCTCATAGTTATTGCAGACGATATCCCTCAGCAATCCTGTAGAACCACTATCATCTCTTTGGTTGACATCAGTACCAAGTTCAATGAGTTTCTTGACAAGAACAATATCACCAGAACTACATGCACACAAGAATGCTGTTGTTCCATCGTTTGATCTCTTCTCAATATCAGCACCTTTTTCAATAAGATACAATGCTGTTTCTGTGCAATTTCTGTTGCATGCATACATTAGTGGAGTCTTTCCCGCTGAATTAACAGCATTAACATCAGCTCCATGCTCAACAAGAATCTTGGATGCTTCAAGACAATTGTGATCTGCAGCACAATGAAGTGTTGTTGCATCTTTATCATGCTTAGCATTGACATCTGCTCCCTTTTCTATAAGGATTTTCATAGTTTCGAAATTGTTCTTTTCACTTGCAAGATGGAGAGGTGTCCAATCCTTATCATCCTTTGCATCAATCTCTGCGCCATTCTCAATCAAAACACGTGCAACTTCTGTGCAATGGTAGATTGCTGCATAATGCAATGGTGTCATTCCCATTTCGCCCTTTGTATTAACACTGACACCCTTTTCTAGTAAGAATTTTACAAATTCAACATTATTAAGTTGTGCTGCAACACAAATCAATGGAAGATCACTGATTGTCTCCTCGATAAGATGATCTGCATCATTTGCAATCTTGATCACAAGTTCAGGCAAGTTAAATTCGCAAAGAATTCTTGCAAAATCCAACAACTCGCCTTTGTTAGTTATTACCAATGTGAAATTTCTGGAGAAAATGCAATCATGGATATTGACTGAAAAATCATCAGAAAATATTTTAACAAATTGATTGTTATGTGCACAAATTGCGTTGCTCATGCATTTTTGTGTTGGAGACTTCTTTTTAAGGCATTTCTTAAGGATGCTAATATTGCCACTGATAAATACCATTTCGAGGCACTTCTTTGTAATTTTCGTATTAAAATTCTTAACTAGAGTATTGAAACACTTTTCAGCACCATAGTACAAGCACCATTCAAGCAAAGTAAGTGAATCAAATACTGGATGCTTGAAAGAATACTTATCTAGATCGGCAACATTAAATATTGCTATTGGGAATTTCGTATCGTCATCATTCATTACGCAGTTTAATACACTGTTCAAAATATCACCTTCAGCATGAGGGGAACACCATTCGTAAGGGGCATTTTGGTGCCAAATGTTTTGGAAATAATTCTTAATTGTTTCATCCTTAATGTAAACGATGTATTCATGCATTGTTGGACAGAATCTGAATGGGTTCTGCTTTGGTTCAGGAGAATCTTCAATAATCTGCTTGACCAAAAGGAAATATCCTTCTGCATAGCGATCATGGAAGTAACATGCCTTGTTAATTGTTTGGAGAAGATCTGAAATTGGAATTTTAAGTTTATTAATTAAAACTGTTTTGATTTGATTGAAAAGTTTTGTAACTTCAGCTGGATCATTGGAACTGAGCTTAAAAATATCATCGTAAGCACTCATAACTTCTTTGATAAGGTCAAAGTCAAGTCCAGACATGATTAAAAATGAAATGAAAAACGAAGAAGAAGAATTTTGTTCTGAAAATTTTGCCGTTATTTTTTTTAAAAAAAGATATATGCGTAATTTCATATAGATTCATAGATTTTTGGATTTGAATATCGTCACAATTTTTGAAGGTTACGATAAAAAAATTTTAAAGTCGTTTTTGTTTATTTGTCAAACTTTGGATTCAAATTTAACTTTTGCAAGCAAAAGAGGTGTGTTTCGGTACGGACACAAATGATACGACAACATTGTCTAAGGAATTTAAAAAAAATCGTTTTCATAAGATATTTTCTATTCTTTAAAAAAATGCATGTATCTAATATGACTTTTGTATCAATTTTTAATCAAGTCTAGAGGTAAATGATTAGGTTTAATAATCCTTCTTTCACAGTGAGCAAGAATCTTTTAAATATATATATATATAATATATAAACTTCTTCATTCACATAATGCAGATCGGCTAACAGATTGTAATACATATAAGAACGAATCCAGATTGAGAATAATTTAGATTGTCTCTAAAATGTACAGACACTCGTGTAATTTTATACTTCTAATATCCATATGTATTCTTATGTCTGACTCTTCTTTTTTTTATAAGACATTCGAATTTGTCACTTTTCTTTAAAAATTTCAATGAAATTATGAGTTTTATTCAGACTGTTAATGTAAATAGTTCGAATAAAATCATCGTATCTGATCGATCCTTTACTATTAGTTCATACGGCAACACTCTTCAAGTTAATGTTGAACTAATAATTGATCATTCAAAGGGTTTAATCAAACTATCATATAAATATAAGTCAATTAAAGTAAATGGATCGGAATTTATTTATAAAGCGCATATTCCATTCGCTTTATATATAAATGAAGTGAATAACAAACCAAAGACATTTTTAATCACTCGCAATACACATAGCTTCAATGTGTGTGCCTATAGCATTACGTCCTTGACATTTGTTTTACTTCCTTTTACGCCAATTTTGATCAGTCAAAAAACAGATATATTACTTAAAATATTCAGTTTATTTGACGCAACACATGTTCCCCTCCATTACTTTGACGACAGAAGACCACTTCTTTCATACAAATGTAGTTTATCTTACAATTTGGAGCATTCTCCTTATACAAAGTATAAAATCCATTCATTTATATCAATTCTGCATGATATAGATATGAATTCTATCCAATTTCTTACTTTTCCAGAAATACAAACAATTATTTCGAAAATAAGCGATTTATATTACAAAGAGCTCGGATTTTCATACAAAATAATCAATGACAATCCGGGTGACGAACTAATCCCTGAAAATTTCAATCCAAAAATTTTAATTTTTTTACCAAAAGAAGAAATTGTTCCATCTCCATCAATTGTCTACGGAACGAGTATATATAACCTTGCTACAACACTACGAGTCGAAAATGACGTTTTTGTTAGCAATTTTCTTTACAAAAAATTTATTTTTGATGTCAGAGACCAAACTATTAAATTTGAAAAAGGGAATACTCCATTTGGCAAGCATATAGCCTTAGTATACCGCTTTTACCAGAAAAATGACACTTGTGTCCTTAATATTCCATCATTTGTCCTCAGACACGAAAAAACAAAAATTTACAGATACGAAAACGATACAAAAGTAGAGACGATAACATGTTACAACATGAATACCGATAAAAACGAACAAATAAAGCATTCATGGAATATCAGGTTATCTTGTCAAGAAAAAGACACAGATTTACTACTAATGGATACATACGATGATGTATATTATTTCGAATACGATCCTGGCCGCATTCTTTTATCAACAAATCCAATTCCTTCAATATGCGGAAAATCTGTTTTAGTTATGAAGAGTTATCAACAAATTAAGAGGATTGTATGGATAAATAACACATTGGTATCCAACAAAGACTCAGATTTCGTGACTTTTTCTCATTTTAATTCAGATCTTAAAGATCAAACGGTTGTATACACAAATTACTTTGTTCCTGCAATTGTGACCAAGGAAATGTATACACCACCTCAATTAATTGTTGAATTAATCAATGACAAAAATAAAATTGAAAATTTTGTTGTCACGAACATGCTGAATGGGAAAATTGTTAAGAAATACTCAATAGATGAATCAATTGACTTCAATCTCCCTGTAGTTCTGTTCCAAACCATTTTAATTAATCAAAATAATATTATTCCGTTTTTATTCAACGAAAAGTTGATTTCGGACAAATGTTACATTGCCAATCGCAAAAACATCAAAAATGTAACAGAATCAGAGAGATTTGTCCAAATTCAAAAAGATGATTTTTCTTTTTACTTCTTGAACTTGAAAGAACCCACTCTTGTCTCTTACTGTCTATCAGGAAGCCCTCCAACGGTGATTGCATCCCTTGCAAAGTACTTTCTTCTGTATGTTTTCGATTTGAAAGTAATTTCAAGCGGAAAAACGATTACAATTGATCCGGATGGACTTATTAATATCGACCAGCTCCAAAATGTCTCGCAAATAGAGATAATTCATAAATCAAAACAAATAAAAATTTATGAAATCTCTTTGAAGGTTAATAGTCACAAAACGAGTAGGGAACCAGAGATAACCTCTTATTTCGATGGTTCGTACAAGAAAATACCATTGCAATCAAAAGATAAGGAAAATTTTTATTATTTGCTTGACAAATCATCAAAAGTCACTAAAATTGTGATACCTGATGAAATCAACCTTGTGTTCTTTGATTGCAGCTTGATTACCTCAACTTCCTTGTTAATTTGATTTATCTTATGAGTTACTACGAAAAAACATCATTTTTACTCATTTTATTCGTTAGTAACGCATGAGGTAAGTCAGATTGACTTGGGAGTGGAGTTTCCTTTCAAAGAAATCCAAGATCTTACGTTTTTTAGGTCTTTGGTTTTTATCTTCATTGTTGATATTGAAAAATACCAAATATAAGTGTTGTGTAAAAGATTTTATTTATTTTATATTTATTTAATGGTTGAGTTTACTAAATTACTTCATTTCTTCTCCAAAGTAATTATAACTCAGATAATTAATAGTTTATACTATCACTAACCTATATAAAAGTATTCTGACTATATCTGAATATCTAAAATCTAATGCAAAGTGGAAAATATACATTCAAAATTAGTACAATTTGAAGAATTCACGCCCGTAAAAGAGTCTTTTCATGATGTATTTATCCATATTTAAGGGTGCACACGAGAGGATCATGTAAACTTCAGAATTTAGAACCTTATTTTTAGGCATTATCTTGGCTACCTATTTAGGCTCGAAAAGCAAAAAATATCAAAAAATACAACTTGACTCCATTATGACCCTTTCATGGAGGTAGTTTTTATCCGCTAGTATTTTCCCTTTGAATCTCTTTACAATTCGAAATCAAATTCAAATCTCAGTAGAAGAAAGGAAGAATCGACTTACTACGGTTGTAATACGAATAAATACATATATTTAATTATTTTTATTTACATAATAATTGTTTGAAGCTCATATTCCATCAAATTTTTAAATAAAAACATTAAAATGTTGAAAATGTTCATATATTTTAATAGGGTTTTGGCACTTTATTGAGGAATTACTACATACATAGTCGAACTGAACTTGATATTTTGAAATTTAAATTATTTATCAAAATTAAAATTTAACTTGAAATTTATAATTATTTAGTCATATTTTGCATAATTCTAAGTAGATTTTGTAAAAAATCAAGAAAGAAAAATTTTAACGTGCTTTATTTTTTCTTTTTTATAATAATACATATTATTATATAATTAACATATTCATAATGTTTCACCCTTTCAAAAATATAATACTCCTCCTCTCAAATAAACGTACATACGGGTGGCCTCTTTTTTCAAAAAATTAAAATTTGAAATTTTGGGCTCAAATATTAGAGATTTTTTCAACCTTCAACGATATATGTTGTCTATATCAGACCTCCTTTCTTTTTGATACTTAACATTGTTCCTAAATCTTAGCCGTTAAGGCTGTTCTGAAAATATTTTTTTTTTCGAAAAAATTCGAAAAAAATTCTTAAAATTCAAAAATCCCTTAATTCCTGAGGATTTTGGAAAAAAGTTTTTACATGAACATGTGTATATTATATGAAGTATATTGATAAGGTAAAAATCAAATTTTATTGCATATTCATCGAGAAAATAAACTAACGAATCCCTCAAAATTGAGAGGGTAATCCTCCTCCTCTCAAATAAACGTACATACGGGTGCACCCTTAATTTGTTGTGACACACTCTAATATGTGAAGTAGATTTCACAGTAAAATAAATCTTTTTTCTATATTTATGAGCATGTAATGCTAAGTCATAGTATTATATCAGTTTTGCGAAAAATCAAAGTTTTGAAACTCTTTTGTCAAAAAAAATTGAGTGTGTTTTAAAAAATGGTAAGTGTGTCCTCAATTATTATCCCTCTATTTTTGATTTCTAATTTTGGGCGGCACCTATCACTTTCTGACATACTCTCATATTTTCTTTTTCAAGTTAGAGAGTGACAAAAAAATTGAGAGCGTGACAAAGGGAAGTAAAGTCTTTAGAGCTTCATTTTTATAAGATTCAACCCAATCTTACCTTTAATGATATGTGATTTTCTATTGCATTAGATGTTCAAAACACCAATATTGTTTGATTACTTAGCTGAAATAACAATTGAACTATTTCTATTTAGAAATTTCATCAATGCTTATAAATTTATAATATACTACAGCTTTATACTTTATTATTACCAATAAGATTCGATTATTTACAATATTTTTTTTTAAATAAATAATCGATTATATTGAAATTACATCAATATCTATTATCCACACATTATCAATATTAACATGATAGCTACAATGGTCATGCCAAAGAACTTGAATTAGAGATTTTTTAAAATACGTTTGCAATTAATGATATATTTCGACTTTTATATAAGAGATCGGTGTAGATTACAGCGAGCTTAATTACTTAATATGATGGCAAGGTTAGACTGAGCAAATTTTACAAATGGAAAGATGGTCGTAATAATAATTAACGCAGACTATAATTATTATAATAGAAGGCCATGATTTTATAATTAGACTAAATTTACCAAATGAAATTATCTTTAACGTACAGTTTTCACAAAACATGAAAACAAAAATTGTAAAAATGATGCATCAAATAAATTTTTAATATTAATAAAAGATTTTAATGATTTCAAATAGCATGAAAATACCTTTTTAGATGATTTGCTTATCGATAATTTCCCTCACAATTTATCATATTAATTATGAAATTTTGAGGGAGAAAAATAAAAATTGAATATACCCTCAAATACAGACAAGTAGTAAATCTGGATGATGAGATCAAATCAAAAGTTATTGACAAAACTGATTATTTTTTTGATAGCACGATTCTTACTTTTTATATTTTTATCCCAATTTTTTTTTATTATAAATCTATGCAGAAGAATCCTGATCTGAACTTCTTCCAAGAGATGGATGCAGAGGACCAGCTTTCTGATGCTATCTACCAATTTAATAAAAACCCAAAGAAAGGAATTGTTGATTTATGCAGGTATTATCATATCGAAAATACTCCACAGTTAGTTGGGCATCTTCTCTTTGGCAGTGACAACCTCTCTGCAATCAAAGTCGGAGAATACCTTACCGCATCTGGAAATGAAAAAGCTCTTGACGCATATTTTGATCATTTCGACCTTGGCTGCAATGTTGTTACAGCTCTACGTCGTTCGTTTTGCGAGCAATTTCATGTACCACCTGATTCGGAAAAGATTGACGCTGCAATTCAAGCATGCTCAAGAATTTACTTCAAACAAAACCCTCATAAATTTCAAAATGTTGAAGAAGTTTACTCGGTGATGTACTCTGTAATCCTCCTTAACAGTGATATTAATAATCCTAAGAACCCACGGCCAATGACAACAAGCCAATTTATCTCAAACATTAGAACTATCATTAAACCTGAACAATTATCAGATACTCAGCTAAAAGCACTTTACAATGACGTTAAGTCAAATCCCCTTACGTTTTCCTCGGAAGCTTCTGGTAATTTTCTTGAATTATCTGCACCAACTTTCAAAGGAAACCTTAGAAAGAAAACAGACAACTGGAAAAGCTTTTGGACTGAGCATTTCTTCGTGTTAGCGAACTCCTGTTTGTATTATTTCCAAAGTGATCTTCCTATCTACAAAGATCATCCACTTGGATGCATACAGATTTTCGGTCTTACAGTTTGCAAAGGTCCCTTCCCGAGGACAATCATATTAGAGTCAAATTCAGGCATCAGATTCAATAAATTTAAAAAGCACGGGCCTGTACAAATTTTAGGTGTTAAAAAGCTTTTCCTTGAAGCACCTAGTGACAGAATGTTCCAGAGATGGCTCTATCGCCTTCAAACTTCTGCAAATGGAGAACAACCAACGAATCCACCACATAAAACAGATGTTCCCTCGGATGTTTTCGAAGGAATCGAAAATGCCAGACAATTTGCAAAGCTTTCTTCAACAGGAGCCATTAATCAGATTGCTTCAGAATTATCTTCAACAGATGACACTAAAGTCAATCCGCCAGTACAAGCTCCATCAAATAACGTCAGAATTACATCATTTGGAGCACAACCACGCGAAGATGCGCCAACAAATCGCAGAAAACGTGCTGCTACCCTTATGGAGAAGACTACAATCGAAACAGAAGAAATGATGAACATTTCAAACCTTCCTAAGCCTTCAGAGATTGAAAATGTCATTGATCCTGACGATGATTTTTCTTATATAAAACATGACACTTTTCGTCGTAAATCTCACAATCTTGATTTCATTACAAAACAGCTCAAGGCACAGAATTTGGAGCGCCTTCAAAAGAGGATGGAGAAGAGAGCTAAAGAGCTTGAAGAATACGAAGAAACACTGAGAATGTGGCAAAGAAAGAGAAAAGAACTGAAATTAAAGATGCAGAATATGACTCCTGAAGAAAGAGCTCAATATATAGCTGAAAGGGATGCTAGAAGGCAAGTCAAGATACAATCACTCATTCAAAATTAATTTTTTTAGTTTTATATTTAATAATTTTATTATTTTTTTGTTAATTTTTTACTTATATTAAAGTTTACCCTTTTGTTTATTAAATTTAAGTTCTAAAATGAAGTAATTGACGACATTTACTCTGACAATCATTTCTTAGTAATTTACTAAAATTAAGATTCCAAAGAGCAGAATCACAAAAAATAAAGGTTAATTTACTATTCAAACAGAATACCAAGTTATTGCCCCGCCTGTAAAGATAAATAATTCTAAGACGATCGCTATTTATCTGCCATCAAAACTGTTCATACCAACTATAGCAAGTCTTCTTCAAGGTTTGACAGGGAAAAAGCTCTTCGATAACATAAGAACAGATAACAGCCAGTAAAAAGATTAACTTTTTTATCTAACTCTAAACTTCAATTCTATTTTTTTTTTCTCAATTATTTTTCTTCTTCAGTTTCCTAATATAGATAAGATTAAATTTAAAATTCATGAAGTCAAGAAATGCTTCACGCCCGTAATTATTGATTAAAAATGTAATCATATCAGATTAGATCGAAAATAAAGGTAACATAACATTCATTTTGAAGATTAATATGAATAGATATGAATGCTTATTCAGTGTCACTTCTTATATTCTCTATACTTTCTAGTCATTGATTACTATAAAAGTAATTATACCTCCATATTTCATTTGATTCTAATTTCTTTTTTTGAAAAAGTGACAACAATTAACTAATTTGCATCATCCTAATCAAAATTTCACTAGATACCAATATGATGTTTGATAGTTCGATGTTTAATCTAGCATTGCATTAAGGATATTTACATTAAATTCCGTAGAAATTTTATCCTAATGAATTCAAAGTTTCTTTAATTCTTCTTTTACATGGTGCAATTGCAAACTTTAAAAAATGCTTAATATAGAGTAAAATGATTCTGGACAAAATAGAAATATTTGATTTTGTATGGATTATGATGTTTGATTATCTAGTCAAACAAAAATTAATTTTTATTCAGTAAAACTTATTTGCTATATTTAACTACTTATTATGCATCGGTTTGGGCTCTGCTTCACCAGGGAATGTATAAGTTAAAGTGAATCCTGTTTCTCCATCTGCATAATAGCCTTTTTCTTCGAACCTGAACTTATATCCTAGTGTATCTTTGTACAATTTGTGTCCAGCCCGATTGGTTTCGCGAACATTAAGATTGATATGCGTAGTCTTGAAATTCTGACGAAATGCACGATGAGTGTAAACAATTAACTTTGTAGCAATTCCGAGTTTTCTGTAGGAGTTAAATACTGCAACAGACGTCAGACCACCATAATATTCTTTTGTTTTCATGAAGTTCTTGTTCATATCTTCATCAAGTTTGCCAAGAACATAACCAACAATCTTACCCTTTGAATTTGTGGCGACATGAGATACTTGTGGGCAGCTTAATTGGTGATAAATCCAAAACCAGAGCTGGTAGTTCTCTGCAAGGCAGTTGAGATTCGCCTGTTGAAGGTGAATCAGATCTGTTGCTTTCATTGGCCTCATACGAATAGGCATTTTTTTAATAAGTGGACAGATGTTTTTTTGACAATTTACATTTTTCTATTTACATGTCAAAAATCGTTTCTTGATTCTTGATCCAATTATTCAACACAAAGATAAGTACTTTTTCCGATTCGGTTGTGCATATAATCAATAATGTAACACAAATATAGAACAATTTTGATGATTCCATTAATAAACGGATAGATATGAAGAAATTTCAATGAGTATCATTTATTGTTTAATAATATCTAGAACACATATAAACTAGTAAATTATCAAGCTATTTCTATGTCTAACGCATGAATTAGTGACATTCCTTGTTAAAAATATCAATGTTCTTTGTATTATGTTCATATTTTCAAGCATCATGAAAGAGATATGTATATCATTGTGCAACGGTTATTTTTATTAACATTTGTAATCTAAAGTGTAGATGCAAAATTTCACCGAAAATTTTTTTTTCTTCAAAAAGTCAATTGAAAAAGATACTAAAAAAAGTATTGAATGGCGGAACTTGAAAAGTTACTGAACAGAGCCAAGGAGATGGCAAAAGCCACCGGATCGGCAGATGGTAAGAAAGATGGGGAAGGCGATGAGGAATTAGATGAATTTACTAAACTTAAGAACGAAATTTGTGAAATGGAACGCCAAACCCGTTTAGATATCAAAGCTCGTGATGAATTTGCAGAAGCCATTGGTACACGTGATCAAAAAGCTGAAATTGTAAAACAAACATCTCAAATCCGTAATAAGATTAAAGAAATGCGTAATAAAGTTGATCAACTTAGACAGATGGTTGCTGACCAAGAAGAGCAACTTCGAAAGAAAAACAAAACTAGCGAAGGTTTACAAAATCGTAAGAAACTTTGTGATCTTTGCGATGCTAGAATTGATGAATGTGAACGTTGGGCTAAAGGTCACTCATTCGTCAGTGCAAAGGATGATCCAAAGAAACGTGCTCTTTTGAAAGGCGCTAATTTTGATGACACAGCAACTCCACAACTTGCTCATTTCGTACCATCACCAACAGAATCAGAATACGAAGAAATCGCTGGTATTGAAGACTGGAGATTACAAATCAATAAAAACGAGCAAGAAATCGACCAAAAATTAGACCAACTCGTGGAAGGAACGTCTGCTCTCGTTCATATCGCAAACCAGCTTCACGATGAATACGAAATCCTCGGTAGAATGACAGATGAAGTCGATGAGAAAATGGATAAAGTCGATGCAAAGCTTGAGTCTACAAATGAAAGAGTTAACGCTCTCCTTGAAAAAGTTGGCGGTTGCTCTAACTGCTGCATTGATATTTTCCTTGTTCTTGTTATTTTGGCTTGCCTTTACTTCATTGCTTCCAAATTTATTAAGATTTAATAACTATCTTTAAATCCTATAGTTATTGTTTAATTTTCTAAGTCAATTCGAAAATTTAATTTCTATTGATAAATATTTTTTTTATTATTATTTCATTTAAACATTTTTATATATATTTAAGGGTGCACACGAGAGGATCATGTAAACTTCAGAATTTAGAATCTTATTTTTAGGCATTATCTTGGCTACCTATTTAGGCTCGAAAAGCAAAAAATATCAAAAAATACAACTTGACTCCATTATGACCCTTTCATGGAGGTAGTTTTTATCCGCTAGTATTTTCCCTTTGAATCTCTTTACAATTCGAAATCAAATTCAAACCTCAGTAGAAGAAAGGAAGAATCGACTTACTACGGTTGTAATACGAATAAATACATATATTTAATTATTTTTATTTACATAATAATTGTTTGAAGCTCATATTCCAACAAATTTTTAAATAAAAACATTAAAATGTTGAAAATGTTCATATATTTTAATAGGGTTTTGGCACTTTATTGAGGAATTACTACATACATAGTCGAACTGAACTTGATATTTTGAAATTTAAATTATTTATCAAAATTAAAATTTAACTTGAAATTTATAATTATTTAGTCATATTTTGCATAATTCTAAGTAGATTTTGTAAAAAATCAAGAAAGAAAAATTTTAACGTGCTTTATTTTTTCTTTTTTATAATAATACATATTATTATATAATTAACATATTCATAATGTTTCACCCTTTCAAAAATATCCTCCTCCTCTCAAATAAACGTACATACGGGTGGCCTCTTTTTTCAAAAAATTAAAATTTGAAATTTTGGGCTCAAATATTAGAGATTTTTTCAACCTTCAACGATATATGTTGTCTATATCAGACCTCCTTTCTTTTTGATACTTAACATTGTTCCTAAATCTTAGCCGTTAAGGCTGTTCTGAAAATATTTTTTTTTCGAAAAAATTCGAAAAAAATTCTTATAGGGTTGTACAAACTGGCACGCCTGCTGGCACACCTTTTTTGGCCAGCTGGCACGATTTTTTAAAAAAACACATTAAAAAAGTCACTTTTTGCCCCATCTAATGAGATTTTTTTTACAATTTTTTTCCCCTTATTTTTCAATTTAGATATGATTTTAAGCTCTCCAAATTGAAGTTTACCTGATGTTTCTTAGTTTTTATGATAATAAAATGTTGCAAAGTTGAGTTTGGATTCAATAAATTTAAGAAAATTTTATTTTACAATGAAATTATAAGAAAGGATGTTTTTATCCTATGTCAAAGAGAATACATTTGTAGATCCCGACTTTTGACATGTTTGAAAATTCCAAAAAAAATTCAAAATTTAAAAAATAATATTAAAAAATATAAATTTCATGTTAAAAAATGATTTTTGAAATTTTTTTGGAAAAATAGAATGTCATATTTTTATGTTTTATTGCTATTTTTTACGAAATCAATAAAATATTTGTTAATTTGGCTGAGATTATAAATAAAATCTTTCTAAATCTTACAATTGATTGCTAAAATCTGTTTTATGTATTAATTGGCATTGAGATTCGTTATAAAAGAATGCGAATTATTTTGTATGAGTAAACGTATTTTGTAAAATTTCAAATTCTCTTCTCTCATTACTACCTTACTAACCAGATCTTAACTCTCATTACTACCTTACTAACCAGATCTTAACTCTCATTACTACCTTACTAACCAGATCTTAACTCTCATTACTACCTTACTAACCAGATCTTAACTCTCATTACTACCTTACTAACCAGATCTTAACTCTCATTACTACCTTACTAACCAGATCTTAACTCTCATTACTACCTTACTAACCAGATCTTAACTCTCATTACTACCTTACTAACCAGATCTTAACTCTCATTACTACCTTACTAACCAGATCTTAACTCTCATTACTACCTTACTAACCAGATCTTAACTCTCATTACTACCTTACTAACCAGATCTTAACTCTCATTACTACCTTACTAACCAGATCTTAACTCTCATTACTACCTTACTAACCAGATCTTAACTCTCATTACTACCTTACTAACCAGATCTTAACTCTCATTACTACCTTACTAACCAGATCTTAACTCTCATTACTACCTTACTAACCAGATCTTAACTCTCATTACTACCTTACTAACCAGATCTTAACTCTCATTACTACCTTACTAACCAGATCTTAACTCTCATTACTACCTTACTAACCAGATCTTAACTCTCATTACTACCTTACTAACCAGATCTTAACTCTCATTACTACCTTACTAACCAGATCTTAACTCTCATTACTACCTTACTAACCAGATCTTAACTCTCATTACTACCTTACTAACCAGATCTTAACTCTCATTACTACCTTACTAACCAGATCTTAACTCTCATTACTACCTTACTAACCAGATCTTAACTCTCATTACTACCTTACTAACCAGATCTTAACTCTCATTACTACCTTACTAACCAGATCTTAACTCTCATTACTACCTTACTAACCAGATCTTAACTCTCATTACTACCTTACTAACCAGATCTTAACTCTCATTACTACCTTACTAACCAGATCTTAACTCTCATTACTACCTTACTAACCAGATCTTAACTCTCATTACTACCTTACTAACCAGATCTTAACTCTCATTACTACCTTACTAACCAGATCTTAACTCTCATTACTACCTTACTAACCAGATCTTAACTCTCATTACTACCTTACTAACCAGATCTTAACTCTCATTACTACCTTACTAACCAGATCTTAACTCTCATTACTACCTTACTAACCAGATCTTAACTCTCATTACTACCTTACTAACCAGATCTTAACTCTCATTACTACCTTACTAACCAGATCTTAACTCTCATTACTACCTTACTAACCAGATCTTAACTCTCATTACTACCTTACTAACCAGATCTTAACTCTCATTACTACCTTACTAACCAGATCTTAACTCTCATTACTACCTTACTAACCAGATCTTAACTCTCATTACTACCTTACTAACCAGATCTTAACTCTCATTACTACCTTACTAACCAGATCTTAACTCTCATTACTACCTTACTAACCAGATCTTAACTCTCATTACTACCTTACTAACCAGATCTTAACTCTCATTACTACCTTACTAACCAGATCTTAACTCTCATTACTACCTTACTAACCAGATCTTAACTCTCATTACTACCTTACTAACCAGATCTTAACTCTCATTACTACCTTACTAACCAGATCTTAACTCTCAACCTTAACCAGATATCTAATTATTTACATATGATTTCTCACATCTCACTCAAGTCTCATTACTTACCCTATCTTTTTAACCTTTTCTGATAATTACTGAAATAACTAAATCCTTTTTTTAGTTTAATTCTGATATTAAATTTTTAAAATCTCTTTAATTTTTTGAACTACGCCTTTAATTTGTAATTGCCGATTTCACAGATTTGAACCATTTAATAAAATAACATTATTCAACTTAATCATATCAAACATGGTAGTTTGATTTTCAGATCTACATTTTAAAAACCTCTTTATTATCTGAGTTATACTTTTATTATATAATACCTGAGTTCATAACTGAAAACTCTTAATTAGAGTACAATATTCAACTTAATCATAACAAGATTTGTTGAATTTCAAATTTGATTTATATCTTCCATCACTTAAAACTCTCACAGCTTACAATATAAGCTAAAAAGTATATTTTCATAGTAATAAAATTAATTATTAAATTTTTTACTTTTTCCTTTCCAAAACTAGAAAAAAAGAAGAAAGAAAAGAGAAAAAGAAAAAAATAATAATGAGCATATTATATAATTGTGGTCATAGGCCGAGTGGCGTGGAAAGGATGTCGCCCTTCGGGCTCCACCCTTTCCACGCCACGAGGCCCGATTTTTGGCCACTTTTTTGATTTTGGCCGCGTGCCAGGAGTTGGCACGCGGCCCGCAAAATTGTGCCAGTTTGTACAACCCTAAATTCTTAAAATTCAAAAATCCCTTAATTCCTGAGGATTTTGGGAAAAAGTTTTTACATAAACATGTGTATATTATATGAAGTATATTGATAAGGTAAAAATCAAATTTTATTGCATATTCATCGAGAAAATAAACTAACGAATCCCTCAAAATTGAGAGGGTAATCCTCCTCCTCTCAAATAAACGTACATACGGGTGCACCCTTAAGATCGCCAAAAAAAGTGCGGAAATTAAAAACCGCAGTTTGAGTACTTTCTGAGAGTCTGTTTGTCAGAAAGTATACATTTGTAAACTTTCTGACACTAAAATTTTTTTGGTCCTTTCAAAGTTTTTGACAATGTCAAAAAGTATACATCGGGGCTCTCAATTTTCCTCTCAAACGGCGGTTTTTTAACACTTAATAAGAATATGAATGATTAATAAATTGGAATAGGAGTTTTATAAAAAACTCATCACATGGCAAGAATCAGCTCTATAGATTAGTGAATAAAAATTAAGGCAGCAATTACTCCCATCTAACTTATTTCAAATTTTTGACAACTGGCGTGAAGCGTCATTGAAAATTAACCTTAAACATCTAAATTGAAGGCCGTGTCATAATTTTTTTGACACACAAGCTTTCTATCCCAATAATCTAAGGCCATATGTTAATATTTTTTGGTCAGAAGAAAGTAAATGTCAATCACTATATAGTACTTAATATGACTGCTATACTTTTCTGATATTAAAATAAATGTATATTGATTTTTTTCATAGCATATCAGAAAGTGAAAATTTATTCAAAAAAAAAATATTAACTTTATCTTTTGCAACAATGGTTGAGAGATAATAACCAAGTATATCAAGAAATTATTTTCTTGCAATTGATAATAAATATTCTCTTACTGCTCCTTTCGAATAATAAAGTGCTGTTTTTCCTTCATTATCCTTTGCTTCTTTATTAGCTCCAACTGAGATAAGATATTGAACAACTTCAAGACGACCACTTATTGATGCCCAAATGAGTGGAGTAGATCCATATTTATCCTTTGCTTCTTTATTAGCTCTAACTGAGATAAGATATTGAACAACTTCAAGATGACCATATCTTGATGCCCAAATGAGTGGAGTATTTCCATTATTATCCTTTGCTTCTTTATTAGCTCCAACTGAGATAAGATATTGAACAACTTCAAGTTTATTATATTCTGATGCCCGAATGAGTGGAGTATATCCAGAATTATCCTTTGCTTCTTTATTAGCTCCAACTGAGATAAGATATTGAACAACTTCAAGACGACCACTTATTGATGCCCAAATGAGTGGAGTAGATCCATATTTATCCTTTGCTTCTTTATTAGCTCTAACTGAGATAAGATATTGAACAACTTCAAGATGACCATATCTTGATGCCCAAATGAGTGGAGTATTTCCATTATTATCCTTTGCTTCTTTATTAGCTCCAACTGAGATAAGATATTGAACAACTTCAAGTTTATTATATTCTGATGCCCGAATGAGTGGAGTATTTCCATTATTATCCTTTGCTTCTTTATTAGCTCCAACTGAGATAAGATATTGAACAACTTCAAGTTGACGACTTATTGATGCATAAATGAGTGGAGTACATCCATCATTAGTCTTTGCTTCTTTATTAGCTCCAACTGAGATAAGATATTTAACAACTTCAAGATAACCATTTAATGATGCAAGAATGAGTGGAGTACATCCATCATTAGTCTTTGCTTCTTTATTAGCTCCAACTGAGATAAGATATTGAACAACGTCAAGTTTACCATCTCTTGATGCCCAGTATAGAGCTGTACCACCATTTTTACTGTTGATTTCTTTGTCACAGCCACATTCAATGAGAGATTTAACAAGTCTCAGATTTCCTTGTGAAGATGCTTCATGAAGTACATTTCTACCATAATAATCATCTTGTTTTTTCCAAAGTTCTTCGTCACATGCTTTTTGCATCATTTTTTGATTTCCTTTTTCTGAAATTTCTTCAAAGAATTTGTAGATTTGATCGAAATCTTCAGAATTTTTAAGTTCGGAAATTTTCGAAAGAAATTCTTTTGGTAAATCGTTTCCTTCTTTCTCTTTTAGTTGAGAGTGAAGAGTTTGCATCTCTTTCTCAACGTTTTCTTTTTCTTTTTGGATCTGTTTTAAATCTGCTTGAAGTTTTTCGATTTTATTTGTTGTAATGGATTGATCCTTTTGTAATTGTTGTAAAATGCCAATAATTCCTTCGAAGATTCGCATATTCATGTACTTTTGAACTGATTTAAGTGTTGAAATGGCATCTTGTAAGTTGTTTATTGAAATATTTGCATTTCGAGTGCAAGTATACAACTCATGTGCTGAAATGACAGAATGAGATTGCGCAAGAAGAGAATTGAACTCATCAGGTGTTAAATTCGCGAATTTCATGATTGATTCGATATCTTCTACTTCGAATGTACTGAAGAGATTATCCGCTTCAATATAATCTTTGATATGTGAGCCAATATATTCGTAGTTCAGAACAATTCCCCGACTCATTAAAATTTGTAAAGTTTTTTTTTTGACTTAAGGGTGTGCTAAAGACCAAACCTCCTCTATCGTTCATCTTTGGGTGAGTCATAAGTTTTGATAATCAAATCGTCAAAGACAGTAAAAAAAGATAACAGTGTCAATGAATTATAAAGAAGAAGGATTGAAAAGCATCAAAATGTACTAGGAAAGAATATGCAAGCAAATTCAATCTATCTAACTGAATATCTAGTATCCAGTATGCATAATAAGATTCTTTGCAAGAACTTGTTTTTTTTAATAACAAAGAATCTTATGATACATTTTTGCGAGAATTTTTAACAGAATCATACTTTAAAAACACATTACCGGAAAAAATAATTGTTAAATTGAACGAAATTTATAGTTTTTTAGAAAATTATGAAGCTACATCTTGCGATGACGCCCAAAAATCAGGAATTTTTCAGATATTACTTGAGTTGTCCAAATATGATTTTCCTTTAATTCAAGAAAATGCTTTGAGCACCTGCATGATGCTACTTGAGTTCAAAAATACGTTTTAAAACGCATTTTTAGAGAATAATTTTGTCGAAGTTTGCGGATTTTTATTTTTATTATTTGAATGCGAACTTAGTAGTGACTCATTTATTTTGATTGTTAATTCTCTTGGATTAATTTTAACTATTTCAAAAGATGTATGCTTTAATATTTTAGAGAAAATTCCAGTTAGATTTTTGATTGATTCTTCATAAAAATATAGCCATCGTTTAGAAGATGCAATTAGCGCAGTAGCATATTACTCTGCCGAAAGTATTGTGAAAGGTGTTTTTCCATCTCAAGCGTTTGATATTTTGGAAGCTTTTGAAAAATCTATTGAAAAAGATATTGGAAATTCTGCATCTGATATAATTAGTCGTTTCCATTACATGATTGAGAACTGGCCGGATGATCTTGACTTAGGAATTTTGCATCATCATGGAATTATTGGCTTAATTAATTCGATTCTTTCAGAATCTGAAGCTATCGAGGATGTTCATGAGCTGATTACTTTTGCAATTGATTGTATAACTTTGATGCTTCAAAAACATTTTATTCCTGAAATTAATTTTGATCAAATTATTTTTTATACATTTAATGGAACTACTGATCTACAAAAGTCATCTTTCAATCTATTAGCAGAATTGTTCAATCAAATACCTGAATTATATCAAACACTTATTACTAATGAATATTTTCATGAAATATTTGAATATATCAAGACAAAGGCTATATCTGAAGTTAAAGAGCACTTTGTTACATTTTTATTTAACTATCTTAGCAGTTTAGAACCTCAGGAAATTAATAAATTGATTTTGGAAGATATTGAATTAATTGAATACCTTGAAGATCAGTTACAATATAGAAAATACATTTCTTATTCAATTAAATCCATTATCATTTGCATTAATTCTTCAAAATCCGGGGATTTCAAAGTTCAAGCTCTAATTCACGAAAAAATTGTTGAATTTGATGGCTGGGATGAGTTAGAAGATAATGAAAATGATAGTAAAAGCGAAGTTTCCGAGCTTTCAGGCCAATTACTGAATCTTGTTAACTCAGAATTAAATGAAAATTAACTAACACTAAACATTGTTTGTAATTATATAAAGAAGCATTTATACATTAATTCTTCTAATTATTTCAATTATAAACTCAAAATGTAATAAAATTTATTTATCAGGATTATTAATTGTGACTTTTATATTTGATTAAATCCAATACAGGAAAAGTGTATTTAATATTTGACGATTTAAATAAAACACAATACTATTTACTTTTTTGATTTGGAAGGAAGCACTTGTGGTTCTGCTTTTCCACCAAATACATATCCGAATATAGAGCATCCAGAAAATGTTTCTACTTGTGGAGGAGGTTCTTTACTTCTTTCCATAATTGTTAAAATGTTATCTAATTTCATTGCTTTTGCCATTTCAAGAGGGGTTATACCTTCAAAATCTCCGAAATTGGAGTTAGCTTTGAATTCAACCAAAATTTCAACAAAATTTTCATTTTGTTTTTGAACTGCCCAATGTAATGGAGTATATCCATCACCATCTTGTATATTTGGATCTGTTCCATGATGTAGTAGCATAATTAAGCCTTGTTTCTTATTAAGTATTACTGCAAAATGAATTGGACATTTGCCTGTATTATCGCATTGTTCAAGATCTATACCAGAATCTACTAAGTACTGCATGCATTCGTAACTATCATTTTCAATTGCAACAGTCATTAAACTTTTTCCATTTTGCTGAATGTTAGAAACGAAATAATACTAATTTGGTCAGCACTGATTTGGTTTCAGTGCACTTTTTAAGCTCAGCTAAGTTGTTTTTGACACAAGCTGCAAAAGCTTTTTCAACATCATCCATCATTTGCTTTAAAATTTGATGAATTTTTCATAATATAACATTAACTTTTCGATAAATTATAAAATGATCTTATTAATTTTCATTTATAGCATAAGAAAAATAATTTTGAATTAAAAACTCTAAATTTATGATATCGAAACCTTACAACATGCAGTATGTTGAATATGAGCTATGTTAATCGTAGTTATTTCAATCAAAATTGTTTAACAAATATGGGATAGGGAATTCCTCCGATATGATATTGATTTCGAATCATTGTTGCTAGCAACATTGTAAATTAGACTAAGGTATCAATAATTTTAAACGACGGAACTCACAATGAAACCGGAATAGTTGGAATAATCACTGAATCTGGTTAATTCCTTCTTGATCCTTCTTCGTCTTTAGCATTAATATCAGTATCATTTGCAATAATGATTTCTGTTAGTTTTTTGTAATTATTTGTGGCTGCTAAATGAAGAGCAGTTCACCCTGTTCTTCTTTTGAATAGATATCCACACTATTTGCAATAAGAATTTCTGCTATCTCTTCGTTTTTATTCATAACATTAATTGAAAATAAGAACAAGAGCTTCCATAAAATCGAAGATATTGATCAAATCTCTGTTTTAGTTTTATAATTAAAATCACTTTCATGAAAGCGTTTTATTAATAAGATTACAAGACTTCAAATGACTAAGAACCCATAAATATGATATTGATTTATTACTGAATTTGAACATAATCATAATATATTGAATTAGACATACATTAACAATATCTATTGGTTACGCTCTTAATTAGGAAAGTGAATATTGTATATGATTTCCCAAAATCTAATTTAGAATTTGATAAAAGAATGTCGAAAAACATTTATTCATGATTTTATAGTGCTTCACTCTTTTTTGTGCTATCGTTATTTATGAGTTACGACGCCTGATATGAGATGAAGGGGAAAAAATTGTTAGTTATTTCTTCTTAATATGTTTCTTTTGCAAAACGACATCCTTATTTGGTCTAAATATCGAAGAATGATATATCATTGAGTTAACAAAGCTTTTACAATCATAAAGCAAATGATAACATAAAGTAAAAGTTTGATTTTACCTGTGGAAACAATGTTCTAAAAAATTTTTTGTTTAAAAAAGTGACAGAAATATAATGTGTTATGCTTTTTGCTCAATTCATGGACCAAGTATTATAACTTCATGCTGTGCATCTGAAACAGAGCAGAAAGTATACATGTCTCGAGGAAATGAAATACTAACATTTAGTTTTTCAGGCGAAAAATTAAATCGACCAGTTATAAGGCAGATTTTCGGTAATATTTCTCGAATATCTGTTATAGAAGATGTATACTTGTCATTTTTGGCCGTTTTACTCGATAACGAAACTTTTTATTTGATAGATATCAAAAATGATTCATTTAGATGCGTCCAAAAATCTCATATATCAGGTCTCATCGGTGAAAAAACCAAGCCAATTATAGCATCATCCGAAAAATGCATTATTACGCATACTAGAAAGAGAACATTGACAATTTTTACTCTAAACCAAAACAAACTTGTCGAAAATAGCTTCAATGTCAATATTACATTCTCAAAAATATACGGTATTGTTACTACTCCAGGAGATGAAACAGATTTTGCAGTTTTAGGCCGTGATTTTTCAAATGGACTACTTGTTGCATTCTTCAAGATTACGGATAACGATGTTTCATTCGTTTTTGATGTCAATCTTGATGGGGAAACAGAAATGCCTTATATTACAAAATATCATGGATATTTAGCAGCAGTTTGCCACAACAAAACAGTTACTTTCATTGAAGGAGAGGACAAATTCACCACCATACAGACAAAAATACCAGAAATCGTTACACTTACCGAGATATCAGATTCAATTTGTTTAATTTCGGACGCAATCGGCCAAACATACACTGCCGTGATAAAAGGAATGCAGAACATGGAGAAGAAGCAGCTTGCACTATCAAGAGCCTCAGAAATCATTCGTTTACCACATAATTTTTATCTCAAAATTTCTCAAAATGGAGATTCAAATTTGTTGAAATTTTTCGATAAAAATCTTATCGTCTTTGACACTTTTGCTGCTTTTTCGACTGCTAAGTGCATGCTCAGGAACATGTTCGTAACAAAAGATGGAAAAGTGAGGTCAATTGAAAACGGTTCTGACACAACCGTTTTGGCAAAATTTGACATCACAAATGGGTCAGATTTATTTTCTTTAGGTGAAAATCTTGTTTTGTCAACTTTTGACAAAACGGTTATTTTTGACAAAAATTACTCTCAAAATGAATTTACAAAAATCATTTGTAATTCAAGGACACTTTGTTTAGAAGGCAAAGATATTAATGATTTCATACAAATCACGAAAAATCAAGTTTTATTTATCAAAAATTCGGAAACAATTTTAAACGAAATTTTTGATTCCGAAATTTATTTCGCTTCTATTTCGAAAAATTTGGAAAATTTTGTTGTGGCAGATTCCAAAAAAGTGACAGTTTATTATCACAACACCTTAAAACTAGAGAAAAAAGTATTTGATGTAGAATGTTCTTGTGTTAATTGTGATAATCAAATGGCGGTTTTTAACGATTGGAAAAGTGACAAAATTTACATTTTTTCATTTTCTGATTTCAAAGAAGAAAAAATTGATTTTGATCAGATGATCACTTCACTTTTGACATTTAATGGAGAAATTTATTTATCAACATCAAAATCTGTTTATAAAATCAACAAAGAAAGAATGAAAGAAAAAATTACTGATAATTTAGTTTCAAAACTCAAAATCATTGATGATAAACCATTTATCGTTGGAAATCAAAGTGGTTTCATTACAGAAAAGAACAAAGTTGAATATCTGACAGCGAATTATTCAATTGATTGCTGCAAATTTAATGATTTGTTTGTGTTTTTGACAGAAGAAAATTGTGAATTTCTAAAAAGTGACACAACTTTACATCACAGTCATTTAGTTGAATATTATGTCAAAGAATCAAATGTCACTTGTTTCTGTTTTGATGAAAATGATGATTGTCCATTTGTTTTCGGTGTTTTTAGTCAAGATCATTGTGAAATAATTTCGCCGCGTTTGAAACCATTTAAATTGAAACCAGGAGAAGTTCCTTGTAAAATGGAATGGATAAAGATAAACCAGAAGAATTATTTGGCTGTTTTATCTTCATTTTATTCGAATTCGATTTTGACAATTTATTCGCCGAAATTGGAGAAAATTTCTGAAATTTCTCTCAGCGGAAAACCTCATCAAATTTGTTTCGTTGACAAACTTTTCATTGCTGTTGCTCATGGCCATTTATTATCAATAATTTCCCCAGAAATTGAAAAACTAGAATTGTCAGATTCTGAAGAAAAAACTGACAAAAATTTAATTTCTGAAGAAAAATGTCAAAAAAATTCGGAAGAAAAAACCTCTAATTTTGATAAAGTTTATCCTGAAATTGTTTTGTTGAAAGTAACTTCAACAGTTCCAGGAAGAAGTTGCTGTTCGAGTTTGACAAGTCCAAACAGCTGTTTTGTTATTTATGGAGATGAATTTTCGAATTGTGTTATTTACTCAGTGATAAATGGCATTGCGACAGAAGTAACAAGAGACATAACAACAAAGAAACTGAAATTTGCATGTGCGATATCGAATGACTTAGTTTTAGCTCTTGAAAAAGATGGAACAGCTCTTGGACTCAAAATCATCCAAAACAGGATGAAAATTGATTCTTCTTTCAATGTTTGCGCTGAAATTGTTGCAGGATTTTCTTCCCCTCCTGTTACTTTTTCAACAAAGAGTGGGTCAATTGTTTCTCTATTTAATTTGAAAGAAAACCAAGAGAAAACAATTTCTCTTTACAGAGCAATGAGATCTTTGTGCTTCGACATTTGTTGTGAAACAAATATGAGTTGGAGGAACGTGATTCGAAATGGAAAAGAAGTCGGAACAGGTAAATTTGTTGATGGAGATTTGTTGTTGATGTTTAACAACTTAAATGAAGCTGATAAGAATCGGATTTTGAGAAATGCAGGATTAAGCCTTGAAGATGCAACAAAGATTGTTGATTCTATCCAACGAATGATTGATGAGTATCGATTGAATGTCCAAAAACCTATAAAGCTATAAAATATTATTGTTTATTTTCTTATAAAAAATTATTATAACCAAGGAAATTTTTCAATTGAAGCTTTACTTAGAGACGGGAATCCATAATATTTAAGTATTTATTGTAATAAAATTTTTATGAACCAAATTTTTGATCGATCAATAATTTGTATATGGACAGTTAATATCATTAGAATAAAGATTTAACAGGATAAATAGTACACTCAAAAACCTAATGAATTCAATAAAAAATATTAGTTGTAAAAAAATCCTTTGATTCATAAATCCAAGCTTGAAGTAGAGTATGGGACTGAATAAGCAAACATTAATCAATTAAATATAATTTATTTAAAAAGAATATCAAATTTGGAAGAACTAAATCAGAAGCTGTCTTTTATAACTCATATTTAGCATTTATATTGCATTCGTTAATGACGAAATACATTTGATTTCCATTGAATTGAGAAAAAATGGCAATTTCAATCATGAATAGGTTTAAAAGAGAAAACAATTGAAACATTCAATGTGTTTAATGGAACTCACAGATCATGTTAATACAAAAAGGTTATGCATGATTGCGAATTAAAAATTAACCTTCTTTTTGCGTTTGAAAAATTGAAAGCATCAAGGTTTATTAAATTAGTCTAAATCTTAATATACATGAATAAGAGTCTCATTATAAAATTGAAAGAATGAAATTGTGATGTTGAAATTGAGATGATTATCAATTTGAAATATATCTTATAAATTTATCTATTTATGAAAGGTACTCTATTGAGTGCATCTATCTTTTTGAATTACTCTCAATTATGAATTATTTGAGATCGAAAATTTTCAGAGAATTGAGGCAAAACTCGATAAAGAGTGAATTCAATATTTTGGTATATACCACATTTTCTTTGTTCTTTTAAAACTCCGGCCAACCCAAAAACTATGTACAAAACTAATTTTTTCTGAGTGAAAATTTTCCAAATATCGTAATTATAATTATAGGATTGAGCTATATACTATAACAATTCTTAGAATAATTTTCTATAAAAATAAAACCTTTGAAATTCATCGCACTAAAAATTTACTTTCACAAGGGCTTTTTACTGTAATGATACTAATTTTACTTAATCTGCTCATTTATTATGGAATCCCTCCTTTGATGTACTATTTTGCTCCTTACTTTAACAACAATTTTCCAAAACATTCAAAACTTATTGCATTCACCGTAGTGCCAATAATCACAACTTGGATATTATCGTTTTACAGCATAGTTCCCTTTTCAGATGTTTTGAAAACATTGCAAATCGAACCACTACTAATAAACTTGATGTTCATCATTGGATTTTCAAAACATCATATATATTACAATGATTTGTGTTGTAATGAATTTTGCGTGTCCAACTTACTCTATTCCTCAGTTATTTGGATAATCATAATTATTCTCACAATTTTGATAGCAATCATCAAAAATGTATACGAAGCATTAGGACCAATATACGAGGATCAATTGATTGCCCTTATCAATCAAGGAAATAATTATAAAACAAATACCAAAATCATTTTTCCTTTTATTCAAAGATATTTATTCAATCTCTTCTTACCATCTTTACTTTTTGCACTATTATTCCATAGATTATCACATTTAAATCTCAAATTTATCTTCAAGTTTTATTCAGTTAAAGTCCAATTTAGGCATATATTAATATTTTACATTTTATCAACCCTTCTATTAACTAATAAATTGGTGATACCAACTCCCGATAGCAGCTACGATTTTCTTAGTAAAAATTCAGTAGTTCCAAGTTCAGATTTAGTTATCCCTCCAAAAAAACTCAAGAATATAATCTTTATCAACCTTGAAGCAATGGAAACAATGTATCTATCAAAGGAAAATGGAGGACTTAGTAATGTAACACTTCTTCCATATTTAGAAGGTTTGATGAAAGATAAAGAAAATACCGTAACATTTTCAAATTTGAATGATAAATTTGGTGGACACATAACTCTTAAACGTTCCTCATTTACTGTTGCTGCAACAGTTGGTACAATATGTGGTTATCCATATTTAGATGAATCTTTTTATGAAAAAATGCATTGTTTACCTTCGATATTGCATGATTTTGGATATGAACTTCATATGATAAAAGGAACATCAATTACAGATTGGGGTGTTGGAAGAATGTTTGCTGCACATCATTTTGATAATTTAACTTTGAAAGATGATATCGTGCCTAATACAAAAGAGAATTGGCTAAATGATCATTTAACGTGGATGAAATATCGAGAAGATTTGGATAAGTTAGGAAAACTTAATAAACCATTTTATTCACATTTCTTCACTTTAGATTCACACGAACCTGGTATGAAATGTCCTTATTGTCCAAAAGATGGAACTGTTCAAGAGAATGCTGTTAGATGTGTTGATAATCATGTGAAATCTTTCATGGAATGGGCAAAAGATCAAAGCTGGTATAATAATACATTATTTGTTTTAGTTGGTGATCATTTAGTTCGAGGATTTGGTTATAAAGAAAGAGCAGAAGCAAATCATTATTCAAGAAGATCAGTTAATATATTTTATCATTCAGAAATTAAGCCATTAAAAGCAACAAATAGAGAATATTCAATATTGGATTATTTCCCAACAATTTTAGCTGCAGCAGGATTCAAAATTAAAAAAGATCAGCTCGGAGTTGGAGTTAATTTGTTTTCTAACAAGAAAACAAAATTGGAAGAATATGGACTTGATACTCTCCAAACAAACTTAGAATCAACAATTAAGTTTTATAATGAAATAGTTTTAGGAAAACCTAAAGAATGTCGTTTTAATGAACCTTGTATAGATGTTAAAATTACCCAAATGATCTAGATTGAAACATCTACAATCAACTCCTTCATTATGTTATTATAAATAAAGTATACTATATGTCTATTAATTCCTGTTATAAATGATTTATGATATGAAGTATTTTAATGATTCCGAATTTGAAACTAATTATTGCTCTCTTGAAAGCCTGCAACAAGTTACAATGCTTCTTGGATACGTATCTCTATAAGTGGCAGACATTAATTTTGGATTAAAATAGCATTTATTCAATATATTATTTGCATTTCATGAAAATGAAATTTTGGAATAGGAAATGATTATTATTGAATGAATATTCAAATTTAAGAGGTGAATGTTCTTAATCATTTAAGATTGTTCATATGATAATCATTAATTTTTTTTCAAAATTACAATTATTTTATAAAATACATTCATTTAGACATGCACGTAAATGGTAATCAATCATGTAAGCCTAATACATATGTTTAAAACCTTTATGCTGAACAAATATATCTAAATTTCAAACAATTGAAACAAAAAATATTGAAATGTTACTTTAGTTCTGGATATATAGCAGCATATAGTTATCCACAACAAATGTATCATTTATTATTAGTTGATTATCATTTATATGCATCATTCATGATCAAATGTGATAATCGCTTTTTAAATTTTGGATGTAATCAAGTTTTATATCGAAAATCGCGCAAATTATCCATCAAACATATTATTTTATCAATGTGAAGACTTAATACAAACAATTGAGATGAAATGTTATCGTGAATTTTAATGTAAACTATTGAAAAACAAATTTTTTTCTACAAAATATGCAGGCAAGTGCAGATATTCGCACATTAGAGCGCAATGTCTTTATCAATGCCATTACAAAGATCAAGAGCGAGAATAAAGGATTCAAATTCATTCTCGTTGTCGATACAATGACATTGCCAGCAATTTCTGCTTTAATCAGCACAACAGAGCTCATTGAGCACAATGTCATTCTGACAGAACTTTACGAGAAGAAGCGTGAACCCTTCCCAATGTATCAAGCTATTTATTTACTTCATCCTTGCGTTGATATCAAACAATTTATTGCTGATTTCAGTGATAAAACACCATTATACGCGGCAGCTCACCTTTTATTCACATACACATGCCTTCCATCAACAATGAGTGCATTAGAATCACATCCTGAAGTTGTCAATCACATTTTAACATTTCTTGATCTCTGGATCCATTATCAGCCTACACAACCAGGTGTTTTCATGGTACCATCACCACGAGCCTACAAATTCCTCTATTCTCCAAACTCTCCCGTTGATTTCAACGCGATCTCCGACGAGATCAACTACGGCCTTATCAGCTTCTTCTTGACCATCAAGGCCATCCCAAGTATCGCCTATCCAAAATCCATGGATAAAATCAAGAGATTCTGCACAAAATTCAACGATCAATTAATGGGCGTTACTCGCGAGCTAGATGATGGCGGACGATCCCTTAACAAGGACAACACCCTTCTTCTCATCATTCCTCGTGGTGCCGACCCAATTACGCCATTACTCCACAGATTCACCTACCAATCCATGATTTACGAGAACTTCCCAGTTGAAAACGACTGTGTCTACCTTAAGGAAGGCGATCCGAACAGCGTTGTCGCACTCAATCCATACGAAGACAAAATCTTCAACGATTACTGCTACAAACACTTCCAGAAGTTCATCGAGATCCGTGATCTCTCATCGCAAGTCACACAGACCCACAAAATCATTACAGATCCAAATATCGACAAAACATCTCAAAAATATGCGGAAGCAATGAAGCGCTACATCAGAGATCAGTCGTATGCTACAACAGTATCCAACCACCTCGACATTTGTATACGTCTGGATGAAGCATTAACTAAGCGTTGCCTTGCAGATATTTCGAAATACGAACAACAGCTTGCCGCCAAGGAGAAAGACGGCTCCAGCTACAAGCCGAACCTTTCCGACCTCCAGGACATCATTATCAAGCAGGGACCAGAGCCAATGGACAAGTTAAGAGCATTGGCCGTTTACCAACTTTCCGGTGGAAAAATTTCTGACACAGAATTGGAGAGGCTTTTAGAGGCAGGATCACTTACAACGGGCAACTGGAAAGATGCGATCTTGAACCTCAAATACCTTGGAGATGCAGCTCCAAGACAATCCTTGAGAGAAGTAAATCCGGTCGAAGAACCATTTGTTACTGACATTTACTACCCTTACGCTGCACAGGCTTGCATGGACGCAATCGATGGAAAACTCGACAAGAAGTGCTTCGAAATTCCAACACACACAGGAAGATACACAAACGTTGTTTTGTTCTTCTTCGGAGGTGTTTCGTTCGCTGAATTAGAGAAGGTAGAGTTGCTCAGACAGAGAATGAAGAGCACAAAGATCTACGTCGGTGCAACAAACACTTTGACGCCAAGACAGTTCTTGGCTCAGACAAGAGGTTTAACTTCAACTCAGTAAAAATTAAACTTATTAATGATTTTTATTTAATATCTCTATTTCAAACAACTCTTTTTATAATGTCTATTTTGTTCAGACAAGATGTTTAACTTCAACTCAGTAAAAATTAAACTTATTAATGATTTTTATTTAATATCTCTATTTCAAACAACTCTTTTTATAATGTATTTTTTGTTTAGACAAGATGTTTGATTTCAACTCAGTAAAAATTAAACTTATTAATGATTTTTATTTAATATCTCTATATCAAACAACTCTTTTTATAATGTCTATTTTGTTCAGACAAGATGTTTAACTTCAACTCAGTAAAAACTAAACTTATTAATGATTTTTATTTAATATCTTTATTTCAAACAACTCTTTTTATAATGTATTTTTTGTTTAGACAAGATGTTTGATTTCAACTCAGTAAAAATTAAACTTATTAATGATTTTTATTTAATATCTCTATATCAAACAACTCTTTTATAATGTCTATTTTGTTCAGACAAGATTTTAACTTCAACTCAGTAAAAATTAAACTTATTAATGATTTTTATTTAATATCTCTATTTCAAACAACTCTTTTTATAATGTATTTTTTGTTTAGACAAGATTTTGATTTCAACTCAGTAAAAATTAAACTTATTAATGATTTTTATTTAATATCTCTATATCAAACAACTCTTTTTATAATGTCTATTTTGTTCAGACAAGATGTTTAACTTCAACTCAGTAAAAACTAAACTTATTAATGATTTTTATTTAATATCTCTATTTCAAACAACTCTTTTTATAATGTATTTTTTGTTTAGACAAGATGTTTGATTTCAACTCAGTAAAAATTAAACTTATTAATGATTTTTATTTAATATCTCTATTTCAAACAACTCTTTTTATAATGTCTATTTTGTTCAGACAAGATGTTTAACTTCAACTCAGTAAAAATTAAACTTATTAATGATTTTTATTTAATATATCTATTTCAAACAACTCTTTTTATAATGTATTTTTTGTTTAGACAAGATGTTTGATTTCAACTCAGTAAAAATTAAACTTATTAATGATTTTTATTTAATATCTCTATATCAAACAACTCTTTTTATAATGTCTATTTTGTTCAGACAAGATGTTTAACTTCAACTCAGTAAAAACTAAACTTATTAATGATTTTATTTAATATATCTATTTCAAACAACTCTTTTATAATGTATTTTTTGTTTAGACAAGATGTTTGATTTCAACTCAGTAAAAATTAAACTTATTAATGATTTTTATTTAATATCTCTATATCAAACAACTCTTTTTATAATGTCTATTTTGTTCAGACAAGATGTTTAACTTCAACTCAGTAAAAATTAAACTTATTAATGATTTTTATTTAATATCTCTATTTCAAACAACTCTTTTTATAATGTATTTTTTGTTTAGACAAGATGTTTGATTTCAACTCAGTAAAAATTAAACTTATTAATGATTTTTATTTAATATCTCTATTTCAAACAACTCTTTTTATAATGTCTATTTTGTTCAGACAAGATGTTTAACTTCAACTCAGTAAAAATTAAACTTATTAATGATTTTTATTTAATATCTCTATATCAAACAACTCTTTTTATAATGTCTATTTTGTTCAGACAAGATGTTTAACTTCAACTCAGTAAAAATTAAACTTATTAATGATTTTTATTTAATATCTCTATTTCAAACAACTCTTTTTATAATGTATTTTTTGTTTAGACAAGATGTTTGATTTCAACTCAGTAAAAATTAAACTTATTAATGATTTTTATTTAATATCTCTATTTCAAACAACTCTTTTTATAATGTCTATTTTGTTCAGACAAGATGTTTAACTTCAACTCAGTAAAAATTAAACTTATTAATGATTTTTATTTAATATCTCTATTTCAAACAACTCTTTTTATAATGTCTATTTTGTTCAGACAAGATGTTTAACTTCAACTCATTAAAAATAAAATTATGATTGATGCTTTCAGTCTAATCTTTTATCGCTGCATATCTTGTATGGGAATATAAAGATCTATCCTTCGTGGTGTGCCCTCGAATTCTAAAACAAGCCTTTTGAAGTCTGACAATCGTTGCATATCATTCATGTATGGTCGATAATATTCAAAATATGTTTCACACTTTTTCTGAGTAGGGTTGTACAAACTGGCACAATTTTGCGGGCCGCCTGCCAGGAGCTGGCACCCGGCCAAAATCAAAAAAGTGGCCAAAAATCGGGCCTCGTGGCGTGGAAAGGGTGGAGCCCGAAGGGCGACATCCTTTCCACGCCACTCGGCCTATGACCACAATTATATAATATGCTCATTATTATTTTTTTCTTTTTCTCTTTTCTTTCTTCTTTTTTTTCTAGTTTAAAAAAAAAAAGGTATTGGGGCTTCCAGGGCTGCGCCCCTCTAGCCCCTGAAGATGTTTAGTATGCAATGAAGTATAAAATGAGGTTTTTTTGGGTGAAGCGGGCTTCCCAGGCACTTCGTGCCTTCTAGCCCTAAAAATTTTTGAAAGTCGTTGCTGTTGACTTTTCGGTAGAGGACTCAAAATAGTAGAACTATGTCCGGACAAGTAAGGGTCTATCGTCGCTACGTCACCAGGTCCCTCGGTCCCTCGGTCCCTCGGTTAAACCAACTTCTCTGAAAAAATGAGACAACATGACATTTTGACAACAGTCCAGGAAGTCTTTACAAAGAAGTCTCAACAAAGTCTTTACAAAGAAGTCTCAACAAAGTCTTTACAAAGAAGTCTCAACAAAGTCTTTACAAAGAAGTCTCAACAAAGTCTTTACAAAGAAGTCTCAACAAAGTCTTTACAAAGAAGTCTCAACAAAGTCTTTACAAAGAAGTCTCAACAAAGTCTTTACAAAGAAGTCTCAACAAAGTCTTTACAAAGAAGTCTCAACAAAGTCTTTACAAAGAAGTCTCAACAAAGTCTTTACAAAGAAGTCTCAACAAAGTCTTTACAAAGAAGTCTCAACAAAGTCTTTACAAAGAAGTCTCAACAAAGTCTTTACAAAGAAGTCTCAACAAAGTCTTTACAAAACATTGACAAAACATTGACAAGAAAGTTCATGACAAAGTCTTTACAAAACATTGACAAAACATTGACAAGAAAGTTCATGACAAAGTCTTTACAAAGAAGTCTCAACAAAGTCTTTACAAAGAAGTCTCAACAAAGTCTTTACAAAGAAGTCTCAACAAAGTCTTTACAAAGAAGTCTCAACAAAGTCTTTACAAAGAAGTCTCAACAAAGTCTTTACAAAGAAGTCTCAACAAAGTCTTTACGATGAAGAACTTTACAAAACATTGACAAGAAAGTTCATGACAAAGTCTTTACAAAGAAGTCTCAACAAAGTCTTTACAAAGAAGTCTCAACAAAGTCTTTACGATGAAGAACTTTACAAAACATTGACAAGAAAGTTCATGACAAAGTCTTTACAAAGAAGTCTCAACAAAGTCTTTACAAAACATTGACAAGAAAGTTCATGACAAAGTCTTTACAAAACATTGACAAGAAAGTTCATGACAAAGTCTTTACGATGAAGAACTTTACAAAGTCTTTACGATGATTTTAGATACGATAAGATAGAATATGAGAGAGGTCCTATAAACCGGAGAAAGTGTCATATAAACATCTGTCAAAAGCCGCTTTTTATCTTCACTTAAAATGCCACGTAAGAATATACGTAAGAGGAAGAGAGCATTGAAACATCCAATAGTAAGACTAACACCACAACAACAGTTGCAACAACAAATGCTGAATGACCCCACTATGTTGCAACAAATGTCAAGCAATCCTATGCTTTTAAACCGAGTCATTGGTGCACAGAGTGGAGGTTTAAGAGCGGCACTTTTAGCGAAAATGGCAGGCTATAACCCTCAAAGTCAAATGAATTTGAGTTCACTCAAAAATCAAATAGCAGATGTCAAAAAGTCAAACATAGACATACAGAAGCAAATATGTGAAAACGAAAAGAAACTAGAATATGACAGACACACAAAGAAACTCAATGAGTTAAAAATAGAGAAAAAGAAGAAAGAAGAACAACTGAAAGAACTAAGTACAGAGGAATATGCGAAAAAAGTGTCAGAAAAAGCAGCAGAAGTAGCAAAAATGGAACAAGATGTCATAAATTTGAAAAACCATACTACTCGATATAAAGTACTGAAAGATGAAGAGATAAAACAAAAAGCCCTGAAGACATATGTGGATAGCGATGAGTATAAAAAAGAAGTTGAAGCAAATGTAAAGGCAGAAAAACTTTTACAGTTGCAGAACCAAACCGTACAGTATGAAAACTTAGCACAAGAAAGTAAAAATAACGACGCGGCTATGCAAAAGGTAATGAAAAGCGTAAAAAATAGAGACGGAACGAAAGAAGAAAGGTTTATGAGTCCGGATGACTTAGATAGGGAACTTGTTGAAAACGGTCTCGGAATATATGAAATGCCATCAGATGAGGTACAAGAAACTCCACAGGAAGAAGTTCAGATACAACCAGACATGGAAGAAATAGTTCAGCAACAACAACTTGAAGCAGAGGGCAAGTTACCAAAAGCGACACCAAAGAAGAAGAGAAGAGTAGAACAAAGTGAAAGTAGTGAAGAAGTCTCAACAAAACATTGACGATGAAGAACTTGACATGATTTCATCGTCAATGAGTGTAAATGACCCAAAAATATATTTTAGGTGAAGAGGTGAGATCTCACCTGTTTTCTCACCTGTTTTTTCACCCCATATATACTACTAACTTTCTTGACAAAAACATAGATGAAGAAGTCTCAACAAAGTCTTTACGATGAAGAACTTGACAAAACATAGACAAGAAAGTTCATGTGAAATTAGATGAAGAAGTCTCAACAAAACATTGACGAAGAAAGTTCATGAGAAATTAGATGACAAAGTCTCAACAAAACATTGACAAGAAAGTTCATGAGAAATTAGATGACAAAGTCTCAACAAAGAAGTCTTTACAAAGAAGTCTCAACAAAGTCTTTACAAAGAAGTCTTTACAAAGAAGTCTTTACAAAGAAGTCTCAACAAAGTCTTTACAAAACATTGACAAGAAAGTTCATGACAAAGTCTTTACGATGAAATTCATGAAAATTCAAGAGGGTGAGAAAAGAGGTGAGAAAACAGGTGAGATCTCACCTCTTCACCTAAAATATATTTTGGGTCATTTACACTCATTGACGATGAAGAACTTGACAACTATTCTATATTTTTACCCATATGAAATGTACGCCGCTCAGAATATAACGCCAACAGTTTTGGATGCTATGAATGGAAATGTTTCCGAATGGTATAACGAATGCGACAATGCCATTAGAAGGTCAGAAATAGTTCCTGGAACTTACGAATATACAACTGCTGTTTCTTATGGAAACGTAGGTGAGTTTGGAGAAGGTTCTTCAACAACAGTAGATATTGCTTGCGACAGGTTTCATATAATTTCTATTGACAACTCTTTCTTATACGTGGAACAAGACATTGAAATAAAACCTTCTGCCAAGTTGTCTGACAAGAAAGGTTGCAATGGAATTTTCTATGTCGGATACCAATATGCTCCAGAAGTTTTCATGGGATATAAGATATATTCTAACTCTGATTTAGTTCAAACAGTAACATGGGCAAACTATGAATGGTTCGCTTTGAGAAACTCAGTACAACCACAAGCTAGAGAACAAACAGACCAGTATGCAACTATTGAGAAAATAAGAAGACTTGACCCCAACGTTCCAGGAGTTTATGTTGACCTTTCTGGACAAACTGCAGCAGCAGTAACCAAAGTAAAATTGAAACTTAGAGTTCCTTTGTCATCTTTCCTCATCTTCAGGTTTTTAAGATACTTGCCAAACTGGGCAGGAAAAATTTCTATCGAACTTACTCCAAGCAAAAATAACTTAGTCATTGCACCAACACAAGACCCATTCACTCTTACAGACGTAAAGGGAACAAATCAAACGTCATTCGCCGAATTTTGCAAAGACAAAGTTGACTTAGACTTTGGTTTCTCAAACCTCAACACTGAAGTAAACTACTACTTCAATGCTGCTGGAACTGCTTGGGACCCAGTTAAGTTCACATGCGAAAAATTTGAATGCAAGAGAATAGAAAGCAGACTTGCAGTCTATATGTTGGACCCAGATATTTCAAATGCTTTAGCTGCCAAATATATTGCAGTTCCACTTATGTTCCCTATACACCAAATATCTGTCAAAGACTTTGCAGGTGAAGTTGGAAACCAAAGTGCTGACCCAGGTGCAAGAACAGATATTGCCTTAACAACTGCAATGAAACATGCAGATACTATGTTTGTACTGTTCAGACGAACTATAAATGACTATTCTTGTTTCTACAACCCCGGTATTAAATATCATATAAACATAGATGGCAAATACTATCCAAGAGAAGAATATTCTACAGTTGAGGATATGAGGTCATACAACTTGACATTAGATGCTATGAACTTTAACAACAACTTCACAACAACCATTAACCCTGAAATGCAAAGTTCTATTATGCCATATGTGAAAGTATGGACTCATGCAGGAGCTCAAAAAACTCAATATACAAATGGAGACCGTTCAAACTTTTGGCTTGGCATTCCATTTGCTGACTCAGAAGACTTTATGGGTGGTATTTCAACTGTTGGTACAGTTCAAATACAATATACTGGTGACAGAGACGGTCCAGATGAATTGAAAGCAAAGAAGTTTACAAAACCAATAGCACTTTTCACGGAAGATGCTCTTTTGAAGATTCGTTCGATGAAACCTGCTGGGGCTCCTCAGATTGGTATAACGACAGCTTCCATCGAGCAGATTTTGGCAGCAGGTCAGTAAGTTGTTCTTGAACTGACTTCTCTCCGTCAAATATTGACAGTACGCCAGTTTTGATATAATATTGTATTAAAAACTTACCTTTAGAAATATCGGTCAGTTTTGTTGTTATATTTTTGTCAACGTCAAGAACTTTCACCATTTCAGTTATACCAACTTTCTTTGCTTTATGAAAATATTTTGGTTCAGCAAAGACTGCTATTCTATAACATTTTCCATTGTTTGTGTAAAGAACTACTCTGTCAATGAACTTGTATTGTTTGTGTGTGTAAACTTTGTTTTGCTTCAATTCGAAGAGATACTCAAATACGTCCATCTTTTTATTCTAAGTAAAATGTCATTTCCGAAAAATAGAAGCGTAAGTGTTTCAAAAGGTTTAATGGCGGTGGCAGATGTGAAGTTAAATTCACCAACTCAAACAAACAGTCAAAGTGTTGTTGTCAATGTCAAAGACAGAGATGTTGAAGTGGGGAAACCATACGAAGACGAAGATGGTATAACAATAGTTCCTGTAAAAGAACAACCAACATATCCTGAAGTTAGCAGAGACTTAAGTTCTGTTGCAGATATTCGAAACGACTACCAACAACTTAAAGACAAACTTAAAACTCAGGAGAAGATTTGTCAAGCTTTGGGTATAATGTTAAACTTGGTTGAGCACAACCCTGTAAAAGTGAACTCATATGTCATCGCACCTCATGAAATTTTGAAAGAACTATTGAAACTTTTGACAGAGGCAGACGATATAAACATCAAAGAAATAGAACCTGACATTGCTTGCTGTGGTGTTTCATATAATGTCATTGACAAGATATATGTTATGAAAGGAGGTGAGACGTTGAACTTAAAATATAGTTTCCCAGACGTCATAAAAATATTTGACGACCACAACATTTCATTAAAATTTACTTGCTAAGTAAATGGCAGAAGACATAGTGGTTTATACTATTACGACTAAAAACCCTGAGTCATATAATTCTATAACAACAAACTTACAAAGTCCTCAAGGACGATATTGTAAACTGACCTTAAACACAATGACGACTAAAGCCTGTTTTGCTCTTTTGACACCAGAAGATTTTATTGTTGTGAATGGTAAAAAATACTCCTTTGAAGATACTTACTCAGATATACCACCAACAGGTTTTGTTGACTTATTTAATACTTTAAGGACGGATGTAACATGTGCTGCAACTAGAGCAGGTTTCATTATGTTTGGATGTCCGACTGAGTTTAGTATAAACGATATGAGCTATAATACAAAACTTATATCTGGTTTTTACTACCAACAGTTTCCTATAACAGGAAAAGGTGTCATACAAGGAATGTCTATTCCATTGACTTTAAGTACACCTATTTTATATATTGTTTCAAACTTAGGTTCAAAGTGCTATTCGAATGTCGACAGAAACTACTATGACCAAAGATACTCATGCGTATAAACAAC